CCGATTCCCAGGGAAGAGGCATTGCTTTCGACATTCCTCGTCGGTGTCAATGCTAAACCAATTAAGATCCTTCGTGGCCAAGTGCGCATCCGTTGTAACGTTCGCCTTGCAGGTTACATTGCTCATAGCAACTGAAGTGGAATTTTTTGTGAGGAGAAAATTGTATCTGTGTAGCTCATCTTCATCATGATCACAAAAGCGTAGTATGTCGATCTCGCTGACACGCGAACTTGAATTTCTTCAGTTGTACTTGTAAATGAAGCGCGTGCCAAGATGATGTACCACCAGAGTCGACTCCTTGCTCGTCGAGTTTGTTGAAGACGTGCCCCCCTATGTAGAGGTCGTCGTCGTCACAACCGTACAGCTCGAACCGCATGCCTGGAAAAGCCTTGTAGTTTTTCACATGTAGCTGAACCCGTTGCGCCCACACCCCACCGACTGCAACTGTCTGGCTTTGCCCGAGAAAGTTATCTACCACTTCGGTCGCTGCGTCGGACGGACCTCTAAGGCCTTTGATTATCTTGTAGGCGGGCCGGCGTGCGTGCTGAGCATAGTAAAAATCGACGCGAGTGACGAAGCCCCCGGCGTTGGTAGGGTACGCGCCCGACTGATCGACGGTAGACCAGATGCATGAAGCCTGTGACACGTACGGTGACGGAGAAATCTGCATTTTCACGTGCGGGACGTGGAAAACCACTGCCAGGCTCTCATCATTCACGAAAGGAGCACCACTTCCGCAACAGTGATCCACGTCGTGAAGCTGCACTTTCGGCAGCTGTAGAGACTGTCGTACCTGTCTTAGAAAAAATCAGGCACGTCTAAGCAAGTTAGTACCTTAAGCTGATACTCAAAATATTGCGGTAGCGCTGAATTCGAACAGAAGAATCCACAATAAGAATAGGAGCCTATTTCGCTGTTCGATATGATAACTTCCTTTTCAAGTGAAGAAGATTGATGTGCTGATGCCATTCGAGTTCGTAATTCCAGTAGCCCGTCGTCACGGCGTAACCCTCCGTCTGGACGCTTGACGATCGAATTTTCGTGCGGTGTCAGAAGCCGCAGGGTGATTGGATCTGAGACCTGCTGCACGTCTACGAGAATGGTATCTTCCACAAAGCGCTTCCCATTGTGAGCGTCCTCCAGCCGTATAGTGACGTCGACAAGATGTCCGCAGAGGCGTGTTGCGAAGTCAGTCGCCGCGCGAAATAAGGGCGGAGACTCGTGGAGCAAAAGGCTCAGCTGTGCGATGCTCCGCACCGCAGAACTGCGAAGACCGAAATGATCGCTAAGCCACGAGACTTGCCCCACTTTAGAGCTAGCGGAAGAGTTCATCCGTGCAACCTCATCCTTGTTGCCGTCTTCATCTTCCATGTGAATATTCAACATAGAGAATTCCGATGATTCAACATAGAGAATTCCGATGATCGATCGGGATGGAACTATTTTGTCTTAACAAAGCTGCCAGCAGAAATCGTCAGGTTGGCACGAGTGCTTGCCTGGCTTACCTGGTTGCGGTTGTCGGTGAAGAGCGGATCGCGGACGGTGAAATTTGTAAGTCGCAATACTTCGTCCTCGTTCACCCGCAGAAGCTTCGCAGGAAAGTGGATCTCGAGAGGAACGTCAAGGTATTCGACGTGCATCTTTTTCTTTAGAAGATTCGATCGCTGCTGGTTTTCACGGGCAGTCGAGCCGAAGTTGTTCCACTGGCAGAGAATCTCAATCTCGTCGACGAGACGCAGTTTGTCCTGAGCCGGCCGGTAGCGTACGCGGCTTGCGAGGGCCTCTTGTACCTTGTTATGTGTCCCACGAAATCGAATGAGGTGCTGCGTTAGGTTCTGAAAGACGAGCCCTCGCAAGTCCGTCATCTCCAAGAGCCCGGATGTCGCGGACAGGGAGACTTCGACTACCTTGTCAATTTGGTCCTCCTTCTGGACATGGAACCGAAGTCCCGATAGCGCAATGGGCGCACGTCTCTCCTGAATCACCTGCACACTGTCCCTGTCCGTGCAACCTGTCTGCCACATGGCGAACGCAGCTAGAGACCAGAAGTTCGGAAGGAAGAGCAGCACTGCAAGCATAGCCATAATCTTACTTTTAGCGCCCGACAAGAAGCCCTCCCCCTCACAACCAGCAGAGCATGCTGTAGACTTTTCCCGACGTTGTCGCCTGCTTATCTCACTACTCCGTGAGTTAGAATGATTCTGGTGTGCACACACTGTACTAGGGGGAGAGGAATGGCCCACAAGAACACATTTTTCTCCATCAGGCAACAATGGGCCATCAACCGTCGATTGCCATTTTCTGCGCTTTCGACTCTTCTTCTTTGAGCCAGAAAGTCGTCGTTCTCTCTTTTCCCATCGAGGGTCGCCTTCTTCTTCTTCGATCAGCAATTCATCTGCTCCTTTTGGGCTCAGTAAACCTCTTCCCAAACTTCCCATTGTATGATAGGCGTTCGCTAACTGTTTTTGTACCCAAAAAAACGAGTTGCGGATTCCTCCACGTGTCGTCGCTGTTTCTAACCGCTGCTTCCATCTTTTCATACAGGCGCTACTTGTACCTCGAAGTCGAAGTACATCCCTGGTTACAAAGTATGGCAGTCTAGCTTTCCGCTGTTTGCATCTCCTACCGCGCACTGCCCAAGACAGAGCCGAGTTTCGTTTGACCTTCATCTCACCCACGCGCCACGCCACCTCTCTCCTGCGTCTGCTTGATCCCGCATTTTGTTCGCGAGGTTGTCTCCTTCCAGCCGAAGTAACATATTTTTCATCTTCATGACGGAATAGTCTTGGTCCAAATCTCTGTATATCATGCTTTGTTTTCTGCTCGTCCTCTGTATAATGCAAGCTAGAAATTTGGACGCGGACCCTCTCGCTTTCGCCTGGCGGAAAAGGGTTGACAACATACTTCGTCGTGCAAAAGCTAGCAACACGAGCCGGGATTTCATATGAGGCGGCCTGGCATAATCTCTCGCCGGTGTCCGGTTGGGCAAACAAAAATCTGTCCTCAAGCTGATGCTTACTGCGGGCCGCAGTTCCCTGAGAGTCCCTCCTGGTGTTGATGTCACTCGATAGTGACTCTTTACATTTTCCACTGGTCTTTTCCTGCCTGTATTCGTGCACACTTTGACAAGGTGTTTTCCTTTCTTCACATTGCGTTTTTCCATCCCTGCTGTACGTGCCCCTTTCGCCACCCGCATGGTCACCCCTCTTCTCGAGTGCAGATCGATGAGTCTTTTCCTCCCGCGCGCTGTAATCTTGTGCTGCACCATTTTGCTTCGCCTTTTGCGCGTCGGGTGTTGTTTGCAATCCTGGGTCGGGAGCGCGGCAAGCAACGGAGGACCCGAATGACGGGCTTGGATTCCACCACCACGGAAATTCATCTAGTATGTGTTCTCCTGTACGACCTAAGTTCGTAGATATGGGCGCTTTTTCTCTACTCGTGTAACCAACTTCATGCCACCGGGACATCTTTGCCTACCCTCGCACGACGCGCATCATCCTTTCCCTATGGAATGATTTGAGATTGCAAATATTTATAGGTTTATTGCTTTCGGCTTCCCAAATATGAAGAGGGACCAACAACAGTGTAAGTAATTAGTCTGAGATTGAAAGGGGAAGTTTCTATGTTCCAACGGATATTTCTGTAACGTATTATGCTCGTCTTGTTCCTGATAACACTCCCGATTAATGGCCCTCTACGTCGTTTCCACTATCCTCTAGTTCTCTCAAGACTTGAGCTTTCTCTCAGTATGTAAGCTCTGCCACTCGTGTCCAAAATTCTTCTCGCTCTCACTTGCTCATCACAACCTGGCCTCTATAATTCTAACCCACAAGCGAAGCAAATCTTCTACTACGAGGAAGCAACAGACATCTGTTGCTTTTGCTGGCTGCAACTTCATATTTATAATTGTAGAATGAATAAGTCTCATCGCTCTTTTTCTGGTCAATACTGGTCATCGAAAATGTCTCTTGATCGGAAAAGTTTCAACGTAGCCTGCCATGCAGGCAAAGATTTCGGGCAATTATACCGCTCTATCACAGGGGTCTCGTCGCTTCCCAAAAGGTAATGAGCGTGGCTCACCCTCACCATGAAACATCATTTGTTTTTCAGATGCGAACATTGTATGTTAAATGATGCCTGTAATCATAACAGTAGTCAACTCACAGGACTCCCAATACAGCCTGGTATAATATGCAAAAATCAAACCGAAGTCGGGAATTGTCTTTCACTACTAATCATACATTCAGTAAGCCACCCACATTATAAGCAGAATAGCGATTCTATGCAGAAAATTCTTCTCATTAATGAAGATTGTCTTATCTATTTTCAAAAAACGACGCGTTCAAAAACCACTCACGTACTTTTTCGTCCACGACCTTCGGAATACTCTGCTTAAGCTACTTTTCATCCAGCGTTTTCGTGCAACTTTTCACCACAAGCACCCAAGAGCCATCTCATTCTCAATAAAAATTGAAATAGAAATTATCAGTGGTACGACTACAAACAGGTAGAAATGACGAACCAACTACCTGAAAAACCAACATGTATGAATTTTGATACATTAGCTGACCAAGTCAAAATCCAAGTGAATGGTATGAATGGTCTATGAAGAAAATGTAAGGTCTTTGCTTTTCTGATAAACAGGCATGATTGCGAGATTCTCATCTCCTGTAGCAGTAAATCATTCAAGTTCATTGACATCGCTAACACATCTCACGTCATGGATCTCAACCTCAAGCAGCTATGAGTGTGCTGCAAATGAATGGGATACGGCAATAGCCTTCGCCTGGACATCCATGGATAAAATCATCGCTCTCTAGTGTCACTAGTACAATTGACGTGAGCTTAGACCTAGGTAGCATTTTGCATGTGAACCATATATAACACGAAACTTTGATTAAGGCGTAAGTAGCTTGTTGCGCTTGTTATGGCTACTGGGCTGTGTACTTACAAACGTTCGTCCGCAACTCATCTTATAAATAAATCTAGTAAATACCCGCTTATTTGTCTCCGAGGAGGTCGTCTTCTGCATCTTCCTCCACACGGGTCTGCTTCTTTTTTCTTTTGCTCGGTTTGGCATTTTGGCCCTTCATTGGGCGCTTTCCTGCCGTGCTCCCACCTTGCGCTTTTTTCACATTCACATTACTGCTCCCCCCTCTACTGAAACAAGCTGCTCCTCCTCCTCCTGCATGGACCTCGTTTGTACTTTTTGCTACTACTTCGTCTAGACCACTACCACGTTGACACCGTGCAGTGTTCGGAGGTGATCCCGAGACAGTGACACCTCTAGACGATTCCCATCGCAAACTGAATGATTCCAGTTTGGCCGGAGCTGAGGCTGACGATCCTAGCCTAGGGCCGAATGACATCACGTACCGCTTCTTTTTCTGCGTTTCGTTCACCCTTTTCGCAATGGTATTAGAAGTTAGTCTCATGCTCATACATGGTACTGATGTAGGCCGCGATGAAATGTTGACCAACTCATGAGTTCTTTCACTTCGTATTCACGTATTGTTCTTGTTCAGCTTACTTGGACTTCAGTACCAAATCAAGAAAAGTTATCGAAGTTTCGCCTTAAGTTTGAAGTTTGACAACTCTCCTACCAAGAACGGATCATTTATAACATCCATGAGCGCCTGTTTAACCAGAGCCTCAATTCGCATGTCTACGTTTCCTGCGAGATTCGCCGCATCCTCGGAGGGCTTCTTCACTCGGTCCTTTTTCTCTCCGCTCGATGACGTCGTACCGCCATCACAGGAGGTCGACATAATCGTCGTTTGAAGAAAATCACTTGAAGCAGCCAAGAAATTTTGAAGTGCGGTACTAAGGACGGCGTTCGTGTCGGAGGTCATCGCGCAAGAGGACGAAGATGACACGTTAGTTCCATATATGCCTTGCACTTTTTGCTCTTCGCAAGCTTGCCCCATGTCCTCAAAATGATCCTGCGCCTTCTTCTTGGTGTTGTCTACATCACCATAAGAAAGTTGCCGCACCGTGTCATCTTGGAAATTAGTGGACTCTGAGAACGCATTGAGCAGCCTCTGCCACGCAGGAACCATCGCAGCGGGAATTCGCAAAAGCTTATTAGAGATCGAGATATGGAACATACCGAGTCTCTTACCTCTTATTTTCGTCAGACTCTTCCGGTCGCATCTTACTTCAGATCGAGGTGGACACGATTGAACTGCACGAAAATAGTATCTTAGTCTTGATCAGCCAAATTCAAGTACTTAGATAGATCCTTAACACTATCATCGAAAGCCCCATCGTCCTCAAAGCCCGCTCCCGACTCCATCGCAAGACGGTTCACATGGATCTGATATCGACTAAGCCGCGACGCATCCACTTGTGGCCGACCACCAGCTGGAGTGCAGCCTCCGTGAATTCTGGGCTCCCTGCTAAAAGAACCTTTACTAGAAGACGAAAAGCCGAAGGGTGCTTTCCTGGTGTTGCCAGAGGACAGCCGCGGTGGTCTCACCTTATTCGTGTTTTCCCGCGCAGCGACCGCCTTGTCCATAGAAAATGGGTTCTCCTCGCTTGCCTTTTCGCATGCAAGCTCGTCGCCGCGGTACCACAGAAGAGATGGAGACACTGTCGCAACATGCTCAAGGTCACACAGAGCCGCGGCGAAGAGTTCTTTCACCGACGTCCCACCGCTCTTGGGAACCATCTGTGCGCGAAATGCGATCTCAACTGTGTTTGCGGATACTGCACCACCTGCTAAGGCCCGCCGCTCAGCTAGGCGAATCAAATGCGTTAGCAAAACAAAGATTCGCAGACGCGCGGTTGCGCGCAGTGGATGCGACAGTAGATCATCTGCGAAGTCAGACAAGTAAAACTCCGGCGATGCAGAGAGCGCTGCCAAAGGCCTTTCCAGGCAAACTTTACAATGCGAGTAAGAGCTCTTTGCTGATGCTGCGGTGACAATACTCTGTTCAGGCGCTCCTTTCGCTCCACTTTTGACTGCACTCTTCTTATTTGGAAGCGGTTGCAAGTCGGTAAAAGTGACAACGGGCGGCTTTATAATCCCTATCGCGCTACGCAAGCGCACCTCTTTTAATACGAAGACGTCTTGCGGGACCGGGTTGACAGCGGAAGCAGTTTCCCCCGGGCTGACGGCCAATTCGCCCGCGCCTTTCTCAGCAGGTGCAAGTGAAGCACTTTCCCTCTTAGACTTGCTTTTCTGCCGATCACGAAGGACAAAGTACTCTATCCTTTCATTGCACGCACCTGCATCTGCTAAAGATGGGCTGTGGCCCTGAGGAGGAGCCATCGCGGCATCTGCGCCACTCTCGCCCGTCTTGCTTTGCTGCAGTATGTAATCGAGCGAAGGATCCAAACCCGACAACTTTGCTCTTTCACGCGCAAAACTCCAAAGAGCGACCGTACTAGCGAGGTGGAGGCGTCTGCGAAGTTTTTCTGGTCGCGTACGACTCTTCGGTCCACTCTTCAGCTTAGGTGTGCCCGTGCTATTAGGAGCACAGGATGATGTAGGAACTGCTGAAAAACAACCAACGCCATCGTCATCGTGATCCGCATAACAAGTCAAGTTTTCGACCGCTGAGTCCCGGTTGCCACCTGTGGAAAGTCGGCTGGTATTAATGTCGTGGTCCGTGTTTTCGCCTGGAAAAACGTCTTCGAAGTGTACGATCGCCGGTGTTACGGAAGGGTCCTCAAATGGAACATCATCATGCTGCCCCACAGCAGAACTGCTGTCGGGCGCATCTTCATCTGCAAAAATATCATCCAACAGGTGGTCAAGCAACAGTGTTCGAGCACGCTCGAGGCTCCCCGCTATTTTCACGAAGAACACAAGAGGCTCCACCTCTTCCAGGGAGAATCGCCGACTAAGAAGCCGCGCAAAGAGTTTCTGGTACACCAACCGGTGCTGCACACGTAGGAGAACCTCGGCTCTCACCTTAGGAAAGATACCTATCAGGGCCTCCACGTCAATCTCGCATTTTTTACCACCCACCGGCGGAAAGGTGCTTTGGTGCGCCAGCGATGCTTGCGGACCCTTCCTGGCAAAAAGTGACACATTTTTTTGAGCATTGCTCCCTGAAACTAACAATGTTGGAAATGTTGAGTTGTTCACGACAAGCTGCTTGGTTTGTTTCTCCGCCGTACTGTTGTCGTCCGTCATATCCACGCGGAAAGGCGGACTGTCATGGAAGAAGCTCACATCGGATCTGCAGGCTTTTCCAGGACTTGAAGTCAAGGTGTCTATTATGGTGGATTTCGTGAGTGCAGAAACTGGCGACCGTGTGGAGTCCGTTCCTACGCGAAAGGCTGCCAAGCCGTGCTTTTCTACAATGGCCTCGACCCTTCGCGTTTCGTCGCGCAGAATCAGTCCGTCGGTCGTGTGCTGGGGCACCCCTTCAAGCAGGGGAAGCGCTGTGAGATTTTTCTGCTCGTCGGGGCTTAGCATTTCCCCTTTCGTCTGCCGCTCTCCAGCCTGTCCAGCCGCAGCTGCAGCCGACCATACAAGATCCTGTGGCCGATGTTGTAAGCCTGCAAAGTGCAGATCCAAGTCCGAAATAAGAGGCAAGGGTAACAGCATGACGTGCTCGCACGCTGATTTTCGGCAGAGTTCTGCATGAACTGCCGCCTGCACCTCCTTGAGCAACGAGACTGATGAAGAGTGGTGACCTGCCGCATGCTGCTTTGCTAGAGGCAGACGCCGAGTTGAGCCCGCTCCTTCCAAGTGTTCGCGAGCCTCTGCGTTCCATTGGCGTCGCCCCAAAAGGGGAAGATGCCGCCAGATGTTACTGTACTTCGTCAGTGAAGGCTCTTGACACTTACCCACAAGCCAGTCACCAAGCCGTTTCGCGGGCCCAGCATGTGGCAAGAAAGGCTTTTTCTCGCTTGATGTTCCGAGAGCTTCACCCATGAAAGCATCGTGGTCCGTCCCCTCCTCGGCATGTCTCGATGGCTTACGCGCCTTTTCCTCGGCCGCGGCACCGCAGCATGCATTAAGACGGCGAGTCGTGCCGGTTGTAGGACCACGCGGCACAGTGTAGTACCAACGCGAGCTCACAAGAGTAGACGCATCCCGCCAATCCGGAGGCGCGTGCCAGTGAGGTTCCACGAGGTAGAGACCGGCCTGAAGCACTCTCTTAATTCGCCGGTCGGTCTTGGTAGCCGTGTCATGTACAGTTAGTACACGCGGTCCTCTCGTAGATTTAGCTTGGGACTTCCTTTTCGGGTCGGTGCCTGCCTCGGCAGAGGCTGCCTCTTGATCACCGTCCTCAAGTAGTTCTTTTCCTTTGGGATTGACTGGAAAACGCCAATTTTTCGATGGCAGGCCGCATATCAGGCGCACCAAAGCGGTGTCCGAAATCAGAGGCACTGCGCGAGCACCTTTTTCGCCCATTGCATTTTGCCGAGGGGCCGAGACAGGTTCCAAGCTCAACCGAGAAGCAGCTCCCGAAGGTACGCACACGTGAAAGTTCAAAAGCAACAGCGTCCGACGCAGAGTTCGCACAGGTCCCGAAACGTGATTCAGCACACTCTGCTCATCATACACCGCGCCGTCTTCGCTCGGAGCTGCCTCCACAGCGGCGTTGGTTACGCTTCGTTTTCCAGCAACTCCTGGCGACTTTTTCATTGACTTTCGCACCCCGCAAGTTGGTGTCGTTATCTTTGACTTGATTCCCTTCATCGCCATTTTGATGAGCTTCGGTTTTTGCGTTTGCTTGTGCGGCCTATCCATCTCTGGCGCGACCACGTCGATGCGACTTGACCCCTGCCTGGAAGTACATCGCGAAAGTAGATCGTAGAGAAACTCATGCCGACGCCGGTCTTCCGGTCGAACTTCTTTGCAACTTGGTCCAAGACGACCCGGTAGCTTCTTTTGCAACCAAACCTCGGCTACTTGGCTCGTCCATTAGAACTCTTGGTAAAAATGGATTTTCATTTACAAAGAAACATGTAAGTATATTGCCTGAGATAGTACCATCAGACCCGAAAAAGAAAGTACGCTGTGAAAGTGAATGAACTAAAGTTAAGCACTTTAAAAGTTTGTTACTTACATATAACTTATTCAAAGCCGTAATCCGAATCCAAGCAGGCCTGCACGGAGTCGACCGCAATTACCGGAGCCGCGAAGCTCTCCTGGTCTAGAGGGAGGAATCGGCGGGCCGGACAGAGGCAGGCCAAACAGCGTGATGCATGTTGTGAGGCGGACTCCAGCGTGAGTACTGAGGAAGCTGCTTCAATCGCAAGAGCTTCGGCAGCTTTTTGATCCTGTTTGTGGATGTGCGCTAACGCTTGCATTTGTTTCGACCTCGCATCTTCCGAAGGGACACTCATTGGACGTTGCCAGAGCTGCCCCCATAGTTTACACGCAGATGTGACAGCAGTAATTTCGCCTACCGCCGATTCTCTTGAGCTCGAGTTTGAAGAGAGGCTTGACATTTTAATAAATCGACTGCGTGGGGCGCATTTCACTTTTGCGCTAGCCGCAGTGGTTGCTGTGCTCCGTGTTTTCATCTTGTTTAGCGGTTCTGTCTTCACTCTTTTAGCATGATCGATTTGGCTGTTTCCTCTTTTAGCACTTTTCGTCCCGAGAGAACCTTTCTTCGAAACCTCCCTCATTTTCTCGGACCGCCGTGGTACTACTCTCAACTTTGACGATCGCCTCGACGAAGTTGCCGGCTCTTGCTTGCTTGTTCGTTTTACTTCCTCCTCGACCTTATCCACCTCCATCTCGGCGGCCGGAATGGAGACATCTTCATCGACCTTCATCGGCTCCGCAGTCGTTGCATTCATCTGTGCTGCTGTATCTTGAATCACTTTCGTTTTGCCTTCGCCTTTGTCACAAACAAAGAGATACATCACTTCGAAGGCAATCTCTGCTGTGAGCGCATGCTCGAACATTTCAGCCACGAGCATCTGGAGGGCATGATCTCGGACTGCTTCGTCTGAGAGCAATGGCACGGCGGGTGCCACAAACGGCCGCTGCAGGCAAAGATGTTCGTGGCCAGGCATGTTGTAACTTTGATGTGGCATTGGGTTCATGGATGGCTGCTGCAGTACTTCTTCTGCGAGTTGTGCCTGGCCTTGATGAGCATCAGTATCCATCTCGCCTGTTGTTCTAGTTTGGTCCTTGTGCTCATCGCCTCCACAACACATGGAATTGGTAGACATTGCTCGACTTGGAAATTCAAATTCTCGTATCATTGAGCAGGGGCCTTCCTCAGCAAAACCAGGTAAGCCAGACACACGCGAGACCATTGCACTCATGCTCTGAACCGGCTCCAAGCCGAGCGAATTGAATCGATGTTGCTTTTGCTGATCGCCCGCGGCAACCTCTGCTACGGCTCATTAGAAGAGTTCAACATCCGATCTCGAGAAAAAACCTTCGCGTGGAGGAGCGCAAAAACCCGATCGAGTCATTGAAATAATGGTAATCAAGTGATTTTCAATTGATGCTAGAGATCGAGTTCGAGGGCTTCTCGTTCTCAACAAATAAGTGACACCCGCCTGGAGATGTAGAGCCAGTTCCTCCAGCAAACATAATTATTGTTGGCGGCCGCGGCCAGTGGCGCTGGCAGGCTATCAATCAAAGCTACAGAATCGGCCCGAGCATTTTGTGTGATTGACGATACTCGGTAAATATCGCCAGGATCCGACCAGACTAAATGCTGATGCTCTAGCGACTGCACGCGAACAAAAAATGCTTGCTGGGGCAAGGCGGTGTCGAGCTTCGCGACTTTTACAGGCCCGTATATCGAGATCATGTTGTCGCGGGCAGAGGCATGACTTCTATTACCTGCACAGGATGCCATATTTGAAGACGACTGTTGCCCACTCGAAAACTTCGGAATTGGCTCCTCAGCGACGATCGACTTTAAGTCTTGAATCACGAGCTCCATAACGCGCGGGACCTGTTTGCGAAGCGTAAATTGCTACTTAAGTAATTCATCGGGACATTGAACACCTTCGAAAAAACCAATGGAGAATGTGTTTACAGTGATACCGTAGTCTTCACGAAAAAAGCAGAAGCACAGGCAACAGTACGCCGAATATTCTATCGTCCTGCTAGAGGATATCTATGGAGTACATCTTCATCTTTCGCTGGCTGCGAAGAGCTCGGCATTTCTAACAGTCTCAAATCGAACTGCTCGCGAACCAAATGGCCAAGCGTGCGCCGGTACCGATCCACAAAAACGTTCCTCACGCCTGACATCTCCCGGCGAAGCACTTCCAGATTCTCATCCGCACGCAGCAGAAAAATGCAATCCAATAACTGCAATATTGGGTAGGGGTGCGCATCCGGGAAATCAGCGGGCGCGCCACAACTTGTGCCAGCTCGAGCCGTGTTTGTAGACGTTGCAGCGGCAGTCGCGGTGAAAATGGAAGTGGTGGTCGTTGATGCTGTTGAATTCTTTGCGGGTTGCACCTTCATGCTGCGAGCAGAGGAAGCGGTAGAAGACGTGGCAGCACCTCTGCCGGATCTTGGACCTGGACCTGGAGCCCGCATCATCCTACTCATTTTCATGGCTTTGCCAGTGCCTTTGGCGGGACCTGCGGACGATTCCGCAGCCCCAGTGCTGCAAGAAGCAGATGAAGATGGAGCGCCTTCAGCACCTTCAACCACATTAGTCGGGTTTTTCGAAGGCCGTCCTCGCTGCTGTTTCACAGCTCCATTGGCTACGGGTTTCGGTGCGTTCGCAGTCTCGTCATCCATGTTAGAGGCGATACTCGAAGCGACAGCACCGGACGTAGACACAGCCACGCTTCCAAAACCAGGGAAACTGGTACTGCCTGCATCTTCCGCGGCAGCACAGGCGTCCGCAGCGTCTTCCTCCCGACTTCCTTCTGGGTCAACGACCACACTCGCAGAATAGCCTATCATAGTGTTCAGGTGCTGCTCAATTGACGCACTAGTACACCTTCATTCACGGAGACATGATGTCATGTTATCAATTACTAGGGTTATATCTTACATCAACAATCGCACCTTGAAGGACGTAATGGAGATCTCAAGTCAAAGAAGTGTAGAACTTCTATGTCACATGAAGTGACCGAAAATTGTAAGCTTCTTTCGAAAAATTAAGATTCTAGTACTAAAGGAGCACCTCAGCAGTCAACCACGCGAGACACTGTACTTTCATCCCTTCTAAAAAAGACGCAGCTACAGCAGGTTAGGAAGAGCATTCATTGTCGTGTCATACGCAGCAACCGACGCTCTTGCTCACATATAATCTATCAACCTCGACGAAAACTACGACTTTGTTTCCCTAGTAAAGAAATAACGTTGAAGACAGCTCATGAGCTACAACTGTAGTTTAAGAAAATCAAAATTATCCAACTCTTGTCCACTTCCAACATTTTTGCCTTGGATGTATGCACTTTCAAATGGGGTCCTGATTTGCGTGGGGATACTATGTCTATTTGCAATCAAACAAATCAGGTAGAATCAAAGCCGCCTTTGCCCAACCACTCGTAACAAAATTTTCCTCCACAAAAATCGTGTCAATCTTTTCGACTTTCTCCAAAAATATGCGCATGAAAAAAACGTGAGAAACATGAGTCCGACAATGATCAAGAAATTGCAGACCGACAGAAGCAAACGAAAAATTCAAAAGGAACCTTCTTACTTTGCCACATGTGAAACAGAAAACCGTTTTGACGTCTGAGGAAGTTTTCACAAAATCATATGACGAGAACGCACCGATACAGGTACACGGTCTCGAATATCCATAAACCAGTACTTCTTGCGTTGTTAGTTCTCTCGTTCATCATCAAAATGCTCTTGCCTTTTGTTTGGTGACACTCTGATCACACCTCTATTTCCTCAGATCGTGCGGCCTAAGCCCACTGAGTCGTCTTGAATTGCTGTGGGTTCGTCACCTTCACCACGTGCAAATGACTCCCACAAGAACGGCGATTAGTTTGTTGATCCTGCGTCTTTTCCGTGATGTCTCCTGAGATCTTCCTAGTTCGAGGACGCTGCTGTTGTGTGCTGCAAGAGTATATTTCTCAAGAACGACAGTTGCTCTTCTAGTTCTCATGAATGACATTAGCGAGTGTAGTATGGATGCGAGCAAGCCGAGGAAAATTTCTGGAAAGCAGGACCCGATGCATGGATCCGTCACTCTTCTATTTCGTGCGGAATGGATAGGAGGATAGGATTTGATTCGCCGTCCACAGTTTGACCTGTATCCTCGGGCGAATGTGTGCAGCCACAGAGGGACTACCAATTCGTATTTATCATCAACTAATAGCTTTTGCTTCTATCACACCCCCTCTAACCCATCTATGCGACCGCTTGACCGATAGAATGCGCTACAGAGGAACGCATGACAGATCCCGCGGTATTCATTCGACGATATTCATCGATCTTCGCTTTCCTCTTTATTCTCAGCGGGTATTCGTCATTCAACTGAAATTCTTGAAACATGATCTTGTCCTTCTCTCTTGTCCCATTATTATAATATACTAATGATCCCTACGCATTGGACCTCACTACTACAACCTTGCCCCTCGGTTTTTCCGTCGCGCAGCAAAGAAGAAAGGCGGCTCAACTTACTTACTCATACCAATTTCATGTCTCCTCGTGTTAATGACTGCGAACAGCGCCTCTACTTCCTCAACTTTACTGAATCCACGGCAACTACCAACAACATCGTAAGAAAACAAACGAAGGCTTCACTTTTTACGTTTTTTCGAGACAGGTTACAAACAACAACCTACTACAGCCAAGACAAGAAAACTATTGTCAAGGAATGGGGACACGTAACGCACTGCATTAATTTCTTTCTTTCCACATCAAGATCAAAATGGACAAAAATGAATCAGAGCTGTCTACTCCATTTTTGGCGTTGGTCCCTCACCAGCTTATCGTAGTTGGAAAATGAGTCGACAGACGTCAACTTGTTATTCGTGTCGGTATTTCTTTACTTTTCCTGCATGATACCGTTTGTTTAATCTTCATTCGTATGATAGTTCTGCTTTTTCCCTACATCAATTATATCTTTTTCATTATTCATGTTTTGTCCATAGATGTGGACTTTCTTGCACAAAAAATAATCGACGGACTGCCAGCCTGTAGGCCGTGGATGAAAATATTCTTCACAATCCAATGCTACAACTCGAACAGTCCTTGTTTTAGTGTTCGTAGTAAGCTAATTTTTATGCAAATGTGTGTCTCGAATGACTAATCTCAACATACATAAAAAAATGCTCTAGCTACCATCATGTGAAAAAATGTTACACCTTCAGACCAGCTGTAGTTTGAGTGACTCAATGAATCGATTCCATCTAAAGGACATGCCTCCTTTTTTCAGACAGGCCAACAAGAAGATGTTGATCAATCCTTCCAAGGAACAAATTGGAAAAGATCGATTGCTTGAGCGCTACAACCGAATGATTGAGGTCGATGAGTCTGTGTTTTGCGTTGTCAGTATAAAAAATCTCAATTTGAATTTCATGAAAATATTTACTATATCTGCGTCTATCTACATAGAAGACCCAGAAGTTGCGTCCTATCGTTTGCTCAACATCATGTTGTAACTAATGTCCAAGACTTCAAAAATAACAAGAGCAGGTACTTGAGTACTTGTACTTTGGCAACCACCTGGAATAAAGTAAGACGCCTAGTCACCTATTTCGGGTAGAGATTCTGACATTGCAAAAAGGAAGCGATCGTCATCAGTCCGCCAACCGTCATGTGCGACATCGGAATGCCGAGTCCAACCGAAATCGATGCTGGCGAATCCGTTGCATTTGTGACGATGGTTCTTAGAGTTTTTACAGTATCTGCATCCTTGAAGACAGAATGTATAAGTATAGATACATAGGTGAGTAGTTGGTACCCTTTTTCTGTTTAAAAAGGACGCATCAAAGGATTATTATGATTCGTGAAGACGAAACTGTGATGTAGCCTTAAGGTTCGCAGTCTCTGCATCGCGTCTGTTCGCAGCTGGGTCAGTTCATCCTGGTAGACTTTCTCTGCTTCCACCTGATCCTGCTTGCTCCGACCTTTCGCTGTGGCCACAGCGCGTCGATCGTCCGTCAGCGCGTCGTACTTCTGCTTCATGAGACGCAGCTTCGCCATCTCTGTACAGATGGCGGTCACAATCGCCGCCAACCAGAAGCGTTTGGCAACTTTGTTGAGCGTTGCGGCGTCTGGCAACGGCAGCAGACCGCCTTGCGCGCGAGGCATCAACGCTTTCTCCTTCACCAAGATCATGAAATTCTCGAAAAACCAGCGCGCCGCAAAGAAAAATCGTGCTGTCATGTGCAACATCTTCACCTCCTGAGCCATGGTCTTGCTCTCGTACGTCTGGATGTCATCGTATGAAAGGGACATCAACAACTACCTAAAATTTGATGACAATAGGATGACAGCTGTACTTCTACCTGTGTCCTTCTCGAATCATCTAAGTGGTACACGCATTAAGGTGCGATGTTTAAACATAATGTTCTCCATTCGATGATGCTCTTGCCCATCCAACTCCAGCATCGTGCAGCTTGAAGCCCGTTCCACAGCTTATTCAGCTGTTGACAATATGGCTTTGCCCCCTCTTCGCCGCCGAGGAGCACACTTCCGCCTCCTTCCTGCAAGAAACCCTCCAAAAATCGCGCGAAAAATTGCACCAGTTTGCCTGATCGTATGGGAAGAAATTATTTCAGTAAGAGACAATCTATCATATTTATGATGAACGTGATGATGATTGTCTGACATCGTGTATCATCTAGCAGGCAACGGAGAACACGTGCGTGACTGAAGTTGTGATACGTTGACGTTGACCGACACCTAGAATTAGGGAACATCTAGGAGATTTACATTTACCTATCTTATCTCGTCCTTCCGCGTTGCCTAAGAAAGCTGATATCCTGTCGATGTTTTTTCTGTGATCCGGGTCTGGGGAAAGCAGCTTGTCTGGGTGCAGCAGCAACTGCGGGTTGGCAATGAGGTAGATAGTCGCCATTTTTCCTTTTCTTGTATTTTCTCGCTGGAGGAAAAAACAGACGCCAAAACAACTAAGTATGATTAACACACCAATAGAAGATGGATCTGCTGATCTCAAAAACTAGAAGAGTAACCGATGATAATTCAGTTCGTTTCGGCCAGGCATGAACTTTGTTTACTTAAATACAGTAAAAATGATGTGCTAGATAATTTTCCAATTGGCATTGAGGAAAGTTCTTGTAGTTGAAGAGAAAAAAAGTGCGGATGCAATGTGAGTTTGTTGAGAAGAGCAAAATGGAGATCAGAAACCACAAGGAAGAAAAGCAAGGGATGAGGGGAGGGAAAACGGCTTCATTTTGTGAGTCGCGGAATGCCGTAACAGTCCCATCGATCATAATAAAACCATCGGACCGATGACAAGCAATCTCTTTCTCTACGTGACGATCGGTACACAACATGAAAACCCCATGTATCACTTTCTTTTTACCGGTCGGGAGAAGAAAATGCGATTGTCACAATCTTGCCCAAACCTAAGGCTAAGACCGATAAGGGTGCTCCTCTGTCTGCATTGAAATCCTTCAAATCAATACAATACAATACAACTCATCTCGCTTTTTTTTTTGTAGTGCGAGCGAGTTCCGATAAATCAGAACTTACCTGCGTAGGAGTCTTTCTTCTGTATTAACGGACTCAAGTAAAAGCCGATACCTCAAGCGACCCGTGAACAAAAAGGCGGCCGAACGCGCCGTCCGCACCTAGCACCTCTGAATTCTCGCTAAAGTAGCTGCCTTATCCTCAAAATACTCCGTTATCCGTTCATTTTTTTCATCAAGCCCTGAATATACTTTCTATCTTCTGCGTGTGCTACTCGGAATCAATCTAGGCTCGAATCACCAGTCCTGTGACCGGTGACCCGTTCTCGTTTCGCTTTAGTACTGTAAGTTACCAAGACAGAATAGCCAAAGGAGTCCCGTAGGATTCCTCGCTATGTGCTTGTGAAGATTCGCTACCTTTGTCACTGACTGTGTCATAACATGATTAGTTTCAATTGCTAAAAGAAATCGTGAAGCTCGCTCCGTTAGTTACCTTTTTTGTACATCTCGTTCTTCTCATCGAAGAACCAGCTGTAATACGCACATGCACTGCAGCTTGATAAAGATATCAAGTAACTGCGTCTCCCGATGCAAACTTAATCCATCAAACCTCGTTGCTTTAGGTCCATTGGAGGAGGCATGGCCTCCCAGACCGCATAGTGATCGTCCAGGATGGCGTCAGGTCGCTCCGGCTCCCCTGGCGCGGCGCCAGCGGCGTGGAGTGCGTCGACAACGTCCCGGTAGCCGTACTCGAGCGCAATACGCATAGGCGTCTTCCAAACGTATCTAAAGTTTAAGTGACAAAGACAATGTCTTGTTATCTTTCTTGTGATCTTTCTTGTGTAAACAAGGAAGACAACGGAAACGGGTCACAGATTGATTCTGTGAGAAAGTGCAGCTAAAAAAATCACACCTGATTTCGGAAAATGAAGGAAAATCTAGGCCTAAACCAATACATAGCAATGGGTAAAAAGTACGATCTGGCGTCTGGATTCGCTGTCCCCTTCAGCAATAGTTTCACCATGGGCACGTTGTTTTTAGAGCATGTGCATTTCCATCGCCCCAAGGTATGGTATTTTCAATTTCATGATCCCGTTCTAATGGTCTACTATCACTTCAAATCTTTCTTATAGTATGCATTCTGCCACTCACTTCTCTTAATAGTGTCTTGTCGTCAACTCTACTTTTAACAAAATTCACCTTAACGTTGTAAACCGTGGCGACATGCAGCGCCGTCGTGCTCTCGAAGTCGTGCTTGTTTAGGTCAACACCCAAGGAGATGAGCTTCTGGACCGCTGGAAGCTGGCCATGCCTAGCACACCACAAAAGAGCTGTCTGACCCCGCTCTAAATCTTGGCAATCCAGATTTCCGGGTATTGTCCCAGGATCTTTGTCAACCTGTCAAGATTACATTGGTATGGATGATCGTGGTTTATATTTATATATTATAAATCATTTGCATTTTCTTCACTGATATGCTTTCCAATTTCTTACAAGAAACTACTCAGTTTTGTACCAAGAAATTACAACCTGTAATTAAGTGAATACCTTGTCGAAGAGGAAGTCGAATATTCCCCAGCATCCCTCTTGACATGCTATCATTAGGGGCGTTTCGTTCAAATCGTTTTTTTGATCCACATCTGCATGATACTCGATCAGTTTTGCGCAGACCGGCTGCAGCTCGTAGTAGATCGACCAGTGCAGCAAGGAAGAATTGATCGCTGTTAGGTCGTGATGAGCAGGATGAATGTCGTTGGAAGCACATCTTCTATGTCTTGAAAAAACTGAAACATGGCGTTGATTTCTCTGTTCAACTTTATTCTACCACATCAAGAAGTAACGACTCAGTAATGATTGTCGGCGCCTTTAGACAGAAAAACTCGCTAATACAGTCCCTCGCAGACGTGTCCACCCGCCCTTCGAGAAAGAGGTTCAGCGCTAGCTCCACCTCTCCTGAAAGAAAGGCGACAAGCATGCGTCGACCGCGCACTTCAGGTATTAGAATCTGCACCAGCAAATAACTAGAATTCAGAAGTCTCTGAAACAAGAACGTCAAGCACCCTGATCCTATATCATAGAAATAACCGATGATGACACCTTCAGATGATGCATCGGGTAACTTTGCAATCGAAAATATGAAACTAAAATTGGTACAACCAGAGACGAGACGACTCTTAACATTACATCCCATGGCTCCTCTTTGGAACCCAGTTTCTTCCAGAAATCCACGTCATCTCGGCGTAGCGGATCTATTGGCGCTGCCTGTAGCCGCTTCTTCTTCATGGTGTAGCCAAATCCAGGGACCCGCGCTACCTTTTTTGTAGAAAAAGAACCCGCGCCGCTGTCATTATTTTGCTGAATCATCGACATGGCTCTCGCTTCGTCTGCCCCTTGCTGCTCCCCACGTGGGCTCGCGCCAAGCCTCTGAGGACTCTCGATCTCGTCGAAAAATTTATCACCTATGTTGAATATGTGAAGATCACTATAAAAAATGGAGGATAATCATACATAGATATCAGACGAAGAATATCAACAACCTTTTGATCTTCGACATCGATCAGAATCAGAATATGACTTATAGAAAATAGAGCGTTAGTTGGTGAGTAATCCTAATCGTTTTCACTCCGCCCACGAAAATTAGCTAGAACAATGGAAGTACCTAAAATTTCTCGGCAGTATTCTAGGCACGGCAGCTTGTCTGGATCTGGCCATAGCTCTCGTATTCTAATGTGTCCGGCAGAAAAATCTTGCAGTCTTCGGATTTGAAAACGCTGTTGTTGTTAGAAACGATTTTTTCTGTAGATAAATATGGTTGTCGACGATGAATTCTTCATCATACTTGTATATCTGAAACCAGGTGGAACGAATTCGAAATTTTTACGTCTATCTAAATTAATCTATCTTAAGTCAGTACCATCTCTCCTCCCAAACTTTCTTCGAAAATCCTGTCCAGCGCTGCACAATCAGGGATTGAAGACTCATCATCCCGGCATAAAACGTATTTTCCGCTTTTGTCAATATTTTTCTGGATCCAATGCAAGAAGTCAAGACCATTTTTCACCTTGCCTCGCACTTGGTAGCGCGGAGGCAGCGCCTGCACCTCGACACAAATTTCCGGCATCGCGAACTAGCGCTGCTGTTCGTCCCCTTCTCCTGTGTTCATGTAAGCTTCCTGTATCTTTCCTGGCTGAAGATGTCGTGAGTGAAGTTGATGCTGTCGTAAATTCCTTGGCTTGTTTGTATCAATGCGCTCCGGACAACGCGTACAATCTCACCAGAAGCCGTTCTCAGTGCTTCGTTTATTTTGTGCAATGGTATGACTATGGTTACGCGACGGTGTGGCGTCACTTCGCGACGGTGTAGCGTCACGCCAACAGGTTCTTGTTAATATTACAAACTTTTACGTTAGTCATAGTATCTCGTATTACATCGGCTTTCCCGCCCATTGAAACTCCGGGCTTTTCCCGCACCGCCATCGGCCCCTGGAGCTCCTGGCGCTAGGCAGAACCAGATTCCAAACACAATGGACTAGACAAATTTGAATGATTTCGTCGAGTTTTAACCAAGAAAACGTATACTCATGAGATTAGAATGGAAGGTTAGATGAACAGAATGCGCATGTTCATTTACTTCGAAACGAGTCATGATAATCGGCAGAGAGAAACAAGCCCTGGCTCAAAACTTTGATACTGAAACTGATCCAAATAGTCGACGGGAAGTACTTGTGTGACAGTGACTGGAGGGGAAGAGAGAAAATATCGTGGTGTGCAAGACGACATCCAAGAGGAACGATCACACGACTTCATAGCTGAACCGATACTACAGAAAAAGAGACACCGATACAGAAACCGAACCCTCACCAATCGTATCACAGAACCCCTGATATAAACCGGCACATCAATGAATCGCATCACGGATGAATGCCGATACTGCTGTTCTTGAGTCTCTGTTGTCAACTTGCGGGTAATGATCTCTCTCCTCTTTACTTTATATTTCCTAGAATCATCATCATCATCATCATCGCGCCTCTAGTAGTCCTATTAGCGTACCAGCCAGCCGAAACATTCGTTATTCCAGTGCATCACAGGTATGACGTCCGTAGGATTGTGCAGCCTGGTGACGGGGTCATGCATGGGGTAATAAAGTAACCGAATTTCTCGAAAGGAGAAACGGCTCAGGGCGCTTGCCTGAGGGAACCTCAAGCAAAAGATTGCACGTTGATTGCCAGGCAAGCTGGATAATCTAGAGACATGATAGGGTCTCAACAAACGGCAGCCACTGAAGTCGGTAAATCGCCGTGCCATTAAGGTTTGTGGGATCCTGCCACTTTCATCTAAATTGCTTCCATTGAGATCTGAGAAAGTCGTCAATTCATTGATGCACGACTTAAAGTCTTTAGGATTACGATCGATACTGATACAGATATAATAAATTATCGGATGCAAGCATTCTATTTTTACACGACCTTACCTGTATCTACTGCATCCACCAATTCTTGTCAGACCTTTACGACACTCATACGTGCTCTGTTCACTGGTAGGAGTCGCACATGGCACCACATGTTGTACGTAGGTGCCCAACAAGCGGGCTCGTGTGCAAACGTAAGGGTCAGATGAAGGGCTTATGCCATTTCAAATGCGATAGATACAGAAGGAAACTATCGGAGTGGTTAGACTATCAATTTCTGTATTTTCATTCTGTGTATATCTAATAACAACAATTACAACCACGCTTATAGTAGAAGTGTTGGATGCTTCCGAACACGTCACGCCAGCAAGAGACGCCCAAAGCACAAAAGAAGACGATAAGCTTGAATGTGGAGGAAAGAAACAGTAGCGCATCGCCTGAACGTGAAACGTGTCGCGAGATCACTGACTGCCTATCCATGACCCTGATATTTGGGATACGATACAAGAGGAATATGGGGAGGAGGTAGCTTCCCCCTTTGTCACCATCCTACGATCATGAAGGTGCGATCGTGGTCCATTCAATGTTTCGCCATCGTTCACGTGGGTGGCCAAGTGGGTTCCTGTAGGCGCACGATCACAAAAATCCTCACGCTGTGACGAATCCCACACCACGAGAATCCTGACCAAGTTGAATCCTTGCCCGTGACTCTGATATCAATCAAGTCGCTCCGCCTCGTTCCTCGACGTTCCTCCCACGCATAGAGATCCCCACTACGCTCCACCAAGAGCATGAGCACCAAGGCCCCAGGTCCCCGGTTCGTTCTCATCATCATCATCATCACCAACCTCGGCGCAGTCACCACCTTCATCCGTATCTTAGTGGCCCCCGCGCCATCATTCTCATCCGCAGGCTGGTAATAATGACCCGAGTCATTCCCCTGACCTGCACGCGTGTGGCAGTGGTTGCAGTGTGTGCATTCTAGTGGTGTAGTCAGTTGGTCCGCACTTCAGTCGGTGGACATTGCTAACAGTTCCCTACTTCCACCAGCATGAGCACGCGGTCTATCACACTACCAATGCAGATTCATGATGGCTAGACCATCACGAAAGAACACGAACTCCCAGGCTCGCGGCAAAAGGGATTCCGTATTTTGTACAGGAATAGGATCTACGAAGGCCTAGAGATTGCCACTGATGCGAACCTTGAGGCTGTGGCATGAGAGATCAGATACTTCCAGGATCAGGGTGAACAGAGCGAAAGGTTGAGACTGAACCAGGCACCCCTTGCGCAGAGCATTCGGAATGGCGACCATTGACCAACAAGAAGTAAATCCCTAAAAATTCTAGACACAATCCGTGAAGTGGAGGTGGACAACCACATCAAGGACTGAGTGGCCGCAGCGCGTTCCCACAAGTCTTGATACGATGACCACCAAATCAATAATATTATAATCACAATAAGTACCACCGCTGGCAGGAAGATATTGATTGATTGATATGCCCACTCCTGGGGCATACCATTATTTTTCTCGGTAGGACTACATGATTCCACCCTAATTACTATCATAATTTTCCCATAGGACTATGTGCTTTTCCCACCTTGTATCATTCATCTTGCTCGGCTACTTCAACTTAACCCTAACTTTTTCTCGATTGCCTTCGCTGATTCATTAGCTCTGATCCTTCAATTAAACCCGTCACTTCAAGTCTTTTTCGAATTCGAGTGCCTTCGTTTTCAATTACTGAGAGATAATCAAGCCACAAAAAAGCCTTCCCATCTGAAAGGTTGACTGATTGATTGACTGACTGAGTTATTGATGTACCCACTCGCGGGGTGTAGCATCTTTAATTAGCTGCAAGACTATCCTCTATTTCTTCTTTCCTTTGTTGCATCTATTCTCACAATCAAAAAATTCTTTGGCTTACGCTTAGTTATTACAGAATATTATAACTATCACAAAGCTTATACAAGAACTAGCTGCGTGACACACTAGCACATCCTCACCCGTTACAACTTGCATTCCTCGCACGCAGCTTGGCCCAATCGGGGAGCAATGATCGTGTTCCACATCCAACATCCAACGCAGAATCCCAAAGCCGACTCAGCCCAGGTCGCCGCGTTGCACATTACCACAGCCAGCAGCAGCACGGGGGGATTTCGTAGAACCACCCCAAGAAACACGTATTCACCACTGCTATGAAAGGACATCAGGGTTATTGTATGGGAACCACTGATCATCTTCAAACTCGTACTCGTCGTGATTAAGGAGTTAAATATTCATAAAATCGTCAGTGTAGTTGCGGCAAAAAGGACCTCACAATCAGGACTAATAGTGGCTTGATTACTCATCAATCACAGTGACTAATCCTTCCTTCTGGCTCCTCCTGGCAAAGAGTTATATCTTCATCTCACAATATTCTCATTGATGGATGAGAAGTAGTCAAGTTCTCCTTTTGTTCTCTGCAAATTGAAAGTGAGCTACAACTTAACCTTGTCAAGCTGATAATTGTTTGCTTAAGTGCATTCATTTGAATAAATCAATGGCTCGTCTTGGAAGAAAAGCTAGAAACTCTATCACCAGGAGAATAATATGACCCAAGGCAAATAGTAGAAGTAAAGCAGCCGTGTGCTAGTCACAAGTTAGTAGATGTTAAATAATGTGAGAGACATAAGACAGAAGCCGATGATCCAAGCGAAGCGCTTTGGCTCCGCGGGTTTCCACAATGGCTGTGAAGGCCCAAAGGTCGAGGCCAGAGAATTAGAGATTTTTGCGTCAGACTGCAGATCCGACCTAACTTTTTGAGGGGGGGGCCTCCCAGCCCCGGGCCCTCTTTTCGAGGGGCGGCCGGGCGGGAAGGCCTCAAAGCACCCACTTCTGACCCCTTCCCGCTTGTTGCGTGTACCCTACAGACCTGGCAAAGGTCGCAAAGGCTGGGCCCTCTTGTCGTGTTGCCTGTACCCTACAGACCTGGCAAAGATGGCAAGGCTGGAGCCCTCTGGCGTGTTGCAGGTACCCGACAGAGCCGGCAGAGGAGGCAAGGCGGGACTCACCCCCTTGGCGTGCTGCATGTACCCGACAGACATGGCAAAGGTGGCCAGGCTGGACCCCTCTGGCGTGGTCCACCACAGATCCATCCACAGGGGGGGCCTCTCTCCCTGGTACATATATACAGCCAATGAATCTCATTCAACCCCAAAGAAACAACAATGGCCAAATTCAAAAGGCCATAAGGTTCAAAAACATAGCCATTAAGTAAGAGGGACACAAGCAGAAAGAGGCGCGTAACATGACACATGCACTCATCTCTCGTAAAGACTCGTTCTCAAAAAAACGAGGGGATATCAAGCGACAGAAACCGCTTTACAGAGAAACGAGCACGAAGGAATATGCGTGTAGACCTAAAAGCTATGAGTTAAAGAGGAGACGCTAAAACCTCAACGCAGAACGCTGGTTGCCTCAGTCTACGCGCTTTCTCGATTTTTTCGACGGACCAGCATGGGTGGGTCGTTACCGTTAGAATTAGTTGCCCGTTGTTGAATTATATTTATATATGAAAGATGAAGATCATGTTTTAGTTCACACGATTAAGTACCATCACCGAAGGTCATCAGAGATCGCAACTGAAGATGACGCAGAGTTTTCCAACTCGCAGGAGCATTAAGCCAAATGAACACAGCCAAGTGAGTGACAGCTTCGCCGAGAGTGAGGGTGATGCCTACAGGGGTGGGGTATCGACCGTGCACAGAGAGGCCCATGTTCCAAAACCAGAATATTCAGTCTCACTTTTGCATCATCTTCATCTGCAAATGAATGAGAAACCAACTGTCAGTCCAACATTCCGTCATGAGCATGATATTGGTTGAGGTTTCCACCAAGAATACAATTGTTAGTGGGGTGGAACTGACGTAAAACTTTAAGACGTTCCCTGCTCTCGTTCGCATGATGTCTTTTTCTATTTTCGTATTTATAAATATGGTGATACAACAAAAAAAATCAAAATTTCGTTGCAGCTCAACCTTGGAAAATAAGGATTCTAACGAACCGAAATCCTTTTATAGCTACGTCGAAGAATATCTAGATAGATACCAATCATACCGGCAATGCACTCTTGAACGTATTTCCCCTTACACATGGGAAGTAGCCTGATTGATTCAGGGTTTACAGGTACGCAAATGTGGCCATATGACGCCAACGAACATGCTTGGTGATAATGTAGTGTGTACTTCAGCGCCCAGTACTTAACGACCGTAAATCTAAATCTAAAATTCGTCAAAAACGTCGGGACGAGGTCCTTCGATGTCCCACTTGACTTATGACTTATACAAGAATTGACGAGGACGAAAGACGATGCTATGCATCACATGAAAGACTTCTAGTCGAGCTTTGGTGAGTCGATCCTAAGTCCAAAACTTCGGCTACATGATCGCGTCGGAGGAGTACTTCCTTACTTTTGCTTCACGTCTTTCTTGCTCTCGGATCAGGTGGCACATAAACCAATTCCCTGGCTTGGTTGACACGCTGCTGCGATTCACGCAGCACGGCTTCTCTATGCACCCCCGAGGCATCGTACATGGATAGTTTTTCAGTCAGGTTTTCGTGTAATCGCAAGAGATGGCGGCAATCGTGTGCTGAGTAGGTGTTTAGAGCTGCAAAGTAGAACTACAACTACTGTAAACATTTCTCGTGTCAGCATTTGCATTTGCAGAGATGATAAACATCATGACGGATCAAAAGTCCGTCCGTTTGTATTTTTTGAAGGAAACAATAATTGTGAAGGGACTAGATTTTTGACTGATTAAGGACAAGGCGTATTATCATTTTTTGAAGAGAATTGATCACGCACAGGATGGCGCTTGCAGAAGCATTCGTGATCACCTTAAGATGAGCAGTCTCGATGCGAGCGGACGTTGTGCAAAGACTGCGTAGTCGCCTCCCTGTGAAGGGTCGAAGAGTTGCTTTCCTTTCACGGCTATCTCCTGAGCGAACCTCAACTCTTCAGGCCGGAGCAGGTCTTTGATATTATCGAGTGCGGTTATTAGAGCCCCATCATCGTCAGCGCTTCAGTAATCGTAATGTCAACACTCATCAACAAATCATAGTCTGGTATCTATTAGTTGTAGTCCATTAATTATGAGGCTTCTTGTTCCCGATCTTCTCACTCACCTCAAGATCTTCTTGTTCTCATTTTTCCTCTGCGTAACTTCATGAGCCCCACAACGTATTTGACGCTGAATCCTCGGTTTTTTCGAAGGAGCACGTCCGCAACTTGTATATCAAAAACATGCTTTGGCGAAATGTGAAACTGCCACCACAATGCGTCACAATCATTGCGGCAATCAAACCAGCTTTTGGTCACAACCTCGCTTTCCAAGAGACTCTTCAAACTCAACCCGCTAGACTTTGTTGGAGTCGTTGTAGATAGTGTTGACTTTCGACTCTTCTTCAAGTCCACCGGTTGCCCTTGTTCCTCGTTAAAACCTGGCGCTAGATGTTGGTCTTCTTGTTCAGGATCAGGAATTTCTGCAGATACTATCAGTGGTGGAGAAGCGTCAGTTGTTTTTTCTGATGGAGATGCCCCTTTCACTTTCAATGTAGTTGAAGATGTGCCTAGTTCCAGTGTTCCCGCTGCTGTGAGACAAAAGGCACTGCTTCCTAACCGGTGAATGTCAATCACGAATATCGTTTGGGGCTCGATATCTAGGACCAACTGCATCAGACAAAGCTCGCCATGCCTGCAGAGCTTCACCTGCACATATATATAAATATTAAGAGCAAAATTAAAAAACAAACAACGACCCCGCCAGACTCTCAATCTTCCCCTTCTGACTCACGAACTTAGGAACTCATGAACTTACTGGACTCATGAACTTGGCTAGATTTCGCGCGGATGGGTATCAAATAAAAAATTTACGCGATAAAGTCAAAACTTTTACACTTTGAACTCAGAAAGTTCGAATTTTTCGAAAATTCATGGCGATGCGAAAAAGTTGGTAAACGTTATTACATTACAGATGTCGCGCGGAAGGGTCGTAAAATTCAAAACTTACGCGATAAAGTCAAAACTTTTACGATTTGACCGCGAAAAGTTTTGATTTTTCGAAAATTCATGGCGAAGATGCCAGCAAGTTTATAAATTTTATCACGTTCCCACAGAAATCACAAAGCGACAGAGATAGATAAAAAACCAACGACGACCCCTCCAACATCCGAACCCAACACACACCAAACCGAAAACACTTGAAAAAAAAACACGCGACCCCCATCGCAGCTCTTTCCGCTCCTTTTCTAATCAACCAACAAGCACAACACGCGAACACACTAACCCCCGGCACGGCGTCGAGCATTTGTTAAAATAAAGCGCTCACGCGGCGGCCCGATTTCATTCGTGGGCGTTAAAATCAAAAACTTTGCCCAAAAAGCCCAAGCTTTTGACTTTATCAGCTGAAGCCTTATCCCCAACCCCAAGGCCGATAGCGTAAGCATAAGAATTGAAAAGCCTAACGGAAAGCCCACGCCTGAAAGCTCAAAGCTGAAGGCCCAAAGTCGAAGACCCAAAGCCGAAGGCCCACAGCTGAAAGCCCAAGGCTGAAAGCTCAAAGTTGAAAGCTCAAAGTTGAAAGCCCAAAGCCGAAAGCTCAAAGTTGAAAGCCCAAAGCTCAAAGCTGAAGGCACAAAGCCCAAAGTTGAGAGCTCGAAGCCGAAAGCCCCAGGCTAAAAGCCCAAAGCCGGGCGCTTAAGATGAAAAGCGGCGCCTCAATGTCTCAAAGTCTCAAGTTTGAGCCTGGAAATCCAAAGTTTTTCACTCTATTATCTCAAAGCTTCAAGCTTGAGACTGGAAATCCAAAATTTGTGAATATATCTAATAAAAGCGAAATCTAAAACATTCCCCTTCCAGGTCTTTGATTGTATCAAAAGCAGAGGAACCGCAACAATTTGCAAACTTGAGCGCTGCAACTTGCACGCAAAGAAGGCCAAACCTCCGAAAAGAAGAGCAAACCGACACCAGGCCAACGACTTCGGTCTGTGCCGTTTCAATCAATGGCCGCACGCCGCCCCCCGCCCACCTCTTGTTCCAACGATCAACGCCGCCAGGCGGTTGCCGGGCGGGGGAGGAGCCAGGGGGGCGAATTCGCGCCGGGGTTGAGGAAGTGCGTGCCGGGGGTGTATGATCCTAGTGGGAGGAGTGCTCCCGGGTGCTCAAGTCTAGTATATACGTATATACTGGCGGAGCTAGCCTAACTAGGAAAAAACACTCATGAAGACTTATTTTGCTTTTACTAATATATATATAATTACAACTTGAACTTAGTACTCCTTCGAAGTCGACTCCAACAGTTCTGCAGGCTGGTATCTTCTCAAGAAGGTGGAGGAGTCGCGCATAGGTATCCACGAATATGATCTGGAAATCGGAAGCCTGAAATCCTTCTTCAGAGGAGCAGGTGTAGGCATGGCAGTCAAATGACTCAGTATTCAGCGCACAAAATTAGCATAACAAGGTGAGTTTTTGTTTTTAAAATTAGAAATGCTATCGGGATTCAGATCCATTTTTCTTGAAACTGTATTTCCCATACAGGTAGACTTCCCCAAAAAGTTACTCAAAAGCAGACTTGAACTTCCGTAGAAGAACGAAAAATATCTGAGCATCCTGGTCACGCAGTTCGCAGTAGCTCCGGCACGCGCATAGGCCTCACGCGAGGCGCGTCCTACGTGGGCGAGGGCGTCCTGCAGATGACGGACCAGTTTCACAAGCGTTTCTAGTTGCAGACTTTTTTCGTTCTCGGATAGAAGTTCTTTAGCTTCATCCGTCTCCTGTGAAGAATGCGAGGAAGACGATGGAGAAGAAGGAGAACTACTTGATGTCGTGGCGCCCGAAATTAACCCCAGGCACGCCTTTTCGCGTGCACCTGAGGCTACACTCTCGCAATGTGCATTCGAAATCGAAGGCTTTGGTGTAATACTGCAAGACACATCTCGAGGAACGGGAGAAACTCGCTCTGAATCGCCCGCTTCGGTCGGTGTCTTCTTCATGCGTTTCTTTTTGCCACGCTTTTGATCAGCTGCAGCTTCTTCTGCATGAGCTTCTATTTGTTTCCCTCTATTCTCCATATCTACCTCCAGGCGTTTTTCTGTCGGAGTCCCCTTGATTGTCGTACAGCTTGATGCATTTTGCCCAACTCCGGAGGCTGCGCTCCTAGTACTAGCTTTTCCTTTATCAAGAAGCAGAACCTTCAAGAACTCAGTCGCTAATGATCCGCACACAGAGTCACTGGGCAATATCTGACCGAGTTCGAAGATCGTTTCACGCGCCCTACAAGCGTCGACTATCGCGGCGTCGAGAGGTCGAAGCAGAGAACTGCGAAACTTAGATCAGTGCCATGCCGCCCAACATGGTCGTACGTCGTGTATGGCTATGTTGTGCTTGTGGGGCACCGATAAAGATTATTGAGAAGACTTGCAGGCTAGCATAAGCATTTTGAGTTGAAAATTGTACGAAGTCTAAACCATAAGGACGTAGTCCGCCATTGCTTCGAGTAGGCTACCATCAAGAAAAAAGTCCAGGCATGTACTCGCTGAAACATCTCCTCCGTCAATCAAGTCCGCCACAAATGACGGCGACAACCAGTGCTGTACGACGTGATCGACGAGTGATGATAGCAGACTTTCACCAGTTGTAGTGTCTATCACACGTTCTGTTATCTGCTCCGCTTTTTCACCTGCTGAAGCTTCAGCATTGCAAGAATCTGGTGCCTCATCCTCAATCGGACAACTTTGTCGATTATTGCAACTTGCTAAAGCAGCACTAGTCGTGGTGTCATACTTCTGCTCTCCATTTCCATCACCATTAGACGAAGTAGCGCTTGCGTTAGAACAAGTGTTATTACTCCAACTAGTTGCACAAGAACTAGCTGACGTTGGTTCTTCGGAAGAACTACCGACACCAGAAGAAGATCTTCCACTGGAGTCCACTCCCACCCATTTTTTTGCCACGTGCGAGAGCACAGACGCTATCGGTGAAGACCTCTGTTCGGAAGACAGAAAACTTTGTTGCTGTAGCGACTGGAGCATACGTGCCACGACCAATCGAGCGCGCCGCAGAAGGAACTCATCTAAAAACGAAACTAAGTCGTTGTTGCACGACTCTGACTGTTCTTCGAAGGAGGAACCGCTACTTCTCCTTGCGTCCTCCTCTCGACGTGTGCCTCTCGTCGTGTTCGAGATATTTCCACCTTTCTTGGCCAGCAGAAAAAGGTCTTGTCGTATCCTTGGCAACTTCTGGAAAAGCTGTCTTGTGAAGGAATGTTGAACGCCGCGGCATCCCCTGCTATGCACTCGACGAGGACCACTACTAGAACTCGATGCAGTTGTTGCCGCCAACGTAGTTCCGTCTCCAGCTCCTTCCGCAGATCGAGACGAGCTATGCACCTCGCCTGCTCGGACAAATGCCGAACTACTGGGTGAAGACTTACTGGTGGGGGACAATCCAGCACCACCAGTTGGACTTGCGCTCTTTTGTATCTGTATCTGATGACTGGTCCCGCCTCGAGCCCTACGCCCTTTCCTCGAAGAAGTTCCTCCTCTCGGCACGATTCCCCAGTTCTTAGTGGTTTCATCTTTCTTGCTCATTCACCTACTTAATACTTTGCGTCCTATGTATAATCTTTATTGTGACCATCTTGCATTCATTTACGAGCGTGGCTACCATGCAACTCCTTCAAAAGCCACATCAAATAGAAAAAAAGCGTGACAAACGCGAAAGAACAATCTTCAAGGCAAAGGCTACTAGTACAAGACTCAACATAATAAAGTTAGGGTCCGTAGTTCCGTTTGTACTTGGCGCGTAGCGTGAAAATCGACTCGCCTTTAATTTCGTAATTGCCGACACAACTGAGGCAGCTTCAGGTGGTCCCTGCGATTCCTCCTTGGCGGAGTAGAAACTCTCTGAAGGCGTTGCACTGCCATTCGTTGCGACCCCAGCATACTGAAACAGTAGTTGCGAAGAATAGTTTTGGAGAACTCGATCAGCAATGGCACAATTCATTGCTAGACAAACACCACGCAATGAATTCCACACCACCAACGAATCTTTCAGGAAGTTGCTATGACCTTACTTTTCATCTTTCTAACAACTACAACGAAACTAGAGTCGTAATATCCTGGAACTGACACTGAGAGTGTAATTCTATTCAATATCAAGTACCTCCGTTCGCTGAGGGGATGTGCGTGTTTGAGGAGTCCCTTCTGCCGGAGGTCCACTCTGATTTTTCTGCCTGTGCGACTCTGCTGGGCTGGTGGGAGACGACTCGGTCGCTGGCGGCGGCGGTGTCCACGACCTAGTAACGCCAGCCATGTCTACTACTTTGTCACTAGCAGGTAGGAATAACGCCTCGTCGAGGGACAGTACAGTCACGACTCCATGTCCATCCTTCGTGGAGCCTCCAGAACAATAATGTCTTACAACTGGTGCCCGTGCATTCCCACAGGTCAGTCCGCGGCTCTTCGTTCCTTCTTCTCCATCTGTTGTAGTCCCGTCACGGCCACAACTGGAGTGTTTACTTGTCATGTGAGTGCCCCTGATATGACCCTCCGTGGTCACCGTCGAGACAAAATGGCAGCCCGCCTTACTTACCTTCGAAGTCGTCCCTATATGGTTTACAACAGAGCCAGAGGCAAGCAACTGTGGAAAATCGGTAGTCACCCTTGTTGTGCTCTTGTAGTTTGGCGAACAAATGAGACGGCCTTTCGGTGACGCCTGGGCTCCCGAAGGAGAGCTCATGCTGCAATCTAGTGACAATCCGCTACGGCCTGAGGAGCTAGGAGTACCCACTTTGGCACGGCCACTCGCTGTTGTCGTTGCATTCGAGTCCGCCGGACTTCCTGTTTTGTACATGTACCCAGCACTCTGTTGTCGCTGCTGCCTCGTCTTGGTATTCGAATGCGGAAGTAGCGTTGTAGATGAGGAGGACGTTGATCCTTCTTGTTGTCGCACCGGCGGTATTGTTGGCGGTGTCGGTGGCTGTTGTTGCGAGCCGTTGTAGCCAGACATACTGCTTTCGTGGTACGAGGACCCGTGGTCCTGGTCGCTTCGCCACCTCGCAATCGCTACTGCCGTTTTGTGGTAACCTCCAGCTGACGAAGCGGCGCTCGGACGCTGGACGACTGAAGCTGTAGAAGACGAGGAAGACGACCAGGACGTTCGGGTGGTGCAGAACCTCGAGTTACCAACTTGATCAACGTAGCAATTTGTAGTGGCTACAGACGGACAAGGACCGCCTTGATATGGCTGTCCCCCTCTTACTGCTCGCTCATCTACGTAAGGTACGTAGTGGCCTGCTCCTGATGTGTAGACAGAATCTGCCTTAGCGTGGTGGGGTTGGTAGCCCTTCCCGCCAGTTGCAGTTATTTGCCCTTCGGTGCCATGCATCCCCGTAGCCTTTCCCGCCACACCTCTTGCCTGATGCGGGTGATGGAAATGCACTCCCGAAGAGCTCGTGCCAGGATCGTGCGGTCTTTGGTGAGATGGTAACTGGTGCAAAACGCCGGAGCCAGGAGCACCACCCAAAGCAGCTATGCCGATGCTAGCACCGCAACCGCTCATGACTGGCGCAACGATTACGCGCCCCGCGACAGGTGCCTGACCACTCAGCACGGGCGGCCCAACGGGGACTACAGGACTCGTATGCACAGGCTGGTTAGAAGACGACACCATACCACGTATCACTGCTGGGCACATACCTGATCCAGTGGCCGCGCCGACGGTTGCACACTGTTGCATGCTGTGACCTCGTGCCATCAGCGGCGCCGCGCCGGCTGGTGCGCTGGACGTTAACACAACTGTATGACCCTGCTGCACGCTTTGATGGTGCGCGCTTTGATGCTGCACGCTTTGATGGTTCGCAGGCAGCGCTGTTCCGGCGCTCGTAACGAAGGCATGCTGGTGCGGTTGCGGGTGGTTCAAAGGTGCTGCATATGTTGCGCGAACCTGCTGAGGACCCAGCCCACCTGCCTGCTGCACGATTCCAACAGGTTGCATTGCGCTGCCCGCATGATGCACGATTCCACCAATTACCGCTGGACCTGGCATTCCGCAGGCACCGCTCTGCGTAATGTTAGACGCGGGTCTATCCCAACTACCTCTAACTCCTAGTCCTATCTACTCTTTATATCAATTTTCCTAAAGTCAGTTCATGTTCAGTCATCCATTGTTTTAAAGAAATGTAACACAGCTCTCAGCTTTTTCATCGGATACTAGGCCCATCAAAAATGTTGTAGCGTTATTTTGCTCCACTTCCACATATATTGACATAACAAACTCAGGCCGGTGCGTACGGGCAACGACATGGTAGTGCGCTTGCTGTAGTGCTGCTGGATCAACAGCACTCGTGGGCGCACCAGCCGGATTTTGATACACGCTCCCAGGATGAAACGAGACATATCTAGAATACATGAAATTTTTTGCATTGGCTACACCATCAGGTCGGAATCACTATACATCTTCACGACTAGTAACACGAAGATCCAATACCAATTAGCGAGCTTGCTGCCGTACAGCAATTATAGTACTAGCAAAAGAAGTCAAATACTCGGAACTCCAATCGTTGTGTTGTGCCATTGCTGCGATATTTTCCTCTTTCCCACCCTATGAAATCCTCCACACGGCGACCAATCTTCGTCGCCGAAGCGCACAACAAAGCACCACCAAATCCTGGTAGAGGACCCCGTTTTAAGCGTGCATTCTTACAATCTCCAACTCGTCGTTTCACGCAGAACAAGAGTCATCCACAACGATGCAGTTCCACTCAGGTTGCGGCGTTGCTCCAGCATGCCGCGTCGGTACGTCAGGCAAACGCACTGCACGAAATTGCGCCGATCCCTCCACACATCGACGCGAACAACCAAGTGGCAACAACAGCGCGTCAATCTGCAACCCGACAAGTTGCGAGTGCCAGTTAATGTTTTCAGTCGTTCCTCCTTGTTGCTGTGATAACTCCAGTCCCACTTTTTTTTCAAATTTAATAATTTGAAGCAACAACATTAATGATGGTCATTTTTCATGTTGTCACAAGAATGGACTAAGAAAGACGCGTAAACGCAGCAACAATGTCGGGCATTTTGTAACATGATCGTTAGTAGGTACTTGCTGTAATTCTAGGTTAGAAACGAAGCTTTCCAATTAAACTCCGGATTTCTGTAGAAGTTCCAACGTAGAAGGACTGAACAACAAAAACGCGCGGTAATATTTGTCCCTTGTTCTGCGAGGATCAGCATCTTCTGGGATCAAAAACGAACTCTTAGAGCCTGGTGCGGAACAACCAGGCAGCATACCCTGGCTCGTCTGCTTTATACTTTGTTGTCAACGGAACTTACAACGCGTCAGTCGTCACGTCATTTGCTGTGACTGCGGGTACGTCAAAAGCTACAGGTATGGCTCTTGCCCTGTGTGTAGGAGTGGAGAGAACACTTTTAGCCAGTAGAAGAAAGGGTGGCACAAGTAGACCACGCTTTCGATTCTGGGCTTTCTTTCGTAGTTGCTGCTTTCACCCAACGACCACGTTCGACTTCGAGTTGCCCACAGATAAGAACGAGGCTAGTATCAATTAAGAATCTAGAAATAAACGTAGCCAATCTGCTTGAGCGACACCTATTGTGAGACTCACGAGATTGTGGGTTCATTTTGAGCCATGACATCTTCTTGCTTTTAGTTTTACTCTGCAAACCTGTGATGACCTAGCTTTGTTGACATTCGTCCCTCGAGTCCCTGGTTATTTTGGAATCAAGAGACTCGTTACATGTAGGTAGTTGCAGACAAGCAGACTTTCAGGTTCAATTTTCTACCTAAACAATGCGGCTGAGAACCTAGTTGTGACTGATTGGTGATGGATTTGAATGATTCTTACACTGGAGGCTGCGTTTGTTAACGCAAAGAAATACGACTAGATTGACCACGACTGGACTGATTTTTTAAGACATTGGTATTCGACTGAAAAACGCAAAGCTGAGGTGTTGACTGATTGTGAAAGGAGTTTCTTGTTGACTGATGACTGAATAGAAGACGAGTTAGATTGTTGAGTGAGTGATGGAGAAGAAGATGTGCGACTGCGCGAAAATGAAAAAATGAAATGTAGGCAGGCGACCTGGTCTTCAGCAAGGATTATACACGCTTATGGAAGCCGAGCCTCCAATGGAGTAATGAATATCAATTTTTACATGATTTACATGGCGATGGCTTGTATCAACTATATGCTTACAAATTCAAATTATACAATGCATATTAGTACGATATCCAATTATGTCAAGCGGCGCATATTAGATGAACATGTAGTTTATTCCTGTACAACTCTGATAGGGGAAGAGATGACCAATCCAAAATTACATCCATGAAAAATCTACTGAAGATGGCCAAAAAATGGAGTGGAAGAAAGAAAATTATAGATACACACTGTATGCAGTTTCAGGTCATTGTATGTTGTGGTAAGTCTCTATTTCATTGCGGTTCTCCTGCAGTGCTTTCAGCGGCATGGTCGCGCAGCTCTAAAGCCTCAGTGGGCCTGGCATCATTTCGTCAAAATTTCACTTCGTCCCAATGCGAAGAAGCCGTTAGCCCGTCGAACTCAGACTGCTCTCAGAGAAATTTCGCTCTGCAGCACCGAAATCAAGTTGATCCAACGGTGTCTTGGTCTTTGACCCACCCGCGTAGAACTATGAACAGTGGATAGTCAACATCGTAATGTTTTACCAACATTTCCTTATATTTAAGTATATTATCTGATATTGTAGAAGAACCACGCATGCTGGTTATTCATTCATTCATTCATTTGCGAACCACGTGACAACTTACGCTGCCTGATTCCGTTGCGACCCGAGTAGAGACGCGGCAGAGAACCGATAGCGCCATGGCATGAGTAACGCCGACACGCTCGGGTAAACAAAACCGATAGTCACAGAAGCAGCTCCAACCTAGTCACCCTACAACGCTTACACCAACTACTCATGGCCCTAAATACTACGCTACACAGTGCGGGGGACTTACCTTCGGGTTGTGGTGTTGTTGTTGTTGCCGTTGTTGATGTGTAACTCCTTCAGCGAACACTCAGAGCACAAAGGCGCGCGCCTCCTCTTCACGATTAGTCTTTTTGTGATGCTAGGGCGCGAGTCTACCTGCTAATCAGTCAAAAAAAGTAAGAAAACTACTGCTGGTTTTGTGCTTGTGCAGGGGGACTACTATTGCTGCTACTACTCGCTTCCTGAAAGCCCGCGCCGCTGCTTCCGGCAAGCGCGACGTTATGCATCTGCATCTTCTTAGGCCTGCCCCTCTTCTTTGGCTGCTGCGCGACTGTTGGCTTCATCAGCACTTGCTTGGTGGGGTCTCGGCCGGTGGTCTTCTCCTTTCTAGGCCTACCTCTAGGCTTGGGAGCGACTTGCTCCTGCGGCTGCCCTGGTTTCTTGACCCGCGGTTTTGTGTTTGCGCGGGTGGCCTTCACGGGCTTGCCCTTGGTTATATGAGTAAGTAAGTACTTGGAATAAAATGATTCATGAGTGGGGAATGACAAATCAGCGAGCATAAATTTGGTTGCTGCACCACCGCTGGCGCGGTCTTTCCACCTATTTGCTGTAGGCGGTCGCGGTCATCATCCAAACATCCTTGCACCGCATGCTCCAGTGCAGCAAGTAATTCTGTGACTTCCTCCACATCATGCAGATAATGGCGGGCCTTCGAAGGTTTTTGTCCGATGGTACAACTGATAAAGCTGTTTTTCCTTTCTCTTTCGCGAGTTGTCTGCGCGCCGTCTGTTAAGACGGTGCCCTGATTGAACAGTCCGAAAGCCTGACTCTGGTTCACACTTCCTGACCGTATCATCCCAGTTCCGCCTACCACACTGCTTGAAATGAAGAAGAAACAAGATACGTAGAATGAGTCCTTCAGGGTCTGAAGATGTTGTACTTCTTGGAGGTGATACGCATTTCAGATTATATTGACTGTAGAGGCTGCCGCCAATCATCCTTCACGCGCTCATAATACCAAAGAGGGACCCGCAATTATGCAGCTCAACAAACTTGTTAGTTCTTCTAGTAGTTGTTGTACTCAGTTTTTATCCATGATCACATAATTGTGGGTGGCCTCTGACGCGGTTCAATGCCCACAGGGAAGAATTGCCTACTCGCGCAGTCCGATGTCGACTTGTCGTCGTCCTCGTCCTGGTCTGCCGGGTCCGCATGATCCTCTAGGTCTCGCAGTTGATTTACAACCTCAAACATATTCTCATCACTGCGGTCATCACCCATACACAGCACGAAGTCCGGATCTCCCCGAATATTCGAAACCTTCTGTAAGATTTTGCTAACGGCTGCACCCTTATTGATACCAGCGAGCTTAACTTCCACATACCCTTTGCCGTTCGTGATCTCCACTGGCAATCTGATAAACATGATGAGAGAAGTGTGACACCAAATATTCGTGTGGAGGAAAAGGCATAACCAAAAAAGCTAACCTGAAACAATCTTTTTGAGGAATTTCTAGTGAATACTTGCTGCTGAACGAACCCCAACATTAGTCTACCCAAAGACAGTGCCGTCGTAAGGCCAGAAAAATTGAAATAGAAATTCTTCTATGTATTGTAGTAGTAGTACCCAAACATGAACTCTCTCAGATGCTGTCCTAGCTCTTTTGCCTGCAAATCACCGAATTCCGGATCTGCTTCGCGGTACTGCCAAACTAGAGCAGAGCCCTTGTTTTCCATGAAGGAGCCTTGGGTTCGCGCTGAATATTCCTTCATAAGCTCAAACGCGATTTGCTGAGAGGACAGGCGAGTGACTGATGTGATGATGTGTTGCATCCACTAGAACTCAAAGTATTGTGCGTCTTGCAAAGTCGTAGGCACATCAAATCTTTGTTTCTTCGAAACAAATCACATGGAAAGATTCTCCTCATACTCCAAGAGTCACATCTTCCAATATGAGTTATCTATGATGTATAAGGCACTTACCTTCCATTGAAAATCCGTAGCTGCCGTTTGCAGCTGCACCCACTCTTCTCCTAGTAGAGGTGGTATTCGGTAGCAAAAACCATGCTCCGCCGCAAGACCTATTTTTGGCACTTGTGAGAACCAATGATCGAGCTGCTCCTTCGTACGTCCAGATATCACGACTACTATATTCCGTGGATCTTTCATTAGCTCATGGGCATTAGAGGTGGATTGCAACTGTAGAGTCGCCACTTATCAGATAATATCTGTTTGGTATGATTGACCAAAGAAACCACCTTATATATAGGGTGCACTAGCCAAGAGTAAAGAAGATCAAGATCTTAGAATTAGATGACATCAGTCTATAATCATGGGTACTTGAAGTTGAAAATTTTACGTCTACTGCCATAATCAAAGCCTGCAAGACAACCGTACTCGGTGCCGCTCCGTAGCTGTTGAGTTCGGAGACCTCACGAACCCGAAGGTTATCCTGCGTTCGCGCAAATCTTGTGGCGAGATTCGGTGCCAAGGTGCCCTCGTTATCAAGCAAAAAAACTCTACAGCCTCGCGCTGTCCTGTAGGCGTGGATCACGTCCTCCGTGTACAGCTAAGAATGAAGAGGGTACAACATAATGATTGATCAGTAGAGTTCGAAAGGGCAAAAAAGTCAAAATACTGGTTAGCCCTCACCAGAATCTGACTCACAACGGAAGGAAAATGACACGAGTATCGATTAAATGAGCCTTAATTTGTGAAAGCAGTGTCGAGACTCAAAAGGCGGAAGTTGGCACCAAACCCGACTGCCACGTAGCTCTTGTCGTCTTTTTTCCTCGCGGCCCGCAACTCCACAAGAAAATCCTCAACCCAAGAGAACGGATCGCGCGAGCAAACGTAACTCCAGTCCCTATTGAACCTCTCTCTCTTCTCCTCGTCGGAGCAGAATGAAGGAACGAAATCATTTCTTAATCTTCTCCAGTTGTACACATGGTGTAGCTCATGCTCATGCATGTTGATGAATCACGTAATTGCATACAACACGTGAAGAATCCGGGTATGCTTAAGCAGTCTGAAGGCAACACAATCTTATTTCTGAAACAGCATAACATTCGGCAGCATTTGGCACACGCTGCGATCACCTGAGACGTGTTCCAAGGGTTTACCAAAACTGCACCTTGCAAGACCTGCGATACTCCGGAAAACTCCGATACTATGACGGGCGCTATTCGCTCCTTCGAACGACACGCGAGGAACTCCAGCGGACATAGATTCATCCCATCTTTCACCTGGGTGTCCAATAGCACGTCCGTTGCTTGGAGTAGTGCGAGCTTTTCGTCTCGGTCTATTTCGCTTAAGATCAGCAACACGTGGTGTCCGAACGTATCGTTGATTGATGTTGTGATAGCCTCTAGGTTCTCGAACAACCTCCCCTGCTCATCCGGGTGTGAAACCGATGGGTAAGCGCACTGAATGAGCACTACTTTATTCCGCAAACTCGGATACGCGGTCAAGAGAAACATGAACAAAAATAAGAAACAAGGGTGAAACTCGAAAATCGAGTCCGTTGGCAGGGACACTAAGAATATCCTTCACGAGGAGTTATGGCGTAGAAGCTACCTGAAGATAGTACAACGATAAGCCATGTGTGCCTCACAAACTTATAAATATAGTGCTAACACTGTGGTTTCATAAAAGAATGCCATGCTCGCATTTTCAGCATGGTCCCAGCTAGCGCTTCGCTTCGGTCTATGCCGGTAAATATTATCCGGCTTCCCATGTCTTCTCGCAAGTGAAAAAAAAGACCCCGCCTAAAGGACCGAAACTTTTGTACAACGGTGCTGCCTCTTGCGTCCCCGCTGTGCTGCCTCGCCAGTGGTAGTCCACTGACCAAAGCAATTCCTGTCGTACTCGGTGAACTCGTTTGGTCGCTGGCATAATTACTCAACCACTCATTACTTGAGCCTGGAGGCCGAGTGTTTGCGTCTGGTGGTTCGAAACCCTGGCCTCCGCTACCGCCTCCGATGGTGCCGGTGTTACTCGCTCCTCCTCCGAAGTTACCTCTAGTACTCTTCTCCAAAGCACTCTTTGCCTTGCCCGCTAAATTTCCGGAGCTAGTAAACTGCGGCGGCCCCGCGGAGGTTGCGAGTAGATTGCTACTCGACGCGCTACCTCCTCGCTGCTCCCTCAGCATGCCATTGACCGTGGCGCTCGCTAACATGCTGTTTGGGGGTGCACTAGGTGAAACAGTCAACCCGGGCGGTTTCAGCGTGGCGGGGCCTCGCCCGCTAGCACTAGTCGAAGCTGACGAGGGCGGACCCGGTGCGGTAGCCCGTGATATGCTGACTGGGGGCTCGGGAGCCGTGTCGCCACCCGCTGAGAGAAATCCTGTGCTGCTCGTCGTTTTCTTCATGCCTAGCCCCGCCCCTATTGGATTCGTGGCCGACGAAACCTCTCCATTCTGCCCTGCATTCGAATCCAACAAAGTCTTACTGCCAGCTGCACTGCCTGTCCTTATCCGCGTCGTGGGAGACACAATCGACGGAGTCGTCGAGGGGCTATTTGCGATACTGCCTGGAAGGTCGTCGGCAGCAATCGTGGACCCGATGATTTGCTGCCCTGGCCTACCCCCAGCAATGTTGTAGAGATTTTGACTCCCCGTAGTTCCGGGTGCCGTAATTACCTTCGGCTTCTTGTAGTTTTTCACGTCGGCCTCTATTGCCTGCCTCAGCACCTCAGACGCGGAGGCGACCTTTTCGGCAGAGATGCAGGTATGTGACACTTTGACACAGACGTCACGACCTACATACGCAAGCGCGAGCTGCCCATTTGGGAGATATTGCCAGTCTAGACCAAGTAAGCGCTTGACACACACAAAAAATTTCCGCGCGTGATCAAAAAACTGGAACCTGAAAGTCCACAGTTGTAGGAATGCATGAAAATATCGCTCAACTCCTGATCGTCCATTAGCGATTTTACTCGGTCTTTTTCTTGTTCTATGTGCAATATGATGACTTCACATAATAATTCATTGATTTAGAAGTATTTCAAAGGCATATGAGAAAGTACCCTATCAAATCGCTGCACAAGAGAGCACGCAAGAGTTCCTCACGACAAGGAATCGATCGGAAAATATCGAAACTCGGAAAGGTCGTGTGCAGAAAGAAACCAATATTGGCCATGCGCAATTTCCGCGTCAGATATTGAGGACACAACATCAGATGATAGTTGTGCACCCAAAACAGGTCCTGTTCGTGCGAATGCCGGATCGCGACATCGGCGTAAGCATGATTCACCTGTATAGTCGCTTGCGTATGAATCCTATGGTTACGTTGCCGAGGTATTAGTTGCCAGCGCAATAAATGTAAACTTGACAAGAGAGGTGTTGGTCATTTTACCAAGAAATGACATTCCTCTGTTCACATTTCAACGATAACAGGATGTTTCTACACGAACGAAGTACAATGTATACTCTGTAAAACGAACAACCATTAGTTACCCTTTGGTATGATGCCCAGTGCTCTTCATCAAAGGGTTCTGTTCGGCCGACCATTTTCGTCATTACATCGTGAAACACTGGCCAGAGGAGATCGTGCGAGAACCGCACAAAGTTATCGAATTCTTGAGGGTTTGGGAACACTGGTACGCAATTATGGCTCAGTAAGAGGTCCGATATTTGCCTTTTGTCGTACTCCGAATCCACATGCACTCCTGGCCACCCAATGTTGAGTATCTGAATATCGTGCCCGCTCTTCCGTCTGAGGCTGGGAATCGTCGGAAAGACATGACTTTTCACTGTTGTGACAGCCCACTTGCCGTCCTCACTGCGCACCGCTTTCACAGGAAGCTGAAACGCGATGACGAGAACGGTCGTGTTTCCTGTCCACAACTCCTGCTCTTCAAGCTCCTGAAGCCGCGTTTCGATCGCGTCGGATCTTAGATGTACTCGAGCATCAATCGAGGTCTACGTACGACTACCACCATACTTACAACTGTAAGAGGACAAGTCATGAACCTGATGCGCGGTTAATATCTGGGAAATAATAGCAAAGTCAGCAAACAAGTTTTCCTAAGTCCACATCGGTCGGCGATTGGTCTGCGCGTGGCGAGTGGGAGCTGTTCAATTGGTCAAGTGCGTCGCCCCATGCTGATCGGACGGTCATCGTATTCTGCGCCAAGTCTTCAGCAGTCTTCCCAGAAAATTTGCGAAACAACCCACCTGAAAGGCATTATCGTAGGTGGTGTGGATCAAAGTGACCTATTTCTACAAGCAGGGGTACAGATTACATCTGCAATCCCAAGCTCGTCCTCAGATCTGTTTATAAAATCTTCTCACGTTAGAAACACAGAAAATCTACTTACCATCGTCTTCGGCGGTCATTTCCGGTCCTGTGGGAAGCAGCGCGAGACAGCCACTTTCCTCGTCTGCATCGTTTTCAATCATCAGCGTCTCGCTGTTATCTGCTGAGGGAACGCGGACCTTTCCAGGCGACGTCACCCAACGTATGCTTGTCGCCTCTTTTTCCGCACTCGAACTACCCGCGAATGAGGCCCTTTTTCCACCACCCGAAGCGGCCACGCTTGACGAAGAACCCCCCTGCTTTCCTCCATTGCCCCCTTCACCACTGCTATTTCTCGTGATGACCGCATAGCGATAGTCGATCTGTACCCCTAGAGGCAGGTATACCGGATCCTTGCTGATCCAGACTGGAAAAAACTCGAAACTCGTCTCTAATTTCACACCTTTCAGTGGATCCCACGACCCCAACTGAGGGCACGATCCCACCACGCGAATCTCAACATCGTTCCTTGCTTAGACCAAAAGAACTTCCACGAAGTCTTGCTTTCTGCTTCTTCTAGGTGAGGGTAGTCTTATTCATTTACATAATATTCTTGATACCTATTGATTACATGTTGATACGAACGAGAAGTGGGCAACCTCTTATTCTTCATCGCTAACAAAAGTTATGTTCCCTTAAATGATATTACTTCTCAAGGAGTCTTCTCTTCTACAACGAGGCCATAATCTTCCCACGCGAAGCGAAAGAAGGTTCGCACTAGTGCAGCGGTTGGCTCCAAATTTTTTCCGCCCACTGCACCGCCGGACCTGTCTGTTTTTTGCTTTGATACTACACAAAAAAAATCTCCAAGGAGAGCAATACGGGAAAGCTATTACCGGAACTCAACTGGAAAGGATAAATAAGGAGGCAAAATACACTGCACCCGTGACGGCACTACCCGTCGAATTACGAGGTGAGCGCTCTCTCCCAGTCGTACCGGATGACAGCCAATTGCGAAATAAAGACGCCATTTTTCTCCTACTCGCTTCCTCTTCTCGACACAAAAAGCGGAGAGAACATATCTAACTCCATGATTTTTTTCAAAAAGCATTGATTCCAGAATTATGAACAGAAAAAACTCACACTTCCCCATGCTATAATCATGTTTCCTGCTCAAATCGTGATTTCAAAACTCTGCCTCTCCATGCTATAGGTATTACTACGTTCTTACACGGAAGACATTTAAGCGTTCGTGTGTATAATCCCCCAGGCACTACCACTGGCTACGTATTGTGTCAGTCTTTGCAAACAAGTCTTTTGCCGAGGAGGGCGAGCCTCTTCAGTCACTAATAATATTCGACTTTTGTGAAATCCAAATTTTCTGCGGGTAAAGGAAAATCAAGACTATTCCTGAAGCGTTGTCTGCAGGAAAGCTACAACGGAGAAGGCGTCTTATCTTAGACTTCTCATTTCCAGGTCCTCGTCTTTTCGATGTTCATGAAGCGCGTCGTTGCATCGCCGGGACACTGCCGCTTCGGCCAACCACGTTGATGCCTCTTGACGATGGCGTACCTGCACTGGCAGAAACGTCGAAGGCCTTGTTGGGAAAACAAGTAAGAAAACCAAGAACAAATATACAAAACTATTTCTCGAGTCCAGTTGCACCAATGTAATATTGAATGTCCATCGATGAAAGTGCAGCACCAACCTTGTTTTCACGGTTGCTTCTCACCCAATCTCACTGACGAGAGAAAGAGCACGTAGCATGAAGCCATCATGAAAAATCCTTCTCTACCTACACTATTCTTCACCACTGGTAAGTAAGTTATTCTCTTGAAAGTAGCTAGCATGCGAATCAAAAATAATGAATGTGTCGAAAAAAAGCGAACTGCTTGTCTTCTAGTATCTTCGCATTGTATTCATAATGCCATCAATCAGAATCACATGAAAAATCATACCCTTTGGACTTCTCCCACCCACCCCCAGGCTTAGAGTATCGACTCAACAGAGATGACAAGTACATGATAGACATCCCCGGACGCTGTTGATAAATACAAAGTACTTAGTATGCTCCCCCAATCCATGATGTGGTTTTAATTCGGCCATCAATGTGCACCCGACAAATGAATCTTATAACTAAATCTTCCACCTAAACGCGGGAATAGATTCAGTTTCCGATTTGCAAAAGCCTTCCCTGTCGCAGCTTCTACGTGCCCCAGAGACACTTTGGTCCCAATGGCAATGGCTCCTGACATCATAAGATACACCCCTCTGCAGAACTAGAGGTAGCATGCTGACTTTGCAGCAAATTTCTATTAGCACGAGTGCAAGAAAGTTAATTACAAGGAACTGTATAAAGTGCTACCATCGAACCATAACGCAGACTACAACGAAAACTACGCCTCCAGCAAACTCATCTATCACTTTTTTCTGAATACTTAGATACCGAAAAATAAGTATGCGTAGAATCGACTACGTCTCCCGCGACGCTTCCATACAAGCATGCTGTCCTGTATGATATGCGAATTCAGACATGAACTTTCAAATTTGACGACACACAACAAAATATCCTCATACTGGATGACAGATTGAAAATTTGATCACACAAAACGTTACTCGTAAAAAGGACACCGACCCACTGCGAAAACAAGGACTAATTCGTTAGAAAAGTCAATGCATTCAATGACATAGACTTTCTGAGTAGCGAACCAATATACAAGTACAACGAGGAATCGTTTAATATCAGAGCAATTTATAAGGTTTCACAGCTCGCATGGCATGGAGTGCATGGATCGCATGGAGTAGCATGGAGCTAAAGGGGGAGCTTCTTGCGCCCCTTAAAGCTCTGCGCTCCATGCCCTCCATGCTACTCCATGCACCATGCGTGCTATAAACTACTCTGTAATATGTGCTAAGTAATATACAACTGCGACGTCACCGCCACTGCAGAAGCTAGTAAACCACCAAATACTCGTCCATTGCTGTTCTTAGCTGTTTCCCGTTCGAGTATCCGTCAGATCAGTCGACAACCAGAGAGCACAAGGATCGAAGTATCCGTCGTCGCTGAAGATGCTATGATGTCGTGTGCAAGACAAGCGCCCCTGTACATGGTACATATCTCAGTGCTGCACGACCAGCTGGTCTTGAACAAGCCTGAGCAACTTCATGCTCGTGCAAGAAAATTGCAGGATAGTAACTCGCTGGAATCAGGTGAACGCTGCAGCAATGATAAGTACGAGGTTTTACTATATTTATAGTATACGAAAAGTCATCGATGTCCACGTCTGGGAGAAAACTAGTTTGTCACCCAGTGACCAGTTGAAATTTTCAGACAGTTGACTATTTGTGTCAGTATTCATTTTACCATATGAGAGGCCTCAAAAAGCCAAACGATGGTCGATATATTCAAACCAAAAAGGTGTCGATCGTTGAGGGCAGCTAACCTATTTCTAGAAAATTTCTCATACATTAGAAGTCAGCACCATCAACCCATCAACAATGAGACCTACAAAATGATGTCATCCATTAAATCGTAGATAGTCTTGTGATAACAGAATGAATCTATTTGGATGGCAAAAAGGGTAGAAAAAAGAAACATCGCTAGTCCTGAGATATCTGCAAATCAGCTTGCTCTGAGACACCACGCACATTCAAGAAATGAAGCGCCACGGCATCACCTTTCGTATCGGTATCTACTATTCTAAATCTTAATCTTCGCTGTAATAGGCGTTTACCTCCGCCCTACTAGATATGCCACACGCAGAGCCCGTTGTCTGTTTTTACAACAAGTTTTCCCGCCTGCAGCATTTGCAGGTCCGTTCCTCGACCAGGCCCAGCGAAAGGCAATTTTTCCCGATACTGACTGGCCGAATCCCACAACTTGACCTCGCCGACAGACCCGACCGTTGTCAGCAGTAGAAGAGAAGGAGGGTCTACCGCGTACTGACCGCCCGCGCCGACGCCTGCTGGCGGAGTGTCGTCATTGCAGAATGGCGAACAACGTGCTGGGATTATCCGGACCGCCTCTACGTCAAGCTGCACCCGGTTTAAAAGTGTTCGTGCGGCAACGTCGTACACGTAAAAGAGGCTTTTCACCATGCCAGCCACTACTTTTTCACTCAAAAAGCAAGCCTGCACCCCACACCTGTCCTTGCCCGATCCAGCGCCTGCGCCTTCAAGTGGTTAGTTTTTCGAATTCAGACACAGCGACCTTAGAAAGTCAAAGAAAAAGTCCCATTTAGCTCTACCAGTTGTTGCAACATATTGGCTGAAGGAAGAAACAAAACCGGTGCAAAAAGTTGAATACCGGGTGCTTTGTGGTTCCCCGTCTTTGGCAGAACCCACACCTGCGAGAGCGCGGGCTTCCGCTTGCGTTCCGTCTGCCAGATCCATACCTCGTGATGCTCAAAGGCGACCAGAAAGCGATCTTTGAAGACGTGCGTGCAGGTGACTGCGCCACTGTTTCCTTCTGCACCCTTGAGTTCCGCGCGACGCGCATCGACGACGTCGCGTGTAGAGGAAAGCCGGATCATGATCTGCACTACCTTGCCTGAAGAAGTCGCCGCGATGGCCGCCTGCGGGCCCAGAGCCTCAACGAGACACAATGGGGTATTCTCGACCTCTACTCGCCCAATGCTGGAAAGGTTCTCCACATCGAAAAGGCGGACGCACCCATCCTGGAAGCCACAAAAGAGAATGCGGGCACTCAAAAACGTTAGCGATAAACAAGCCGAGACACCAGAAAACTGCGCCATTCCTGTCAAACTTCCGCCACACTCCAGGCTGAAGCCGTCCACATGCGCGCCGGTAGTCGTTTTCGAGGCAGGTTCCGCAAATTAGAAGAGCACGGCCATCCTTCTATGAATAGATAGATTCATTCATACAGTCTGTATTTCCTTCCAGAATATCATGAAAATCTTTACGAAAGTCCCGATATCAAGCTTCTCGTAGTCTCATAATTGACTGGGTTGCTACCTTTTTTGTAGCTCCAGAGCCGCACCAGACCATCCTCGGCACAGGTTGCGATTATTGGACGCACAGCGTCTGAACTCACGCGCACTTGGTGAGAGGCTGAGGCGTGGAAGGAATGTAGCCGGACTTTCAAATTCGACCGCCAGTTTACGTACCACAGGCTTGCATGTGTTGCGACCATACTCCGCCCGGAAGCGTCTAGGAGCGATATGCACCGCACCGAGGAATCCAACTGCACAGTTTTCTCCGACGTTGTTTGACGACTCGCTAGCCGTTTCGAGAGACTGCAATTGTCCACATACCTAGAGTAAGGTAGACCGAGGACTTTTCAAAGTCAGTATTTCACTATCATATTTATATAATCGATTTCTTCTTTGTCGATAGTTCTTGGACGTCTGAGAAATCAAACACTTCGCTTACAATGTAAAACCTGTGCCTTTGTCTGAGATTGATATTCGCTAGCAAAGTTTACGTACCCTTTCGGCATCGATGCGATTTTGTTTCCTGCCTCGTCGACGAGAAGCTTTACGACTGTGCTTCCAACGCCTGCAAGTACGAGAGGGTAAGCGGAAGCTCCAATGGCGTTGATTGCCAACGGGTCCCGCGGAAGCGACATCTCGTTTACGGGCATATTTTCTTCAAAGTCATACGTCAGAAGGACGCCACGATTCGTTCCCACGAGCACACGGCTCACGTCCGGTTTCACCTGATGTTCTTTAAGGATTTTGAACTTTTTAGAGGATACTTCTAAAGCAACCTTCAATTTCTAACTTCTAACCGACGATCTTATGGTTCTTGTATTTCAATTTAGTAAAATTCAAATTCATTAGTGACATGAATAATGAGTAATAGCACTTCCCCGCACCACACTTAGCAAAATGGAAGTACCTGAACGAAAGCCAGCGACGTAAAGTAGTGGTTCTGCGACACCCACGCCGGTCGGTGAGACTGCTGAAACTGTAACAGGTTTTCCGGTGAGAGCCGCCAGAATACCAAGGCTTGCGACGACAAAGTTACGAACTCAGCTAGAGGAGCTACGATCACATGCGTTGGCACTGCTGCCATTACCGCTGAGGTCACTTTTTCCAGCGATTGTAAATCACCAAATCGTGTGCCTATAGTACTTCTTGTGACGCCAGCTTCCGCTTGTTCAGAACCCTGTGCTAGAGTGTCTCCCTGCTCGCTCGCGATCCGTCCTTCAGCAGTCGCACTTGGAGGTATCCTAAGCACATCGATGCGACCCTCGAGCGCCTTGTCCCCATGCTTTGACTTCGCTTTACCGCTGACGTTCGCAACCACACCGAACACAATGAAAGCAGGTAAGGATTGTGCACGAGAAATTTCACTCCGCTCCACAACATTTCACGGATAAGTAGGCCTGATTACACATTTATCTATACTAGCGGCTCTTTTGTTTTTTATCCCGATTCCACTACGTACGCTAGAAAATCAAAAAACCCAATCACTCTGTCGTAACTCCCGCGGCATCATCGGGATCCACAAGCGATAAATTCTCCTCGGCAGTACTAGCGCCGCGTGGTCTTGGAGAGACCACGATAATGTGTTCCCCGTCCAGAAACTTGACAAAGCATCCTCGCCCCGTACTCGTCGGAAAGGGTGTGGTTGCGAGCAACCTCGTTGTAAAACGAGACTCCTCTACTTCCACGCCCGCCTCCGTCTCCGTAGTGGCCCGTGCTGCTGGTTCAAATCCGAAACGGCTTCCAACCACATCCGGGTCCGCGCTCGTAGTCACGAGTGCAGACGTGCTACTGTTGTTGTTCTTACAGCTTTCAGAACTGCTTTGGTCTCCGTTATTTACGCCCTGCTTACTAGTTGATGCCGCCTTTTCAGCGCTGTTCGTCCCTGAAGATGTCGTACTGGAGTTTCCACCTCGTGTGCGCACCTCATATAAGTTTACACGGCCCTCGCAGAGTACAGCAAGAAGCGTGTCACGCGTGTCCAGAGCGTAGACGGGATGATGCACCGGAATCACCGACTTCGACCCGAAGGAGTTGTTGTCTTTGTTTGCGTGTGCTTCCAGAGAGATCCAGTCCCCTATGGCTACTGCCAGATAACGCGCATCCCAACTGAACGGCGACCCTGAACCAATCAAGGCCGCCAAGCTTGGAGCTCGGTCTTCCGGTATCCTCGAATCTGCCCTGCCCGATGAGGACGAGGAAGCTGCAGCCGCTTGAGCATCTACCGCAGCAACTGCGACTTCCGCCTTTCCGTTCTCGATTACAGCACTTGCTTTTCCTTTTGCAGGCATTTGGTTCGGGAACTTATGAAAACAGAAAGCATAGCTTGATGTAATTCTGGACCGAAAGTTCTTACTTCTCTCTTTCTATGATTCGGGCCACGACAGAACAGTGTCAATCATATAATTTGACAACTTAAAATCATAGGTGACCTCACACGAAAACTTCTGCTAAGCGGTTTGTTAGGTGATAAAAAATTTTCCCATAATTAATATCGAGTTTTGCTGGCTGCGTCGTCTCTACGCCAGACGCTGACCATGGAGTTGCGTCACTCTCAATGTCAATGGACTTTTCTCCGGCGTCCACAGCCTTGATCGCAGGTTCCTCTTCCCGTACGACTACATGTCCAGTACCCCAGCATCTGCTGTCTTCCACGTCTAATGAGCGGTTGTTGTGCGACTGCATGCTTGCGTAGAGCTGTGAAGTTTTGAGATACTCGTCAGCACGCATCATTGTGCGACCCGTTGCGCCAGCCGCTGCTCCGGTCGTTGATGAGAGCAGTGCTGCTTCCTGCGACTGCTGTCCTAAAGGGAGATGGCCTGTTGTAGTAGTCGCTTCATCGTCAAACCGCAAAACACGACCTGCCTCCTGCACTGCCTCCTCCAGCTCGCGGCGATGCGCTGACGCATCCAGCGCCAAAGCACGACCAAGCTTGATCGCTGAGTTGGGCGGAACCTTTACCTTTTGCGCACTCTGGAGGTTTGCTTCGATGATCAAACTCAGATTGGGACTTACAGGTTGCCGCTCGCTCTCGGGTGCTCTACCCCCGCGCGGTGGCGTCGCGACGTCAACAGGGCCCTGGTCCCGTGAAGTCGCCATGATCGTCGTGCCATCGACCGTGGTGTGATGGAAACTCGCACTGTTGCGCAAGATCGTCGATGCTGAAGCTCCGAGGACACTCGCGTGCCCCGGTTGAGGAGGTGCTGCCACTGCACCAGAGACCTGCTTCGCCATGACTCGCCCACCACCTATTTTGATGCCGCCGCCACGCTTCACAGGCGAGTCGCTCGAGTATGACTGCTTTTGTCCTGGCTCGACCATCTCGCTGGCCTGTTCTAGCGTGTTGCACAATATTTGACTCTCAAGCAACTGCGGATCCGTCTGGTCCTTGGACGCAGCACCGGGGTAGAACATGAATCCCCCCGCTGCAGCGCCTCCCCTATTGCTCCTGCTCCCTGTGGCTCTGGTACCTTCGCCCTTACTTTCCTGCATACGCAAAAATGAGTTCGTGCGCGATGTTCCGTGATCGTCCTCGACTAACAGATTCGTAGTGTCGCTCACCGCAGGCGCTGGCAACATGCTTTGTTCGGGCGAGGCCTGCGACCTCTTCATAGTTCCTGCTGGCATGTGAAACGCTGGTGCATTAGCTTTTTTGTCCATCGGCACAACATCTCCTACGACGGCTTCACTCCCATTCCCCAAAGCCGCACCGGCGCGCCCACGCAGCTCCGCCGTGGCCGTGAGTTCCTGTTGCTCCGCGGGCAAGCCGTCCTGGCGCAAATGCGTGTTGAAAAAAACCTCCTCAAAAAACGCTGAATTCGAACCAGTGAAACTCCAACAGATAACTTCTGTTGACGACACTCCGACGAGGCTCTTCGGCGTTACTATCAGGCGAAACGGTGCAAACGCGTGCCCCAGGAAGCACTGTTCTTCTTCTCGGTGTACGCCGGCCCTCGCATTCGAAAGAGATGAACGTAGCACGGAAGCCTTCACTAAGGCGTCCTGCTCACTCGACGTGAACAACAGCGAACATCCTGGATGCTGATTTTTTTTTGCAATTTCTTTTCCTTTCTTCTCTTAGTGCGCAGCCAATTACCACTCTATTTTTAGGTAACTCGGCTGCTTTCTATAATGGACTCAAAAAATCTTTGGCTGCCACATTCAATCATTCTAAGGTTTACTCAAGAATGTACTTTTGTGAAATGACATTGCCTTGTACCCCTTCCATCGCAACCAGCGCAGCACTGGTTACTGGTCCCGCCACCAGGGGTATGTCGTGGAGCAGCGGACCCTTGACAGAAAAAATTTTGAGTTTTGCATCAGAGCAGCCGACTAGCACCTTGCTGGAGTCGAATGAAAATCCGAAGAAAGACACGGTGCCCGACCGCAGATTGAACTTCCGTAGAAAATCCAACTCTTTAAAGCTAAACAGTGCGAGCGTGCGCGTGTCGTAATACTTCAGTAGTAAACGGTGCGAGTTCGCAAGTTTGAAAAATGCGCAATTCGCTGGTGGCGGTTCCTGTACTCCGGAAAAGAGATCTGGGTTGCGCGACGGCTGAAAATTCTGCTCCTCATCATACAAAACGATTGAGCCCTTCGAGTCGCACGTAATAATCACGCTCTGGTTGGCCGTGTCGGTCTCTGCAAAAGCTAGCGACTTTATCGGGAGTCGGAAATTAACGAATTCACACAGCACGTTCGGTCCGTCGACATCGAACAGCCGCAAAGTTCCTGACTCAAACCCGACGGCAATCAAATGCTTCTTCGGGTGGCATCCGACACAACACGGACTATCGGTACCTTTGACATAAGCAGCATAAACTGAATCAATTCATTTAGAAGCTTCAGCCTATATCGATCCGACATAATAAATAAATTTCCTTCTATCTTGGATATTGTAAAAAAAGTAATCCTCGTCAAGTTCATCTATTTACACCAAGTACCAAACAGTGCTACTTTTGCGTACCAGAAAAGAATTCCGTATGTTGTCGCATCGTGTTAAGGTTCCAGATTTTTATGAAGCCGTCCTTTGTCACCGTAACGAGCTCCTCGTAGAGAACCGAGGCTGCTGCATCGGCAATCTGAGAAGCGTGCGACCGATGCACCACGTCGAAGGCCTGCGTGTTCATATCCAAAACCCCGATCGTGCCGTCTGCTGTGTAGGACAACACCCTACTGCCGTCCGGCGTCAAATCCAAGCCCTTCGGCGTGGCTTCATGCATGCAGTGTAGGACAAAACACTGAAAATCCAGTGGGCAGACACGAATATACCGGTCCTCAGCAGCGGTCACGCAAAAACTCTCTGTTGCGGCGATGGCAACGATTGGCGTGGAGTGCAGCTTATGCAACATCAGCACAGAACGCTCACGGTAGCTCACCACGCACACCTCGCCTTGTGCGGTAGCCACAAAGACCTTGTGGTTGTAACCGAGGCTCTCCTCACCTGGTGTTGACGTGTTGTAACAATTGGATTTTCTGGAGAATGAAGTTTCTATCGGAACATGTGCAATGCCGTCTAGGGTGGTCCACTCCTAACAAGGACCGAACGACTTCTACTAACAAGCACATTTCATTTGCTACTAGCGCAGTAGTCTTACTCCTCTTCAACAGAAAATGGAAGTACCAAGGAAACCGGTTCCCGCTGCCGCCCGATTAGCCTCAAAGCAGAGATCGACGAACATGGTGCCGCGTGCCAACGAGTTTAGTGTGACCGACTGTCCCGGTAAGTGAGCGTCTTTGAGACGCCAAAAACGAATGTTTTCCTTACCACACGAGAGCAGCTTCAGATCCTCGTAAGGACTAAAATGAAGCGCATTCAAGTCCCAGTCGGACATCTGCCTACCACATAGCGTAGCGCTACCGCCTTTAGTCAATCGAGATATGTCCCACACGAAAATTTGCTGCCGCTTCTGCGTGTCGAGACCGGCAATCTGGAAAAATGTTTTGTTTATTTTGAAGACCACGGTCTCTGCTTACCAGGAAACATGAGTTCTACTTTGGAAATCCTTTAGACCACAATCAATGCAGCAAGCTCGTAAAATCTCTCCTTCCTACCACAAACTTCTAGTAGTACCGCCACATATTTGCTCAGTGGGTCGAAAGTAAGGGCCTTGACCAATAGCAAAGATGGGCAGCTGAGCATAGTGTAACAGCGGGGCATCGCGTTTTTCCCCGCAAACCAAAGTCGTAAGCTCGGCGACTCCCCGCCTCCTCCTTGTTGCACACTCGCGATCCAGTCCTGCTGCGGACTTATTTGTAACAGTGCAATGGGCCGACTATGCCCAAAGAGACACACCGGCGTTGAACGATCGGGCTCCTTAATCTGTAAGCGAAAATGTAAAAAAACATCCAGTTGCCAAATGCTGGAGAGAAAGTTGATTCATACTTACCGGACCTCTTTCGCTTAGTTACTACCATCGTCCGTTTGAAAGATAAGTACTACAACATGTACATTGGTTGTCTGGAACTGGATCACCTAAAGTCTAGAGAATAAAAGAGGACTTTGTATTTTGTGTTGGTGTTGCATGCAGGAGTATAGACAGTTATATTACGTTGAGCACGACGAGAGCCGTGGAAGACGCAAAAACTATCTTTTCCTCGTTAAGCCAGTAGGCAAGGCTTTTCGACTTTGGATCGCTAGATGTAACTCCCAGGAGCCTCGAGACTTCGAGCAGCGGATCTTGTAGTATTTTGCTCGCCGGGGGCGGAGGAGCAGGGGCGACCGTACTCGGCGCTACATCTATTGTACTAGCTTCCACCAAAGTGGTGTTATTCATCATTGTTGTGTTGTTTAAGAGAGTATTGCCGTTAGCCCTGCGACCAGCCACCAAGCTTGCACTAGGCGTCAAAACCGACCCATTCGCGGTCCCTCCTGCATCCGCAGCCACACCCTTTTCTCCCGCGATGCCTTCGGGAATGTTCACCCATTGCCCCACAAGCTCGGCGCTGCTCTCCTGGGTTTTCGAGAGAACACAAATAGGTCATGATGTGCAGATAGTTGTATTCTCGTCTATGCCAGCTATCTAATTCGTTACGGAGCATGACTCGCAGAAAAGCAGCTTAGCAAGCAACTATTGAGAATCAAAGCAGTTCACCCTACGAACCCATGCAATGCAAAAAAGCCACATAAAAACCATATACCTTCTGAGTGAGCTTCAGCTCGCGAGGAAGCTCGCTATGACTGGAAAAACGGAGATCGGATGTGTAGATGTTGCGAACTACACACGACGCGCAAACCTGCACGCCTTTCAAAACGTGTGCGTGTGGCATTGTCCGGGAAAATAGCCGCAAAATCTGCGGAACATGCACACAGACCTATGTATCAATTGACTGAGCAGATAGATGGGTCTTGTTCGAGGCGAGCAAATCCATGACTGGAGTATCAAGCTACTCGCTCTTGCTTGCTTCGACGGGAAAAGAATCAAAACCAAGTGGTAACTAATAGCCCTACTGTTGCCCACTCATCACTCGGTAGCTGGAGCGGATACAGGATGACGCGGCTCTGCGCTTTGGGCTCCGATTGCATGTTCGTGAGTGATATCCGTTCCAACATATTACGGTCGGCGACGCTGAAGTCCAAGTGTACCTGTTGTCCATAGGATACTTCGCAGTAGATCCATCTCTTTACATTTGAAAAAAGACATCGATCTTCTCAGTTCCAAGATCCACCTTTGTCCGGTTAGTAAAAACGACTCAGACTAGGTTCTCTTTTGTACGTGGAAAAACTTGCTTCCGATCGACCGCAGCTGGATGTAGATGTATTCGCCCGTGAGACCGAGGCTCTTTGTTAGAGCTAGTGAAGTTGTGTGGCCAAAAAAATGTTGCAACTGCAACTCCTTATATATTGTAGTTATCTAAGAAAGGTTATACACAATATGTGGAATAAGAAGTTCATGACTTCCCCCCGAAGTCTACAGTACGTAAAACAGTTACGAAAATTCTTCTAAGGTGTACTAAAGATTGATATTTGCTTCATAACTTCGCCGGTGCGCCCCGGGTACTCTTCGGTACTTCGACATAGTTATTGGCACTGATCGTACCCTGAATTCGAAAAACACGTTTCGAAATCACTGGGTCCAAATCTTCGCTACAATCGCCAGCCCGACTTATCAACTGTGAGAACTTTTTGAACACGTTGACATACGGATGCTGCCAGTCGGTGGCATCCCCACTCTTCCGCCGATCACTACGCATGGCACCGTCCCCACAGAAACGAAACTACCAAATATCAACGAGAACGAACTGGTATACTTCTAACGCGAATATGAAAAACGCTCATAGATGAATGCCGAAATGGAAGCCACGAGCGGCAGATAGAATACAATACACGATCACTACGTAGCACCTCTACAAACCAGGGGCACCACGTAATGTAAGTGAGTAGGAACCTATAATTTGTGAGTGAAAGCTGCTTCCTGTCCTTTACTCAACAAGTCTGATGGTATTCTAAAATAAACTGACTTCCCAAGGCAAATTGATTGAGAGGGAATATCTGAGTTTGTGCGGCAGTTTGTGTGTGCTTCTTTCTACATTCATAAAACTCTCCCAGAGTCATGACTATCTAAACCAAATGCTTCAAGTGTGCTGGGGTAACTACCCGTTACCCAAGATTATAGTGTGAATCTGTTTCTTTTCTACTGTGTAATTAATATGCGTAACTAGGACTAGCACAGCCTTGTTCGCTAATGTAAACGCCATGCTTCACCAGGTGGCACCTGCGAATGATCTATATACTTAGCACAGACATTGAAAACGAAAGGATCAAAGCGGGGCAGCCGAACGTGTGCTACCTCTGGATTAGCATATGTGCTTCGTTGCATTGAAGTTACCCCCATATGAGCAGCACCGCAAGACGAAGGAGGGTTTGCCGCTCCTTGCGAGAACGACAGCCCCAAGAGCACCGTCATATTCTACAACTATTCAATACATTCTCATCATCTCAACGGAACTTTGCAATCAACAAACTAAATTCTACTACATCGATCTGTTTTTACCTGTGTTGTCAACATGCATATCTATTTAACAATTGCTAAACCACTTGGGACACTATTCTCTTGGGCGACGCATTGCATTGCGCAGAGTCTTCTCCACGTATTTTATCTTTCATATAGCCTCTCCCGTTGAGTTGCACTTTCCTCAAGCATATGCGAATTATTGATGGGACTAGCGGGCCACTCAATAATGTAACTTCTACCGACAAGACCTTGTCTCTCGGATTTCGGATATGAAGATTGTAATTGTAGTACGACTCGCAACATCATCAGCCAAGAGTGTCACGATTTCAACATTTTTCCACCTTTGCCGTCCACACAATGTCCTCATGTGGTCAGACATCGACAATTTATTTAGTTGTAAGCTGAACTTCATAGCTCAGAATCAAAGTCCTTCCGGGGTATCCATCACACCTGATAGGTGTAGTTCAGCATCAATCTCTGCATATCGATCATGTTGCTTTTCATCGGCTTCGTCCTTATGTTGCTTCATTTCATCACTTCTGCTATCGTGTAACAACTCCACATACATGTGTGGACGGAATACTAATTTCTCAAGGACTTTTTAGAAACAACAGTCTAGCTCTATTTCTGGACTCGTGAACAAGCAACAATCTAGTGCGACTTTTGGAGTCGTTGGTTCGGCAAAATGCTAACTAGCAAAACATACCCTTGTGAGCTATGACTTCCGAAGTTGTCTACCTCTTTTGGTACTAACTACTTTCTACTTCTTACAAAAAAATTTTTTGACTCAGATACTTCCACCGAAGACTCACCACCTTCTAGCGTCTTTCAGATTGCACACGACTTGACACAAGAAGACGCGAACCATGCCCTCATACTAGTGAAGAGGGGAAGAGATTAGAGACCAACTTGATTGATAGATACCGGAGGACTGAAAAGCCGAATACTCATGGAGTGTCGTCGTTCGTGTTCAATTACCTAAGTTTTGACGTCACAGCCAATTTAAAGTGTAGCCTTTTCTTTACACTTTATCTGGGAAATCACTTTCGTCACTAAATCAAGTTGCTGACTGTCTTATGTCGTTCTTGATCGTGGTGGAAACTGTGAATGCGATAGTTAGACTTAGTTCCGCGATGCAACTCAACACTGTCATCATTTTTCCATCGAACCTTCAGTGAATAGTGTCGAATAATCATTCATGTGCTCGAGGTCGAGCTCAAATTTGAACAATAGGGATAACTAGTAAATTGCTAGGTGCGAGACTGCTTGTTGACGATTGAGAGTTTGACTTGCCTTGTTCTTCCCCTTGGTTCATCTTCATCCACTATCCTAAATAATATGACATCACTTTCTGATCAGAGTAGAGAATCAATAATCAGCATCCAGTGACTCCACGACTTCATTATCTCTTATCCGTGCGATTTGTATCTTCTTTCCATCGATTTCGACACTGGCAGAACCCAGGCGATCAAAAGACACAGCCAATTTCTCTCATCTATCTCTTTTATTTTCTACCTCACGACTACCTACGAAGGGCGCAGCTTTTCTTTATTTTCCAATAAACGAAGAAGGCGAAGAACCCCCAGCCCATCCCGAGTCTTCTCCTTCGGTGTCTGCTTGTTTTTTTTTGGGTGCCTGCATAACCGCGGCCAGGGGCGGACACTCTGCATTTGCGTCCAAGCTGGGCGCCTCCCTCTCCTGGGTCTCCTCGTTGTTCGCGCGCTCCTGCTCCACAACCGGCCCCGTCAATTGCATGGCCTCGATGTCCCTCCGCACTCCCTCCACCCGCCCACTTGTCACGCCTGTAAATTGCCGGGGAGATGATAAGAGGGCACCCGACCCTCGCGACTCGCTGACCCACTGACAGCGCTGCTCGCCCGCCACCCACGCATTGGCAAAAGATTGCGCCCGCTAGCTTCGCCACGACTCCGGGATGCTATCGCCGGGCAACTTTGGCCAACATGATAGAAGCGCAGCGACTCTATTCAGAAAAACCCCCGACGGCTTTTCTCTATTTGGTGCCGCATTTTCTCTATTTCCTCGGGCTTTTCTCTATAATTGGTTATAACTTATAAAGTATGGTATTTATTTTCTGGACCCCTACAAGCAAAGCAAAGAAAAAGATGAAACTCACCCACAACGCATTGTTCATAATTTATGTATAGAAACTTACTCATTGATATGCATCCTTCGAGTGCGCAAAATAAGGGAGCCAAAAAGTGACGCATCTACAGATCGCCCAGCTAGAGCTACTTAATATGCAAGGACCAGTACGCGCCTACACTCCACAACGGAGCACCAGTGGTGTCGTATCGACGGATAGAAATCGTGGCTCTCAAGATTGTATCTGAATATCTCACGACTGACAGAGGGATAGGATGCTTGCGCTCTAATAGCCGAGAAGATCGACTCTTGAGCTTCGTTTTCTACCAAATACAACTCTGCTTCTCCAGTATCCCACTCATGCCAAAACTCTCCGGACAGAAAAGAGATATTTCGGACAGAGGACTACAGTAGACATGCATGCACATGGTTCTCTCTTATTCTGATGCAGAAGTCCAACTTCTCGCGTGCTGAAGTGCCAATTCCATGCAACGTTGTGCAGTAGAGAAAACACTGAAACCCTTTCTTCAAAAATAGTGCTTTCATCGTCGATAAGAAGTCTTTATTCTCTTCGTCGTGCACTACTTGTTATGAATTCTCGACGACCAGCGGTGCCGGTGGAAGCCCCTGAAGAGAGTCCAAAAAGCAAAGGTGGATATGACACCCACAGAACATTAACATTCATTGTTGACGCACAGTTGGTTCTATATTGGATTACATCTGGATCTGCTGTCTGAGTCAAATAGTCAACATCTAGTCGTAGATTATGCTTGCAAATAGATGCTAGGGCTATGAGCGATGTGTTGGATAAGATAAATCAAGAAGAAATTTTTTACCGTCATCAAGATCAAGATTCACAAATTTTCAACTCCTGTGCACTAGTTTGCGACTCCTCCTGTGCAAATTCTTAATACTGACATCACAACTGTAATCTATTAGGATCTACCACTATGGATATGATAAGCAAATACTATCAAGGGAGCACAACATGTGAAAGCAAGTACAATGTCAATGGTGATATGCATATGATGGCCATCACTATTTTTCCTCATTCATATGGAATTGATGGGAACGAATAAAACATCTGCGTCGTTGTACATCTTCTGACCAATGTCAATGAATGTAGAGTACAGCCACACTAGTGCACCCATGAAATGATTGTCCGCAGAAGTATAGATTCATAGTTACTTGAAGCAGCACAACTGCATGCTTATGCATTTACCCCCATGAAGTACAGCAAGAACAATATTGCATTCCTTTTATCTGAAAATTCACACAATCGCATATGATAGAAGCATGTGCTTGCGAATCGGTTCCAGCATGCATGTGCTTGAGTCTATCGTTGGAACTCGAGCTCGCGCAAACGTCGAGAGAGCAGATCCATTGCTTCTCGTTGTTCACACCGATTTCGATCCATACAACCAAATTCCTTCGCGCTCTTGGCCTCCTGCTCCGCTTGCAATTTCTTCATCGGGACGATGGTTGTCTCCCGCCACTCCGCCAACTGTGCGAAGAGCTCCTCTTGTGTTCCCTGCATGTCAAGATGAGATTGATGGAGAGCTTACTAATATGATGACGTTCAAAACAGGAATTCGAATAGGATGAAGAAAATAGGATAGCTTACATTGATGCAGCAATGAGCAAGCATCTATTTTGTATCACCACATCAACGCATGTACTGTACCAGTATCATGTCTTGGCATTGCTCGCGTGTGACTCCACCGCCATTTTTCATATATTCCACTGTAGCAATTTCAAGCTTTAACCTCTTGAGCTCGGCTATTCTGTCTTCTAGTCGCTCGGCGCGCAACGACAGACTATACTCGTGGAGGCGCGGAGGCGGATCGTCAACCTGTTGTATGTAACAAGAACTATCGTCTGCATCTGCAAACAAAAAAGAATGAACCAACAAAAAATTAGGAGACGTTCTATAATCAGGTAGAAGATGTTCCTCATGCATAGTATTTCTCGCACCTTTCTGTTGGTAAAGGTAGTTCGTTTCAAAATATAATTCAACCTTTTCCGGCAGAGGAAGTTCGTCCTTCACAGGCGATAATGTTTCGAATCCCAAGTGCGCTCTTGATGCTCGAAATTCCACGTCTATGTCACCGCCCGCACCCTGTAATGAATGTAAACGTAGCATGCTGAAATTGAGTTTAGTCCTGAAACTGTAATTCTTGAGTATCTTATTCTGGATGGTTTGACGGAGGGACTCATCACACTTGCTTGTTCTAAATCGCGTTGTTGGAAACAGAACCAGCTACATCACGAACATAGTTGGTAGTTGGAAAAAGCAGCCTCATCTTCGAAAGGTACCGACTTATTCCCAGGAGAAGGCCGACTTGAAGCCGACGGTGAAGGGCTCCTACTCCGCAGCGCGTGCATTTCGGTCGGGGGTGGATATGGATAGCCCTCAAAGCCGACAGCAGTTGTGTAATCGCCATCGGGATCCGCTGTTATCTCTCCTGTATCTTCATCGAGTCGCACGAACCGCATCTCGGTCGTCAGTAATCCGCAGTAGACCTGTGTCCATGCGCCGTCTGTTTGGGGCCCTCTTCCAGAGGTTGAGGCAAAGGATGCACTCGTCAGTGCATCACCCGCTTGTTTTGATGCTCCACCTGGAGGCGTTCCACTCTTCGCTGAACCCGCCGCACCATCGGGCACTGTTGAAGAATCTTGACGTGGAACAAGCAATTCTTCTATTTTCACGCGAAAATCGAGGTGCTCGCCTTCGAGATCCAAGGGGGATGTTACCAACTCCTCTCCTGAACCGAGTTCATGCTCCAACGGCGGACCAGCACCGTCCTCCAGCGAACCGTCAGGCCCAAATTTTCCGATCGAAAACCGCGCACGAACCCCACGTCGTGGCCGCAACCGGAAAACAGACCCACGGGAGGTTGCACTGACCATCTTCAGCTTGCAAAGAAGCTCAAGATGACAAGTCCCTACGAGCTGATGCGCTAAAGTCTACCGAAACAAGACCAAAAAGTGAAGCATGTAGAATATATGGGTCACGAAAGTCTGCTTATGCATGGTCTAAATGGCTCGAAAGACCTCTACCTAATGTCAGTGAAGGTTAGTTCTTGCGCTAGCTTCTTCTATCTGTAGTTCCAACAAGCGGAAAAGTGCCAAAAGAATAACAAGAGGAGTGATTTGTTTGCAAATAAGCGAAAAAGAAATCGATGGAAAACATTCACACATTCGACAAGAACAAACGCGATACTAACCAACGAGCATTTTCGATCACTGCGAAGTCACCTTCCGTTTCGCGATGCGAAAGTCGACCTCAGTCCCACGACGATTCTGTCACCTTGTCATCGATCTCGCGATCGCGTTCGCGAAACCCAGCAGAGCTTTTGCGAGGACCGCACGCTTCGTTCTTCACTAGGTGATTGGTGATGAATCATAGGTGGAATGCTGTTCACATGTGAATCTGAATGTTCGAGGCTGTCATTCTCACTTCTTTTATGTTTACAACTAATGTAATTTTCTGCAATAGGAAACGCATATGAACATGTGCATGAGTGTGGTGCTCTAGATCGGGTACTAGGTACGTATCTATGGCATGTCTTGAAGTGTAGAAGAACGTGAGTTAGTGTGTTCGTGGTCTGCGGAAGGAGCGGCGAAAGATAACTTTAATGTCTGTACTAGAGCATTCAAGAACAGTTCTTATTACTCAAATAGGGATACTATTTGCCATGGGTGAATGAGTGTGTAATGGAGACGAACATTTTCTAACAGGATATGTTTGAGTCACGTGTTGGTTGTTCATTATGGAGATCGAAGTAGCCACAACAAATAATGTTTTCCCTACGCAAAGATCCCCTCCGGTTGATGTAAATACTTAGCATGAAGTTTCTGCACGAACGAATGAAAGGGTATTTTGAATGATATACGTGGTGAAGATGTAGTGCTAAAAATATGAATTAGAGTCTGATGTTACAGAATGCAAATGCGAAACGTGGCTATTTCGTTTTGAATTGTGAACAAGTAGCTGTTTCATGATCTATGCTTCTCCTTGCCCGACGTGCGTCTCCTCTCCCCAGTGGTCTTCTTCCTTCTCCTTTTCTGCAGCCACTCCTGCATGCTTCGCCTTTTTCGCCTCCGCGCGTTCGTCCAGACGCTGCCGCCTTACGCACTCGATTAGCAGATGCATGGCCTCCGTCCAGACTGCGCTGGTCATGACCGCGCCTCTCTCCTTGCTGGCGTTCTTGTCTTCTGCGATCCCAAAGTAGACGTCGACCAGCTCCGCATTTTTGCTTGGCTGGTGTTGCAAACAGAGGTAGCCGTCCTTCTTCGGATCTGGAACAAGTGCTGAGACGGTCAGCAGACTCACGAAGGCCTTGGCTTCCTCCACTTTCCTCGCTTGCCGGTCTTCCGCGGAGTGAAAAATCGCAAAGTGCCACGCTTCCCGCGGCCCGTGCTTACCCCCGCTGGTTTCGTACAAGAAAACGTCCGCGTACTTGCGTTTCGCGAAGCCCATTTTGGTGTGGTACAGCACGTCCGTGCGCAAACGCGCGGCCAGCAATGGCACTAGCGTTAAAGCGCTCTCCAGTTTTTCGTCAAGGTGCAAAGCGATTTCGTGCCCAAAAGCTTCGGCCATAGGCTCACTCATTGTGTGGCCGGCGTAGTCTTCGATTAGTTGCACCTTTTTGTCCGAGACTTTGTTCAGGTCGCTCTCGTACTGCAGTGACAGAACCATACTCCCGGATACGAACCTGTGCAGGAGAGTTTCTTGATGCTTCAAAAGAACTTGTGCTTGTACTAAATCTATAAATCCAAGCTTTCATCAATACTGTCAAATTTACATTTTTACAATGAATCAGAAAAAGAATAATGGTCAACATGATATGGGAGACAAGGCCACATCGGGTCTTCACCTTTCAAAATCAAACCAGGGCACATCAATATCGCGATCACGTCTAGTGAAAAGTACTTTTCTGCCTCCTCACTTCCGTCTGTTTTTTTGACGAGCGTAAAAGGCTCGCGTGCCACGCAGCCGTAGGGCCTTCGCATTACAACTACCTCATAGATGTCGATTACACGTTGCGCCATTTTGTGCTTAGATTTCCTCCAGCCCGACTCGCACCAAAGCTCTACGATAATGCGTTGATAGCCCTGTGGTATCGGCAACTGGATACTCTGCTCCATGCTCGTGCCGCCTTTTGTCACAATTTAGAGGCAGCATCTTCTTGTTCTTGGGAGAGGAGTATAGTAAATAAAGCATCCAATATTACAAACAAGAATTACAGCTTCAACTTCTATGAAAGACAGTTGAATCAGTGTGAACTTACTTTTCCGCATAATTGATTCCCAGTGGTGCGGAAGCAATTTCTTTATTGAAACTATAAAGTTCTCTCTCAAGGCAGTACTAGAGTAACTCTGAACGCACAGGAGGAAAACCCACCTTGTTGCAAAAAAATTATGAAGCCTTAAGTGAAAGTCGCATTGTCGGTCCAATACTCCTTACCACCCGCAATGATTTTGACACAACATTCAGGCGTTCCAGGATAATCCATGGTGAAATTATGTATCGTGCACACCAAATCCAGGTGGTCATACTTGTCCCAACGAATCGCGCGCAGGAAGCCCTTCACACAGGCAAACCTCCGCCAGTTGAAGAAGATTGCGAAGACCACGACAACAAGTATGCTCACGAGACTGATGAGCACCGTTGTGCACGAGCAGGACGACCCAGCAGCGGCCTCGGCTTCGGCAGTTGCTAGCTGCTGCAACCGTGGACGCAACTCCAGAAAGCCATTCGCATCTGCTGCTGGGTCGGTACTTGCGGGATCCGGTCCGAATTGCATTGACCCGTCCGCCTCGAAAAACGACGCGCCACCAGGCGACCTGTCGGCCACCGCAGATCGACCCCCTCTCTCCTTCCAGTCACCATATCCATCATGATTGGAGCCCGCCTCTGATGCTCTCGTCAGACCGTTGTTGTAGTCATGCTTAGCGTTCGGCGCAGAGTCATCAGGGAAGAGTTGCAGAACCTTCGCGTTCGAGTGCCGACGCCTCCCACTTCGACGCTGCTGGAAACCAGAAGGACGAACCATGCTGCTTCCCTAATAGGAAAGTCACTCAGCACATGTTCCACATTGCAAGTAGATTCCACTGCTAGGGTTCACAGAAATTCTATTTTTTCAGTAAATCTACAACCAAGTGCTTTATGGATTCGATTATACCAAGGCAAGGTATACAAGCATCGGTAGGGGTGCGTTATTGAGCTGGGTTCACCAAAAGGCAACGCACAAAAAATACTTACATCAACGGAAGTTGGAGACGAGATCAGTAGGAGTGTGAGGGGAGTAAGGCACCATACCAGACCGATTCGCCTGCTGTATACAGAAACTAAATCGCTGCACTGATGAGTGACTGACTCAATTCTACTTTCGTACAAGGATTACCGATCATGACCGACTCTGAAAGATCACACCGATGACAATGGACTGCAAAACAAATCGACACCAACCTTGGAGACCTAATTGACAATAACTGCGTTTCAAATTATCTTGCAATCGCCCACAGATCATTGGTAGGGCCTCTCGACTCCTTCTCGTCGAGACTCTGGCATCTTAATTCTCTCCTCGACTCGTGCAACAGCGAAGAAATATGTAGGGTAGTTTAAGACCATGAACGCCATTCGTTACCGAACAGCTGCAGGGACCTTCCTGCAGTTCTTCGGTGGCACGGCTGGCATCACTGTGATTCTAGCCCCACCGCTGCTTTTCCATATTTATACAGAAGCACTTTGCCGCAAGCCGCCTCGTCTGAAAGATGCTGTTGGGCAAATTTCATGGGTCGATCTCCCCGCATGTTTTTGCGTAGTGCGTTCACAAACAGGGCAAACTCCTCTGACACATCTTCCGCACCGAAATCTACGATGTGACCAAGGTGCTGCATGTTGGCAGGCACTTGCGCCTCTGCGGTGGCGAAAAGCGGTTTATTCATCAGCGCCGACTCGTGCAGAATGCGCTGAAGAAGCTCAAACGGAAAGCTGAACTGCGCCATTTTCGGTTACGCTTCTTTGGTGGTTCCGATTGTTCTTTTTGCAGTTATGCGCACCAGAACATAACTTACGAGAGAGGCTACGCCCACTTCCATCGCCGACCTGAAATCCGGCTCCATAGTATGAAAGAGCGACAAGTGATCCGTATCAGAGGTCCGCACGCAATGAAGCACTAGTCCTAAGAACATTCCGAGTGCCTGTGGTAGAATTTGGTTTAGACAGTCAGTCTTTGGTGAGCCGGATTTTCTCAAAAATTGGCAGTCCTTCATCTTCCCGTCTGCGAGAAAAGTAAGACCGAAACTGTCAGATTGGCTGGGTGCGTTCTTTGGACTTCATCGTCCTTGGACGTCAGAAGACCATCGTGAACTTTTCTCATCATGCTGAAACTACACATGAAGATCACCGTCGATCTTCCGACCGAATGAAGTTCCTGATCTCCAAGTATGAACCAGACACCTTGCTTCTCAGAGAGCTGGGTTAGTTGTTTTGTCTCCAGAGTCGTTAGACATCCAGAAGACCATCGTGAGAACGAACGTTTCTCATCACCGTAAACGTGCCGATGGTGCAGCATTACCATCAATCAAAGATATTGAGCTTGCCAAGAGACCAAACGAGGGAATGGTCCACGGAGACCAATATCAGAGGGACAAGATTTTAGATCTTCTTAGCTCAGACGTCGACCACAACCGATCCCTTCGGGTTCGGAAGGGGATCACATTTAAAAAGACTAGAGCTGGCGCAGTTGTTGTGAGTCCACATATTCAAAAGGAAACGTAACCCGTGGTACCTCGAAAACCACGTACATCCACATCTGCAAGTCCGAGAGTACTATTCTTTGCAAGTGTCTCGTACCGTGCCGGAGACCTACCGCAACCACAGGGTTCAAAAGCCACGTCGGCCGCCTCAGGTGAACCAAAAGGCTTACTAGCTGGTAGGTCCAGCCAAAATACAGCCATCCGCCGGCACTTGGAATTGCAGTCCTTCCTGTGTGCACGAACTCCAGGACTGCCCACGAGAGCAGTGTCACAAAGAGACATTCGTATTTTAGGTGCTTCTGGAGTGCGGTAAAATTCCTTGCGACTCGCTGGTCCTTTGTTGCCCATGGCAATATGGTCTCGGAATTCTGCACAGCCGTCGCACCACACAGGAAGACCAACAAGAGCCCATCTTGGACCGCTTTCATCTTAGCCAGCAACATGATCAGAATGACGGTGAACCAAATAAGTCCGATCAGGATCTGCATCCAGTCCTTGCGGAGTGAAGATGCGCTTTGCGGCAACATTTTCCCCTCCCATTCGCGTAACAACTCTATCGAAGATGCGACAAGTCCACGCGCTTCTTTGTAAGTGGTCGCTATGACTTACATGGACATATAGATTTTTTGACTCACAACCAAGAAAGATCGATTTCCTTTGAAAATTACTCAAAGTCTAATCGACGCATACGTTCCGTGATATACCATTCGCGACACAGTTTTCCAACCAACATCCAAGAACGGGAGTAGGGGGAAATAAAAAATAAGCACGGGGATAAAGGATCTAAAAGGGTGGCAGGAGGGCTTTCCAGAGATAACAGACTTTCAGGATCATTAAACGTGATGCCGCCGTAAGTACTCTTTCTCACTTCCAACATATGCAATTGACAGCTTCGCACCATCATTCTCTCACATCACTTCCAGACATGCCTCGTGCGCCACGTGTGACATTCATCGAACAAAATTAGACAACACGCACGACAGCTGTGACAGGAGCTCAACAGAGCTACAGAGTTCTTTAGTGGGCGTTTACGTTCCGATTTCATATCACTGTCAAACACACTATTTCAAGTTGAATTTAGGTTCTTGAATAATTCAGCAACATGTTCGAATGATTCAGTCCGCCCATCTTTAAACCAAGACGAGAGCTTCACTCCTCCTAGTCATTCTCCTTATCGCCTCCCGATCCAGACACTTAAATTCGCCTTTCAGTGACAGTTCGATGCCGTGATAGCGAAGAGTCCGCAATTAGCAGACAGCCGGGGCGGCGGAGGCGACCTTCGGCCAAATCTCAGCGCACTCCTTAGCGATCGGTCCGGTGATGGCGGATCCCTTCATTTCACCCTTATCGTTGACAATAACACCCGCATTGTCTTCGAAATAGATGAAGACACCGTCACGACGACGCCAGGCCTGATTTAGATATTTCAGAAAAAATGCACTTCGTACGAGAGACATTAGCCTAGCACACTTACGATAATTTAGGGTTCCAGCGAACAGTTTCTAGCAAAGAGGAAGTGTTGACTCGGACAAGGAGGCTTGCAGAAATCTACAGCAGAAGTCGATTATAGCTAGCTGCGTTACCGCGGGCAGTGAATTTAGATATAAAATAGTTACCTTCTTCTGGCGAACGACGACAGACAGCAACACCTTCTTACGGAGCTCCGGCTTTCCCTTCTTGACAGAGGCCAAGATCATGTCTCCCGGACCGGCCTTTGGCAGACGATTGAGGCGTGCACCGCAACCTGATTGCAGTTGAAGTAAAGTTTTGTTTTGGTTCAGCCTTTGGTTACGAGTTCCAGAAACCGCAAAATTCTAACGGAAGTTCTAAATTTGAGCGTGCTGGTAGTAGTCAATGATCTAGCATGGTGATTGCGCATATGGCGGGTGTTCGTAAACCGAATATCTTACTGACTTTCTGAACCATATATATCTCCTCCTCACATCCGCATCTAAAGTCGGCCTATGTAAGAAGTCACGATTACATGACAAAAACTATTGACATAAAGAGGCGTTGTACCCTTAGCCGCGATCATGTAGAGGTTCTTAGCTCCACTGTTGTCCGCGCAGTTGATCAACGCGGCAACGTTGAGACCGAGCGACATGCTCAGCTTGGCACCGCGACCGAAAGATCCGTTCTTCATTTTGTTCCTCTAAATCGAAACGCGTGACCCTAAAAGTGTCTTGAAGCCCACAGACACCTGGAGTTTCTAGTTGTCCCTGCGAAAAAGAGAAAAGAGAAGGGTGTTTGTTAAGTTTTAGGAGCTAAAATGTCTCTCCCCTTTAGACCTTCAAACCGGAAGGAAGCAGTGATCATCTAGTGCTCTTCCCAATTTCTTCATCAAAGACCGGGTCTCTACTAGACTTTGCGGCGCGTAATCATTTAGAACAAGCAACGCGTGTGAAGATCTGGGCCACACCGGTCTAGGATCTTAACACTTCAATAAAGGATCTTCACAGGCGGCATTTTATTGATCTTCCTCGTGAGAAATTCAAGTTAGACCAGGCGTCATATATTGACCGCAAACGATATCTGAAGAAGTTCCGGAAACATGATTTTTAATGATCTTGAACTTCTATCGCGCTTTTAGATTTCGCGATCGAACTCTGATCTCAGATCAGCTGCCTGTTTCGGTGCTTCTGCAATTGAACAAGTACCGATCTTGAGGTTGCATATGATCTAGGATTGCTTTGCCGAATTCCGATGTCCGCCGTCTTTAGATCGCGTGGTGCAAATACAGTATTCTAAAGGATCAAGATGTTAGAGAACATGATGAGGAACAATGGTGAGATCGTATCAGCATTATTCAGCTGCCTCCGCGTGTTACATAAAATAGAGGACTTTTGTTGGAGATATTAGAACCACCAATCAAAAATTTAGAATTTCTCACGGCAAGAAAAGAGAGCCATCAGATCAATGTTTTAATCGCACGTGATTTAACTTCCCTATTGAGACAATTTTGATTTGTCTTGCTACAATACAATACATCCTGTGGACAAGACGAGTTTCAGATTCTACATCCAAAAAATTTTAAAAAGAACTTCAGAGAACCGAGCTGTTTTAAAAAGCCTGCTCGCGCTTGTGTCTTCGACAACCCAGGCTTTCCGCAGAAAGTCAGCAGCGACGCTACATAGAAAATCCTCCGCATCCTCTGCGGCACGCCTCATCCTTGTGGCGCCACGGACGCCGGACACGTACTCCCTCCCGCGTTCTAGTATTGCGCTCTGGATAATGTAAGGCGTCTTATTCCACGTCGGTGTCTCCTATTTAGAAACCAATCTAAACGCGGTTTCCACCTCAGGAAATCCACAAGCGCTTGTGAAAGCCACACGCACGTGTCAAATCCACAAGCGCGCGTCAAATCCATGAGATCGCAGGTAGCCATTATTAGCGGTCCTGTCGCGGACTCGTTTGCCATACTTACCGAAGATTCTGCAGCACGCACTGGTCCAGCGTTGCTGCCTTAGCCGTCAGATCCAGGGCCTACGACACAGACCGACAGACTAAAATCTATCTCCTTGCGCGCAGATCGCAATAGCTCCAAACTGTAACTCATCGCGCTTTGAATTCTCCGTTCCGAATTAGTGGTGCGACAGGTTCCCTATACCCGCTCCCAGCGGAGAATAACTTTGCCATTGTCGAACCATTACAACATTGCTATTCCTCGTTTTTCGGGACCAATCCAAGGTCAGGAGCTGGGCGAGAACCAAGTCTTCACCTGCAGTTGCTTCAAAGAGCGGAGCCACCACATCGCCACCCGTGTCCACAGCTATGAAATGGATTTTTTTTTCTCACTACCGTTTAATAAGGACCGTAACAACTCAAAAAACGTTCTTGCTGTCTCTTCCATACCGGCCGGGTCCACGACAGCCCCGCACTCAGTTTCTGTAAGCGAACCTGCTCCATCACATCGTCCACTGCAGAGCATGATCTTGTTACATACAAAATAACCCGTCCAAGATTGACGCCTCTTGAGATGAGCATGGATATCGGTTGTAAGCATCCTTCCAAGATGCTTGCTCTAGATAGGGCCACGAATATCGGTTCCTGTATGTCAGTAGTCTTAACTTCAGACGAAGCTGCATGTTGAAGGAACCCCAATTTTTCTGCTGCTTTCGAAAACAACGGGCGCGGCCCTACAGCACCTCCAACCCCAGCTACACTACGACTCCGAGAACTAGTATCAGGAAAGGCTGGCAACGCTAGGGCGTTCTCAAGCCCTTGTCTCGGCAGGTTAGCAGCCCGTCTCATCATAAATTGCAATTGCTCTTCCTGCAGCTTCTGTGGAGGTACAACAACGTCGGTGGCCGTTAACAGAGATGAAGATAAAGATGCGCCAAGATCCCGCGCATATTGTTTAGACACCGCAACATCTTGTTTAGACGAGGCGGTAGAAGTCCTGCAGGTTCTCCCCGTTGTCCCTTCGTCGCCACCTGTACGATTCGTGGTACTATTAACCCCTTGTTTAGGTGGCAGCTGTAGACCACCCGTATCCGTTTTATGATTGCCCCTACTGGTAGCGTGATCGTGGGAAACTTGTGCCGTTGCCCGTCCCGGAAGTACTAATCCTTCCAGCTGAACGACCGGCATCGGGGTATCTCTACCCCTGAGATAAGGCGTTGATGTAGTTGTCACCGGACCCCCCCATGAACCATCTTGAACATCTTCATATGTGGGAATAGTTTCCGCCGAACCACGACCAGTATTGCCCCGGAATGCTGTGGGAGTTGCTTTTCATCTTAGAGGTAGGCCTTTCTTGGTGTTCGTTTATCCCGTTCATTATGCCTCCCCCCTTCAGAAAGGCAAAACGAACGCAAACAGGAAAACCTTTAGCCTGCCCTTAGTTTTCCTCTGGTCCTACGCGTAAAAAGCACGTCGTCATTTGATGGGTTCCCAACACCAGCAAAGGAAAACGTGGCAAAACCATGACTGGCCAATAGAACCAGAGCTCGGATCTTCTTAAACAGGTTTTTCGTGTTCTCGTGGGAGAGGAAGCTGGTGAACGACGGGGACGAAATCAACGACGAAGAGGACATGATCTTATCAAACATTTACTTTTATTTACTGGCTGCAAGAAAATCAAATTTGTTTTTGTACTTGGAAAAGTTCAAAGTTAAGCACGAATTCCTTCTAGATGGCATTTTTTGCAATAAGGATTTGGAGCATTGTAGTATGTCTGAAGGTACAAGCGAACGCATATCCGAAAGGTCACAACCGAACTGTAGTTGTTCCAAGTTGATGATGGACATGAGGGAGACTCGCACCATCTTCCCTGGGAAGGAAAGAACATTTCGCTTTTGCACTACGCAACTTGTTCGCGATGAGCTGAAACTTCTCGTGCTCTAACAACCTCCTCCTGATACAACTTTGCACATTACCAATAATGAGTAGTCCCTTGAAGAAACGGCCGGGCGAACATAAGCGCCTGCTTTCCAGCTATGGAGCAGGTTTTTGACCTTGGATTTCGTTCTTTACTTTGAGTTAGGTTGTTCACTGGAGTACAAATCTCTTGAACAACGGTGGACGCACGGGGATCGTCGAAACAGGGTCAGGTGAGCACAGTTTTAGTTAAGGGCTATTAGGGTGAAAGCTCGGTCCCAGGAGATTCTGGGCCGCAGGGTCCTGCCCGAGGGAGGTAGGTAAGCATGGATGTCGCGGCTTTGAAAGTCCTAGGACGACAATCAGAGATTGTTTTACGCATCACTCCCCTCTTCCTTCACGCAGCGTGGACAGGTACACTTAAAGCCGTAGTTGTTTTGTAGCAGGGTTCGGCGCACTTCTAGTCCCTGGTCGTCCTCAACGTAGCTGATACACACTTCTTCCCCTTCAGCAATATCACGTGCGGCTCTGAGAACGACCTTCGCACCGCATGGAAAGTCAACCAAGGCGTTCGCGTCGCAACTATGGTTGCAGAGTGCGATGATTCGGACAAGACCTAGTCCAAGAACGTCGGGAAAAGCACTTTGGGTTGGAGTGCCATCCCCTAATAGCTTGTCGAAATTCTCCATGGCTTCGACGTCGCTCTCGCTTCCAACGCTTTTGCTCATACTATCGTCTTCGCCATCGTCATCCGTTCCATCTTCTGCCACGACCCTAACAGCCCTTGCTCTGCCTCCACCATGATGCCCATTTGCTTGCGCAGCTTGCGGCCTTACAATATCCCGCATTCGCTGCAGTACAGGCGATAACATGCGGCATAGATCCCCTTCACAGTTTTTGCTTTTTGCAGAGCCCCCCTGTTCGAGTTCTTCTTCTTGCCGACGTCGGTGTTTAGCTCCAAAATGCCATCTCTGTGTCGCTTCAGCATCTACATTGACCATATCAAGCTGTGCCAAGAGTCGTCCGAAAAAGTAAGGCGTGACGTGGTCCTTGAAAAGAGAGTCTAGAAGTGTGCCTCGTTTGTTTTCATTTCCTATTTTCGTATCCTCTTCCTCTAAACGCCGTCGCTTCTTTAGATCACAGGTGGGGTTTTCCTTTTCGAACTCGTCTCCTCCTGCTCCAGCAAGAGCAGCTTCTCCCCCTCCACTCCGAGACCCATCTCCCTGTTCTTCATCTTCCTCCCACGAACCTATAAAAACCGCACTCAATCTTTCATACAAACCGGAAAAGGTGGCGCTTTTGAGTTTTTTCTGCACTTTGTCTTCGCAAAAGCAAAAGGATGCATACTCAGCAACCGCTTTCTCTGCGGCCCATCCCTCACGCAAAACCAGATATACAATTTGCGCTACCACATTGAAGCCCAGCAGAGAAGACTCATTCTCCTCCTTCAGCAACACATAGGTACGGAAGAGTTTGTAGCGGCATAAAGCATCAGAATCTTGATGCTTTGATGCAGATCCAGGTGCGCCACTTCTGCCACAAAGGAAATAGTGCAGCGCTGCTGCACGTGCTCGCTTTAGCGCCGCTTCATGTGGAGATCCCCTAGCGTCAGCATCCGGCGTTGACCCCTGCTGTACAAAGCTCCAACATTCATCACACCAGTGGAAATTAGAATTGGAGCAGCTATGATCCCCAAGTTCGCAGGAACCTCCATACTCTTCGTCAGCCTCCCGATGTAAGCCTGTTGCCTTTACAGCACGTCTTAAGTTCGGCCAAGAGGATGTTCTTGAGGGAAAAGTCTTGCAGGTCTCAAGCTGTTTCTCGAGCTGTTTCTCAAGTTGTTTCTCAAGCTGTTTCTCAACGACATCCAACAAAGCTAAATCGTAACGACAGTCACTGCCTCCAAGGACACGAGCCGCGACATCTACGAAGTCTCTGTCCAAAGGCCTTAGACACGAGACGCAGGCTCGATTCAGCCGCCGACTAAATTCATACTCGACGCATGCTATCGGTTCTTCGTGTGCGATAACAGAACCGGCTGTGAAAGAGCGCGCAGCTCGTAAGTGCCAGCCTCTACGTTCATCGAATACCAAGCGAAGATCGCGGAGACCTGAAGCCTCCTGCTGCCATCGGAAGAGGCGCTCTGCTTCTATCGATGCTGGTGCTAGTTGTGAAGGTATTGCCATTTTTTTGCTAGACCTAGAACTACTACGGTTGACGAAGAACGAGAAGGTGTTAGATCGTGCTGTCTAAAAGAAAGCCGAAGCGCCAGCCTCTCTCCTCACTTTACGAAGTAATGTCTACCAACTTTGGTTTATCATGATCCCTTTTGTCCTTTTATTCAAGACTATTCCATCTTCATCTCTTACTTTGTTTTTGCCCTCGCCCATCCACTCACAGCTGCTTGTTGTGACAAAAAAAAAAACAAAGAAAGTCTTTTGAGGGTTTATGCCATGTTGTAGGAGCTGCAACTGATGAGCATCAAAGCCATCATCAAGATCGAAATGTTGTCAGGGACAGTGATACTCATCCTCATCTTACAGGTACAGAACGGGAGAAATTTCCAGTCAAGATCTTCACCTTCTAAAACTGCAATGGGATCCACTCACATCACCAGCTTGGGGTTGTTCTCTTTGCAGCGCCTTCGCGTTTCGATTCCCCCAACGTAGTTGAGACACTCCCGATCGGCGCGCTCATCAATTTTCAGCTGCAATAAATTTGCCAAAAAAAGTAAAAACAGAAAAAAAAATCCATCGCCATCATATCGAGCCCATTCACGATTCTGATTGATCCATCAGTGCAAAAAAATCCATCATATGCAATGCATTAGAAAAAATCTCGATCACAAACAACCTATTCACAAAGAAACCAAAATGAACGCCGAAAACATTAGAAAAGCAATACTGGGAATCTATCAACTTGTTACGAAATGATCAGTGTTTTTGAGTATGCTAAATCTAAGTCGACGCCAGGGGTATAATTAGTAGACTTGAAAGAGTGCCCGTAGACCGACCGCATTTCTAACGAGCCTCACGCTTCTTCAAGTTTCAAGGGGGCCTCCGTTCTGCCTGGACTTTTTTTTGTATCCCGGGGCTACTAAATGAGCGGCCTCAGCTTTATCCGGTTCGCAAACCGACGGCCTGGACGCTATGTGCGACGGCTTGGCGAAAGTTAGATATAGCTTCACTCGGCAACGTGAACTACGACATCTACCATATTAGCTGAAGACATCATCGTAAAAAAGTAGCTTTCAAAAATGGGCTGTTGCTTTGTTCTGTGTTCGTTCTCAGTTGATCCTTCTACGCATCTTCAATACGTCACTTCCTAAGTTGTCAAGCTAAATTATTATTAAGTGTGGCCTGTGCATCTTCTTCTTTCAATGAGTACGAAATGTAAATGACCTAGTATGCATCTTCTTCTTTCAATGAGTACGAAGTGACCCCGTACGCATCTTCGTCTTTTCCTGCATAACGAGATCCTTGGCGATGTCCATATGTCTTTGATGTTTGTTGTAGCGTCATAATGGGGGAAGGAGAAGAATGCAATCAATTATCAGTTCTATCAGATGTTTCCCGACCATGAAAATATGATATATTATGGATACGACCAAGCCGCAAGGACATGATCTTGATCATCAGGCTGCTAATTAATAACTAGTAAGCAAGAGAATAGAGCCGGGAAATGCGAGTAATGAATGAAGACGCAAGGTCTAAGAAACTCAGTTACAGCTAATTAATAAAACTGAGGCATACCTAGGATTAGATCTCAGCAGAGTCTCTTCCTTCCAAGTTATGATAAAAAGTCTAGGGCGAATCAGGTTCGTTCTGATGCTTTTAAAAAAGTGGCACTTTTGGTCCATGATATTGTAGCTCTATAAGTAGTGATAGTGCACCAGTTCTATAAGCAGTACTCCTAGCAGTGGTAGTGTGATTCTATAAATCAGTAGTCGTAGTTGTTGTAGTGGTCGTAATGAAAATCAAACTCTATGGATACATCAGTGGTAATTACTGTTGATAATTTTGCTGTTCGTTTGATAAGAAGTTCCTAGGGTCAGAACTGCACGGAGTCCGGCAATTGATAAGGCGAGTCTGCAATTTCTTCCATCAATTCTTTTGCAAGTCCATACATTTCCGCGTTGTTGTAAGCATTGAATCTCCCATCCGTTTCCTGATACCATCCCCGCACAAAAAACAAATTCCATAGAACTTCTCGCTTTAGTTCGTTTTTCTCATAGTATACTCGAAAAGGATCTTGTTGCTGTTCGTTGCTCTACAGACTACAACACTGGAGAATAGACGCATTTGCGAAGGTGAGGGCGAAGTTGGTTCTGGAGAACTGTGTGCTTGAGGTACATGTTGGTGGTCCTTCGAGAAAGTAAAAGATGGGCCACGAGATGCTGGATGCAACTTCATCTCCTGTGCTCTTTCTCTTTGAACTACTAGCTCGCGATAGGAAAAAATTCTTTCGACGATAACACCTCTTCCATCAGGTTTACGCTCTGCTGTCTGCACGTTCCATCTCTGTCCACAGTATTTCCCTACATTCCTAGCAATGATTCTGCTCGTCATTGACGGCGCTGGAGCGTTTGACGGTGCTGGGGCCTGTCTTCTATGCTCATTACTTCTTTCTCTACTTCCCGCTTCTTTACCTTCTGGCTCTTCACTAGGGAGAGTTGTGTTCTTGCGCGTGTTCTTGTGAATGTTGTTGATGAGGGTCTTTATGTAGTCGACGATATGGGCGCGAAAATCAAACGGCTGACTTGCAGATAGTTGTCCTGAAAGTGGGTCTACATCAATTTTACGTCCACACTGCAGCAACGAATTAATAATATTCAACGATCCTAGTGAAATCGACTCGCACGGCTCAAGTTCTTTAGTCTGAGCGAATCTTGAAGGTGGCACTGCACTGGATACTTGACACATGTGGTCGCAGTGAGGTGAGCCTACACCTAGCGGTGGCAAAGGATTCACCTGCTCCTCTCCGCCATCCAGCTTCCCCTTCAAAAATAAAGATCGATCTAAGAGGGCCGCCTCTGAAGCCGAGAACTCACTTTCCCACTCTTCTTCAATTACATGGCCCTTACCTTTAGCATACCAAACGGCATACTTTCGAGGAACAGCGGGCAAGTTATTTCCTCCCTGCATACTGCTCGCGGCGACCAAAAAGGCGATGCCCAAAGAATGCTCATCAATGTACTTGCCCCTCAATGTGGGCATATCTCCACCACGACTCTGCTCTTGAAGACACGTCGCACTTCCGTATGAAGGTCCAGATGCACCGGATGAAGGTCCAGCTGCGCCCAACAGACCCAGCGCCTTGTGGTGCTACTCGTTTTCGAGATCGTTGAAGTAGTGTTGCTCGTCCAGAGGACTGACGCAGTACCTCAAATTTTTGTTCCTCAGCAGAGTCAGAACTATCCTCAGGTAAACCAAAAGGTTCTCCAAAAGCAGAGCTATCATCTTCATCGCGGCACTGCCCCACTTTCGTAACAGCTGGATGACTAAACGCCCAAGCACCGAACTCGATGGGCCTGGACGCGTCTAGGGCTTTAAGACGTGGTAGAAGTCGACGATTGGAGGCTAGATTTCCTTGCACACTCCCGCACATATTGGACATACGAGTATCCTTGGAGTTGGACAGCTCTTGCCTTTCATCGGGCAAACGACTGCCAACGACCTGGGCCGAACCAAAGTCAAGAATGATCGAACGGTGAGGTAAATCGTTGGACAGCGCTAGATTATCCGGCTTGATGTCAAAATGAATGACACCAAAATGCGCCAGAGTCTGAACCGCTGAGCGAAAGCCCTTGTAGATTGCTAACAATCTGGGTACAGGACGCGTCTCCATTTGTTTCGTCACCTCTGCGATAGGATCTCGACTACCCTTCATGACCGCTCGGGGGTGCAATTGAAAAACGTTGTGCTTGTTGAAATCTAAGGGCTTCACCTGCTCCATCAAAATACTGATCACTGCATATAGTCCTGACGAATCCTCAGCAAGACTCTTTTTCGTGTGCATACGAATAGGCTCCACAAGTACCCCAAATATGCGAGGCACAGAAGCAAGCTGCTCTTCGGTTCTTGTGGCGCCAGCGATCTGTAGTAGCCACTGAGTCAAAACCTCCGCTGCTACTCTGGCGAAGTTCCCTCCATTCCTTAGCTCAGTCGGAGTCTGAAAAATTTTCGTGACAAGACCGTCAGTCACATCGTTCATGCTTTGAAGATGTCGAAACGACTCCTCTGCGGCCTTTGTTCTACTTCGTTTATCATCTGGTAAAGGAAAAGGTTCAACCAACTGTAACTCCATGAACCACACCGCTTCCACCAGATGGGGCCTTATCCTTAAGACCAGATTTCCGCTCAAGGTGAAAGCCTCCATTTTCAGAAATGGCGACTCCCCTTTTAAGTGAGTCAGCAACACCACCAAGGCAATAATGAGTGGAAAGCGCCACATTGGAGGAAACACGAGAAAAATGCCTGCCGGGGCAAGGTACATACAACAACTTGAGCAAAGCCTCACGCAGTATTTCGAAAGCATAAGCGGCGGCTGTCCTCTCAGAAGAAATATCATCGATACTACTTTTAGAAGGCGGCTCCTTGTCCCCCTTAGACGCGTTCCTTTGTGCTTCACTTTGCTGCTGCCAGAAGTAAAGGATGGCCAGGAATCTTCTGCACTTTGGCATTTCTCGCTTTCTCCTTTACATCCTTCCCCTCCTCCTCCAGTCTGGTGTCTATGAGACGAGGACTCTGTCCCTCCGGCAGACGATCTTCGATGTCAGCACGATCTTCGGTCTCGTCTGCTGTGGGAGAACCTGGATAGGCCAGAGTTTTCAATCCCAAAACCAACTCCTTCTTAAACGCTTCGAGAACAGCGGAAACGTCTGCAGGTGGCGATGCTTCTCGTTGTTGGTCTTGATCATGTCCAGCAGCTCTACTTTGTTGATTACGGCCAGTTCTCGACTGATGCTGAGGCGGATGTGGGTGTCCTTGCAGGCGTTGTCCTTGTGTGCTACGCTTAGACGGAAATTGTTGCTGCTGATAATATTGGCGCCCATCCGTTGGTGGCTGTTGATGATCTAACTGGCGACCAATACCACGAGAACCTCCTTGTTTATGTAGAAACTCCTGCTGCTGGTTGTAGTTTCTTGGTCCCTGCTGATCATGTTGATATCCTTCTTGTGCAGTGTTTGTTGGTGGAGCTTGTTCGTAGTAGTCCACGACCATTCCTGGCGCATCAGTTTCAGCGTAAAAATGCTCTGCTACGCCTGGTTGGGGATGTAATTGCTGAAGCCCTCCTCCACGTTGTTGTGGTTGTTGAAATCCACCTTGATAATATCCTCCTGCTTGGGGTTTTCCAAAATCCGGTGGAAGATTGTACTCGCCCATGTGAAGTGGATGCTGAAGGCTTTGGTCGTAGAATCCTGCTACAGGGAATTGAGCAGCTGGATCAATAGTATTGAAGACTCCCTGTAGAGGTCCTTGATAATCGTACCCACCTCCACAGCCAGGCCCCATGATAAGTCGGGAACCTGTTGCGCGGCCACTTCCCGCAAGTAGAAGCATCAGGCGATACATGTTGTGCTGTTCTTGGAGATGGGAGGCCAGTTTAGTTTAGTGATGAGAAAATGCTGCGCAATTAGGATCTTCTTTGTTCTTGAAGGCTTCTACGATAGTGATGAGGAAATACTGCGCAATTAGGATCTTATTTGTCAAAGGAGAGATGTGATGTTATATGATAAAAATGCTGTCTGTTATGAGTAGGAAAATCTTTCTTCATATGAAAACAAGGCGGTCTACGCAGGTCGTTTAGGTGGTCTCAATATATATTAAAAGGCCACAGTCTACGCAGTCGCATCTTCACAGGTATAGTGTTAATTTAGAATCAACTAGGACGCAGATTGCAATGGCAATCCAAATTCAAACGAGAAAGAAAGCAATCGAATAAAATCATTTGAAACCAAACCGAAGCTGCCCTAGTTAGGTTGTACAAAATAACGAAGTTAGACGTAAATCCCCTAGTGTGATGGGTTCAAATAAGGACTCCCAGACAGGATCTTCAACGTTTCCCGCTAGGATCATTTGTATGAGCTCCAGAAAGATCAAGAGCCTGGGAGCAAGATCAAGGAAGATCGACACTGTCTCTATTCTCAGGAGCTACTGCATGCAGTTGATCTCCTTAGCCGTTACAGCGTATTTTTCTCGACAAGAGAAAGCCTTTTGATCGTGTTCTTTTTCAAGTGATTGATCTGAGATCTTTTTCTTTCGGGTCACTCTATCACATGATAGTCTTTCTTCAGTTCGTCTGGTTTCAACGAAGAGATCTGACCAATAAGGTAAGAGCAAGTCAGCTTTGGTGGAGACCACATCCCCGCGTAGTGAAGAAGAGCAAAGAGCTTCCTCATCGAAACTGAAGCGAATGTGAAGAAGGAGGCCCATACTTAAACTTAATGTCGTGTGCACTAATCACTTCCATTCTCCTGCTGTGCATTTCTTTAACAGCCGCACCCACAATGCCCTTGCCCTGTCACTACCTCGCGGCGAAACAGGCAAAGGGCAAGGCAGAAACCACGGCGAGAAAGGGGAGATCTATCATTAGGAACTAACAACGTTCTTGATAAGAAGCCAGATAAGTAGTAAGAAGTGTTGTTGGGAGAAGTGTTAGAAGAGGCACAGGAAGAAGTATGTGTATCATTTTGCAATAAGAATACAGGAGGTCGCGAGATGAAATTCATTACCATGGTGTAAACGAAGGGAGCGACGAAGACGTTTCCGAATCGATCTTCTGAACTCCCACAGAATTGACCGAAGATAGAGCAGTATCCAGTCCCTTTTTTACCGTCCCACGATGTCAAAAGGTCCGCGTGGTTCTTGTGAAATAGTTGCGCTATGCTCAGCTATGCAACAGAAGTGCTGTGTAGAAGTAACTTGTTGTGCATCAAAGTCAAGCAGTAACTTGCTGTACATCAGATGTAGTTAGAACGAATCCGGTGGCGGACGAGAAGGAGAAGGGCAAAACTAACAACTGCTCTCATATCCATGTGAGCATACAACTTGCTGTAAGTATAATATGCGCGCGATGTTGTGAAAAAAGGTGACACTATTTTTCCCGCTCCTCGATCTCGGTTAAGCAAATTCAAATCCCAAGCATAATTCCTAAACTTTGACGGTGAGAGAGTGCCTGGAAATTGGCAGCATTCCTAAGGTTGGCGGCACATGGAACGGCATTCATTCATTCGCTCACTCATCTTCGCGGTTCGGGCCTTTGTTTTTTTTGGGACCTGGGTCTACAATTTCCCGCCATAATTCCACTTAAATAGGGCCCGGCAATGCAGCTCAGGCAAGACCCGTCCACGGCGAAGAATTTACAACTTCCTGAGATACCACCTGCTTCTTGCCCGCAGCCAAAAGAATCTGAGAAGCACAAGGCTGCACCACAATCGAGGACCTCCTCGTGAGATATAAGTTTTTAGGTCTTGTCAATCTGTATCATGTTATCAAAAAGCCAAGACGTGAAAAGTGGGGTTACTTCTAGGTAGTTAAACTTTGCATCCCCTTCGTTCTCGTTCCATCCCCCCATATTGTTTTATAGTTCAACAACAATTTGTTTATGATTCTCTCAGTCGGTTTGTATGCAACAGCCCGTCTTTGGTACAAAAAAAACGTAAATGATTCCCAAAATGCATACGATCACCCCTAGTGCTAGTTCTGCTATGTTCCATTAGACATTTTTCTTTCTTAGCGCGCGATAAAGTCAATGATTAGAAGAGAATCAGGATGAAGAACCCCTTATGTACTGGACCACAATGAATACCATCAAACTAGACCCAAACACTTTGGAAACAACCACCCATGTGAAAGGAGGTTAAATTCAAACTCATATTCCTGTAAACTGAATGCTTCCTCGTGAGTCATCTTTAAACTCGTTATGAATGCGCGTGCTTCTAAGTCAGAAGACTACAAGCACTCTACATACCCTAAATAACATGTTCTTTCATCTTTTTGACTGCGGAAGACCATCAAACTAGGCTTGCTGTTAACTAATAGTCATGCTACACGACCTCAAATTCTGGCGCGCTTTAGCTACAGAGTACAGCACCATCAAACTAGACTTGTTGCTAACTAATAGTCATGCTACACGACCTCAAATTCTGGGGCGCTTTAGCTACAGAGTGCAGCACCATCAAACTAGACTTGTTGCTAACTAATAGTCATGCTACACGACCTCAAATTCTGGGGCGTTTTAGCTACAGAGTACAGCACCATCAAACTAGACTTGTTACACCTACTAACATACAGCACGGCTTTCCATCGATTACATGACCATCAAACTAGAGGACTCAGCAGATCAATTCTTGCACTAGATGCAGTGGCATACCACATCAAATAAAAACGGCTTCACTACAACAGTACCACCAAACAAATTACTAGAAATGAAACCAAAACCTGTGTGTTGCTTTCACACCCCCAGCATTTTTTGCAAAACGATGCAATCACTCGCGATGTGGGGCGCCACTCTAGTCACCTTATCTCTGGCTACATGCTCTGTATAAGCGACGAACTCCTGAGCGAGGCCGCTCTCGAACACCTGGTAGTCCGTGTAGCCATCGCCGACCATGACGGTGCGACCTGTCGTGAAGGGAGTGAAGGATCATGCTGATGGAAGAGTGTTTGCATGGATAGAACATCACAACAAAGGTAATGACAATGATCAAAGTGACTGACTCATAATCAATGGGCTACATGATGCAAAGGGTTACGTTTTATCGTTGATCTCATTCTTCGAAAATCCTTTCGTTAATACTGTGATCATAGAGTGAGCACCTTCTCGAAACATACTTGCCATTCGCATGGCGCCTTCCAGTTTCGAAGTTGCAAAGCCATTCGAGTCATCTAGCCCTGCGTAATCGCCCTTCTCATCCCAATGCGTTAACACTGCATGAGCGCGCTCGTCCGGAATGTGGAGATGTCTGTTTAATTGTAAGAGGATGCTGATACTGTGGGATGACCTTATTGGCTGGATATGGACTGAGCAGAGTACTAAATGCGTGAACTGCATACTACGCTAGTCATTCCTCTTGTGCCTATTGTTATTAGTTTCACTTCGATTACTTAAGCAGCAGCGCAATAACTCACAATTGAAAAAAATTACCTCGCAAACGGCAATATGAGATCCCGAAAGCCGCCACTGAGTATGAAGACTTTCTTCCCTTTTGCGTGTAAGTCGGCAATAAGAGTCTCCATACCATCAGAAAAATACGCTGGGCAATACTTTTTCCCAAACGATTCTAAGTCTTGTTTTCTTGGCGCTGCTATTCTCAATCGAGCCTCAAGACCTCCTTTGAAAGAAACGTCGCCGGCCATACCTGTGTATAGTGATAAAATATTAAGTAGGAGCTTGGTAGAAAAGTTTGATAAAAATGGACGTGCTCAAGTGATGGTGAGTAGGAGTTTGGTAGAAAAGTTTGATAAAAACGGACGTGCTAACAAGTGATGGTAAGTAGGAGCTCGGTAGAAAAGTTTGATAGATAAAAACGGAGATGGACGTGCTCAAGTGATGCTAAGTAGGAGTTCGGTAGAAAAGGACGAAAGAAGAAAAGCAGCTGCAGCTCAGAACCGACAACATGTAATATGATACAACTAGTATCAAGAAGTTAAATTTCATCTACAATGAATGTTACCTTTCGCCGTCCATGCTACTATTTGGCTCATTTTCTCGTCTTTCTTTGGATCTGCAGCAAGCACATTCTCGAGCATCATCTCCAATGATTCGGATTTTATCACTGTGGAGTCGAAATCAAAGATCACATTTTCGTAGTCTCCAATTGCAGTCGTTCTGCCACTAGCTGATCCGTTTCCAGCAAGCTTATTGTTGCACGCCACATCTACTCCTGGGGCTCCGCAGCGAGAGGCACTCCCGCAGGCTGGAGTCGCAACACTAGCAACATGAGCCGTGACGCGATTCTCTTGATGTCCCGGAACAAAGTCAATATCTGAAGCTGGAGGCATTTTTTGTCTTGGCGATTTTTGCGATGTAGTTGACGTTCTTGTCGATGACGTGCTTTCTTAATAGTCAGAAAGTACAAAGAAAGTAGAAAGACTGTTCAAGACAAATCACAGCTTTGGAGTTAATTTCTGTCTACTCGGACTCGATTACACCTATCTCTCCACTAGTTACCTAGACCTAGATCTAGTAGAAGAAATTAAATATTTTTCGTTGGGTTTCTTGACCAAACTAAAAAGTGACAGGAACCGTAAAGTTCATCAATCACTCACCTCTAAGTAACTAGTACTAGGCACAATTGGGTGGGTGAAGGTTTTTTCTAGCATGCAGAGGTCCGCCTACGCCCAAAACAAAGACGTAGCGGGATTCGATCGACTCAAAAAAAAAAGAACGACGATATTCAAACAAGCTTGCACTTCTAGTCTATACTTTACAACAGTAACGCTTTACAAGAGGGCAGCGGTTTGTCAAATCCAGCAGGCCCGCCTCCCTGTGTCACCAGTGTCGACATCGATAGAGATAATTTCCATCGAGGAATGTCAAGGCCACTTTCCCTCTACAATTTGGCTCTCAGACTCTCTGGCACTAGCTCTCGAAAATCGATCTCACATTTTATTGAATGCCCATCTGTCTCTATGAATTTGAGTGAGTCAGAGTGTCGCCATGACTGATCTTTCTCTCTATCGGGCGTGTTGAAGTTGATGGATCTCTTCTTAGCACGATTTTGGGAACAGCAACGAGTCTCAAAAATCTCTGTCCGCTGTAAAGGAGCTTCATGGAGTCTTCTTCTAAAAATCGATGACAGCGTCATGATCTGTCTCGTAAAAATATCTTCTCACTCTCTTTGTCTCGTTGATCTGCAAAAATCTTGGATCTTCAGTTCTGCTAAAGCTTTTAAAGCTTTTTTTGATGAAATTAACTGCGTGTAGGTGAGAACTTACACCTAGGGCACAACAAACAGCTCAGCCAAAGGCCAATGCTTAAGCTGGAACGCTTCCGGCGCGACCATGCAGGCAGCTTTTTCTTAGAAGGTGAGAGAAGAGTAGAAGGAACGGAACAACTGAGACTGATAAGTACTTGCAAGACAAAGCTGTCAGATATCTTTCATTATACGGGTTGCCATAATTGTCGAAGCTTCGGATTGTTTGCGTTATGTGCGTCCCAGCCTCACCGTGTCGCCAATTCTTCACCACCACATGCACCCCTCGAGCAGTCGCTTCAAAATACGCTACTCTTTGCGTCTTCTTGTCGAGAATTTAGAAACTTCAAGTTCTTGCTCGTTGCGAAGTACTAGAAGCACACTGCTTGGAGTTATAGCTTCAATTTCTAGTACTATGAAGTTCAACACTATCTTTCTAAGTAAAGAACAACACCACAACATTCCCATAAGTATACGCGCGAATATTGCTTGAGCCCCCACGAAAGCGACGCAGATTCGGATAGGGGTTGCCTCTAGACTCTGTATCCTCCCAAAAATCTAGTAAAGAAGATGATGTCTTCACATTGAATCCTCCTTCTGCTGACGAATCGGCGCCAGAAGTCGTCGAAGATTCCGAGAATTCGAATTTCACACAGTGCTGTCCGCGCTTCGTCGTCAGTTCAGCATAAGCTGTATGCCCTTCGATTAGCAGTTTTGATCTGACGTGAAGAACGGTGGCGGAAGATTGTAAAGCGTCAGCGCTACTTTCGAGGTAGAGAATTCGTCTCCTCATGTCCACAGCTGCGTGGCCATGTGAGCGCGATTTGTGTCTGTTCTCGTTGGTGTTAGAAGCATGCAAGAGGCTTTCCCTATTGTGACGAGGCTACATTCTTCTTTCAACGTGGCGAATTGAATTCTCAAAGACGATGTTTCTCGATTGAAAAACAAAATAGAGGCTCAGAATACAACTTATGACGTTTTGTACTAGAGTGCAACGTTGTCAAAAATGTCACACTAGTACACCTCCTGCATCACCAGCATAATATCGCTGTCCGTCTCTTCGTGGCCGTGCTTCGCGCTCATCCTCACCGAGTTGAAATCGAATGACACAGGTCCTTTCGACAGAAACAGAGGCGCAAGTGGACCTCTGTGCTCCGACGCGTCGATCAAAGGGAGAGAAGATTCTTCGTCGTCCTCTGTGGAAGAGCGAAGCGCGTTGGTCTGGGAATCCTGGGACCTGTGGTCTAAAGATGACGAAGGAAGCAAAACTGCCTCTGTTGCTGCTGCTCCACCTCCGCCCAATGATGTGAGAGGTTGTTGCCGTGATGAACTAGAAGTATCAAGATCCTTGCTGCTCTCCTCGTATGAAGATCTCGAATGTGATGATCTAGCACTACTGCTAGTCGTGCTTGTTGCTGATGATCCAGCACTCGGAGTCTCAGACCACGACTCAGAAGTCTGCTTATAAGCCTCTACGTGATTGCTACTGCACTTCCCACCTGCGCATGAGTTTCGTAGGTGCTCTGCTAAACGGGGCCATTCTAGTGGCACGCCAACAAGAGATAACGGAGGCTGCCTCTTTGTACCAGCTAAGGCACGCAGGGTCGAGGTAAGCACCTCGAAGTCAGTAAAGGTTCAAATACAGAAAGACCAGAGACAGATAAGATGGCTCGAGCATCAAATCCTAAACACAGAACTGAGCAGCAGCAGCAGCAGCAGCAGCTGCATCCGATGGTCACTATTTCAGTAACTACCTATAAGAACTGAGTTCTATGTTGAAATGTACCAGGGAAAATGATGCTGCACAGGATATAGTAGTACCCCTCGCGGCGCCGCCACCGCATCCAAAGGCGACTCCAATAAGCCCCACGCGTCTTCTATCGCTCCTTTGCACGTTCTTGGAACTCGGAAATCAAACTTCCCAGGATGTTGTCGCATATCTAGCACCCTGTAAGCTGACACTTCCTTGGCATGGAAATGGCCTGACGAAGATGATTCATTTGGTCCTCGCTGTAGCATTTTGTTGGCCCCACGTTCTTCCGTGACAGGTGGAGGAGGTGTAGTACCTTCGCTACCAGGAAAATAGCTTTCCTCTTGCGGAAAGAGCGAATTTGAAGAAGATTCTTGCTGTCGCCTTTTTTCCCGCTCTAGCGTCGCAGTTGCATCTCTCTCGATAGTGTTTCGTGTATTCCCAGATGAGCCGGTGCTTTGTAGTTGCTGGTCTCTTGTAAAAGCTACACGCATAACATCGCTGTCCTCTGCTGCGACGTAGATGCGTAATCCCTCAAAACCATCTGTTCCTTCAAGAAAAGCATTTCCCAGATTCAAGTCCCAAGCAAAGGTTTCTGCCATCCTGTCCTGCTCCCCGCGAACCTCCGCAGAACCAGCAAAATGCAATAGAGAATAGGTCCTGCTTTGCTGTAGTTGTCCTGTCTTCTCGATCTCGCCTAAAAAATCGGAAAGAGGATGCGCGAAGCAATAGTTTTCGCCTGGTGCAGCATGGTACTCTATGGCAGATTAGAGGATGTAAAATTCCAAATTCGAAGTCAAGGCGCAGTAAAATTTATGAGCTGCTGGAAGAGGAAGAATACTAAATTGAAGATTAACGACTTAAACTTGATAATTACTTATACCCTTAATATACCCCCTTCCGTCCGCTGTTGTGTCGTCCATCCATCGTGACTCGCAACGCACGTCCTGACTCTGGATCATGACCTGAGAGATACAACAGCTTGCGAGCGAAGTTCACCGCGAATCGCCCACGGAATTTAGGAGGTGCAGTTGAGCTTCCCAAGTGATTGCCATGAGCAGATTCTTGAAACTCCATTTCAAAAAAGCTCAAATCATCTGCACTCAAGGTCGGTGGCCGATGTGCCAAAAGATCCAACTCACCTGGTAGACTCAGAAACGGTATGGCAAACACGCGGTATTGGCCCAAGGCCTTTGAAAACGAAAAAATGCTATCGCGCAAGGCACCGGATCTTTCATGCAATTTTGGACCTACAGCTTCTACTCCTACGTCTGCTGCACCACTTTCACTTAGTATTCCACTACTACCACTAGTTCTACCTTCAGCTCCACCTCTACTCTTATGACAATGCCAAGCTTCCTGTGTTTCGAAGAGTTCTGGTCGAGGTACACCCCCACGCCTCCAATTCGAGAACTTCACCACAGCCCGTGGTCGGTCAGGGTGCCTGGAGCTGAAAAGTGACAACCGCACCAACTCGCCACTGCGTGTAACTAGCATTGGCCTTAGATGTTGTGGCTTTCTAGGATTTTGATCTTTTCCGTAAGAGAGGGCGATAGAAGAAACGAGTCCCGACATCACTAGCCCTCTCTACTTATTCAAAAAATTTAGTGGTGTCGAACAAACGCGAGGGAGCCGTTCTGATAAAAAAAATCTTCATAAGTGCAAAAACCTTCCCTTCGACATTTCTAGATAGAACAGGTTGCATTCGGTCGCGTCGTCTTCGAGCACCACAGCACGTAGAAATTTCTCTTTCATCTGCGCTTGTTCTTTCAAACGTTCGACGTCGGCTGCTCCAGGACCAGGCAGTGCTTCGACAAGACATTGCGCACCCGCTTGAGGTTCCGTCCATTCCACATTGGCTGTCGAAAGGCCTTTTGCCGTGTCTAGGATAACGCTAGCATTGACTTTACCCATTCCAGGCACAGCGGTCAGCGAGTCGCCGGTTAAAGCTAGAAGCCCATCGTTGACATTCATTGCGAGGTGCCCAGTGGAGCGGACGAAACCGACATAAGCGGCTTGTTCTTCTCTACGCGTGCCGTAGCGTCGATGCGTTGTACTCTCGTAGTCGAATTCCAATCGGTCAACATGATTCAACTCTGGTGGCAAAGGGGTGGCACTCAGGATCTCGACTTCGCCAGGTAGAGCAAGGATTAGATGGCAAACAAGAATGTTATGCTAAGCCTGTGGTGTCGTGTGTATCCCTGATAGTCTACTGCTCCTAGTACCCGTAGAGAAGTCGGAGACAGGGTCACAAACTAAAGCCAGTAGGTACTGACCACAGCCTTAACAAAACCAGCTTCAGAAACGTCTCCTGAGGCACCTCAGCTTCGTCTGCAGTCGATGCAGCCACAGTTTGTGCATCCAGCAGTGCCAGACTCTTTCGATGTGCCGCTGACGCCACTATAGTGTCTTCGTATTCGTGCTCAGCTGGCAACGGCAGTCCCTGTTCATGCAAAACCTTGGCTTCTTGTGCGAAGTCCTTGCATCCCCACTGCTCTAATGGCTCAAACGTGTCTGCCTTCAACTTCCAAGATGCACTTGTTGAAGATGTTGAAGATGGCTCTGCTGGTGATGTTGATGTGCCAGAACTAGACGTCTGCTGTAACAGATGCTCATGTACATCAGTCTGCCAGATTGTTCCGTCACGACTTTCTACTTCAATACGCCAGAGACGTGGATGAAAGACACCTACTTCAGCCGTTGCTGAAGCCGTACTACTACTACTAGACCTAGAACTTGTTGTGTCTTCCACGAAAATCCTCAACACCCGACTCCGTGACAAAGGACTCCGAAACACTAGACATTCGTGCTCGTTGACGAAGTGCGCACCAGCAAAGCTCCACTCACGGTTGACACGGGCCAGGGCTTTCAACGTACTAGCATCTTCGTGGTCGGCTTTGTTGATCGCGCAAGTGTTCTTCGTCTGGCCTGCGGAATTCTGGTAGGTTCGAAAAGAATGCTGCACAATGGCATACAGGATGACGAGTCTGTCTTTTTTGCAAAAAAAGCTAAAGCTAAGCCGACTCTCCTAATCAACCTCTATCAATCTAATACCCCCCATCCATCCGTGTCGTCTAGCTTCAGCGCCAGGCTCGTGTAGACGTTTCCTTCGCTTCCTACTAGAACAGTCAGCGTCTTCACAGTTGAGTATAGGACCTCGATTTTCACCTGTTTCGTCACAAAATCAGCCCACAACTCGCCATGAGACATGACTCCTTTCGAGGAGTCGAGCATCTTCGTGCCACTTGCCTTCGCTCGAATTGTTGAATACCGAAAATACATGCGATCGTAGGAAGCCAGGTTAGGCGCAGTTGGTTCTTCGAGGAAGACGCTGAGCTCGCCGGGGAGTGCGAAGCCCGCGAGTGCTAGTAAATCGTAGTGGTGTGATGTGCCACTAGAAGCTGTCTCGGGTAACATGGAGCGTCCAGACAGAGCATAAGCCGCAACAAGGTTAAAGCTGGACGTATGTATTGTTTCCGGGATATTTCTAGACTTTAGAGGTGGATACTGTACAAAGCTGTACGTACGTATGTACGATTGTTTCCGGGATACTGTACAAAGCTGTGCGTATGTATGTATTGTTTCCGGGATACTGTACAAAGCTGTACGAACATATGTATTGTTTCCGGGATATTGGTATTTCTAGACTTTAATAGCGGTGAAAACTAACCGGTTCGTTTTGCTCAGTGCTTTGAGCGTCGCGGGACCTAAACCTTCACCTACCGTATGTATTCAAAATAAGGATCTATCCACCTACTTATGATGAATTATTACCTGTTGTATCTCTTGTTCGCTACTTCTATGCTCCTTTATCACCTTGCCGAATGCAACATCATCTCCATCGCACAAATTGATGGAGTGTGCACTTCTCTAGTAAGTACTTTGTTGTACTCACAAATATTGATGATCACTTCCTTAGTACTAGTAAATGAAGATTTCTCTCCTTAACAACGTCCGCCAACGCCAAAGACCGCGACTCGAGCTCAGCACCTGAGAGACCAACTCTTGCCAGTACTTGCCGATGCAAGGCGTCGGAATAACGCTCACATTGGCGACGATGCGTTTCCAGTTTCGGCAAAAAAGGTGGATCGAAAGTCGAGTCTGGTGGCCAGTGCGAAGTGAAATCCTGTACAGAGTAAACGACCTCGCGAGTCCCACCACCCGAAGCTGAGGTGGACGTGGTCCGTCGAATTCGTACTGCATGCACAGCATTATTTAGCAATGGTCGTGAGCTAACACTACTAGTAATTGGTGCTGAAGTAGCTTCTGTTTCTATCAACCCTGGCAAAGCAATGTCGATTCGTTTCCCACGCACCCAAGGTAATGATAATGGACGTCGGTCTATATGTTGTTTATGTTTTCCATCAGAGCTACTTGTTGACGATGAGCTTGCGGCTTCTGTAGACCATGATGTCGGGAACAAACTGTTTTCAGTCGGTGCATTTGCAGACGCTGAAGTTTCTTGCTGTGAGTCTGTACTTTCTTCATAGGCTAAAGGCAAAATAGAGTCTCCTGCTGACGTCCCAATCCGCGTCGAAGACTCAAACCTTGACTGCGCTGCTGCCAACTCTGCTCGACGACTCTCTAGTTCCGCACTCTCGTTAGCAGGTATAGGATACCAAAGGCACTGATCAGCCTTCTTGTCTCCATCTTTCCCATGAAAAATGGTCGTGACCCGTTTCTCAGCTGCGTCTACTATGACGGAAACCTGCGTTGAACCGAACATGGTGCCAGCTTTGCGAGCCGTGATACGGAATAAACGCCTTGACAGGTCCCACCAGACTTCGCCTGAAGAGTCGGCATGTTGTTTCTCATATCGGAAATGCACCTGCTTGACATCATCTGGTCGGAAGACGTGGGTCGCGTATCCGCACGTTCCGAAAAGGAACAAAAGCAAAACGAGACGAACCATCATCTTGCTATACTTCTATGGACAGTTAGTTACATGTCTATAAATTGTGGCCACTACTCACCTTGATGTTTACCCTAAGGCGTCACTGTGAGTTAGAGTACGAAGAGGGAGTCGCATGTTGTTATTGCGAATTCTTCGCCAAAATTTCGTTGCACAACGTGGGAGAGTCCCGAGAATGGTTTGATCAAAGAACAGCACCAACACCAGCTTGCTGACCTATCAATATAAGTGGCCCGCCCATGTGGGCGACATGAGGACCTTTTCCTCATGTCAGTTCTTTTTGTTTTGCTCCTTAGGTATACTAGATTGGAGGGGAATCCAATGATTTGCTGGTGGGGAAAAGGCCCTGTCGCCTTACATTTTTCATGTTGTCGCGTAGGTACGACTTCATTGAGTTCTGTGTAGCATGTTGTGTGGTCTTCCCTCCCTATGCTATTTTCATTCGAAAATATGATAACTAGACTCCAATAAGTCAAAGTACAGTCTTCAACTTTTAGTCTCTATGTCTATGTCTGCGAAGCTGATCATGTAGCTGTGCGTGGCTGTATCCCGACTACTCAAAACGAAGCACTTCTGTGTAATCCTATCGCCAATTTCCCCAGTTCTATGCAGTGAGTCCCCTCGCGATGCAGTTCCCCGAGGCACTCTTTCATATGGAGCCAAATGACAAGAACTAAATGTCAAGAAAAAAAAGAGTGTATGAATAGTGCGTCGCTGCCCTGTGGTCCCTGTTTGATGATATATCAACTTACTTAGACGAAAGTAGATGAAAAATACTTCCCAACGAATACGGAGTGCCACTATATGGAGCTAAGGAGTCGCTCATTTTGTATCTTTGCTATTCAATAATTATCGACTCCACAACAGTCTACACTCACCGCTCGCTAACATGCTGCGTGTAGAAAGTCTGTGGTTTGAATACGTCGTCATTGGCAAAAAAAATAGAAATTTTCAGTCATTAAGTATAGTCGTTAGGTATCTGCTATCTTAGGACATGTTATTTACGGAGTGCTATTCTCTGTATCTCTTATCTTAGGAGTAGGACATTGATTCACTCTACTGCTAATAAATTTCAGTAATTATGGACTACCACGAGTTTCTGGTTGTGCTTATTGAGTCGCGGAGCCTACGCTCTTTGACCGCCGGAGCGGTGAGTGTTCATCAATCTGGCAGCGTTGAAAAGATCGTGATGATTCTAGGTCGTTGATGCGCTGGCTGGGTCACCGCTCGGAAGTGATATTCCTGGCCCACCACCACCCCTCCTCCACGCACCCACAACTAGCACAGTAGCACCTCAAGCAGTCGCCATCACCTACGTGTCTACAACGCGACCGAGTGCAAGATAGAAGAATGCAGACACTTGAAGCCACCTCATCGTCTGACCCCTATAGGGACCGCCGGCAAGCAGCCGAGATCATCCACATTGTGCGGCACGTGCTGCAAGAGGCAAAACTGCACAGCACGAGCACGATCCCAAAAGACACGCGCAATAGCATCACTCTGGCCAAAGCCCAGCATGAAGAATGGATACGACGGCCGCGTGGGGCAATGCCCTACATTGACGAACTGGAAACGAAGACTAGGCAGGAGAGTAAGCGGCTCCTACGAACCGCCAAGCCGCACATCCAGCAGGTACTTGGGCTCGATACAGACTGCGGGAGAAACCTCGTGGCCCTGCGGCTGTTAAGCACCGACTCGGGGCACCCAGACACCCAGCTACCTGACGACATACTTCGGGGGCTTGAGTGCTACGGCAATGCAGACCTATCAGGCGTGTGGCCGGCAGACGAATCAGCTAGCCCACTCTCTGCCGAGGACATGCAGGGGTTTTTTGACGCCGCTGCGTGGGTGAAGCGTGCCAAACCTACTGCTTGGCCAGACGATCTGCTGGACGGCCTCGTAGACGAAGCGGAAAAGATGGCGCCAGCAGTTTGGTACCGTGAGATTGACGCCTCGCAGTTACGGCGCCGGCCTGCCTTTGTGTTTCCCAAGCAGGGACTTGAAAAAATAAGGCAGATCGTGCACGCAGCTCATAATAATAGTTTCGCAGTGCTGTTGGAGAAGGCGTCACCGGCAGGCACCAGGATGACCCACGGAATCATCTGCGCGTTCCTGGCACCCACTGGAACTGAGCACGTAGGTCTACGCCTGCCGGCCACGAATATTTCTCGCGAGGCGTGGAACGCCACCGAGGCTACAAGAAGACGCGTCTCCGCGTTCGACGTCCACAACTCGAAGCGCCATTCTGGGGACCCACTTCCTCCACCTAAAGAACTTAATTCTTTGTCCCTAAAAAATCAATACTAGTCGTTTCTCTTTCCCTATGTGTGGCCGGGTTTTTCCATGAAGTTTCCTGTTGAAGTTTTTTGTGATTGGAATTGTTTAAGCAGAGCGATGGTGAGGAATATGCAGTAACGCATTCTCATCGAAATTTATCCAAAATTCTTGAACAAGCTCTCCGCGATAGGATACAGTTGTGGCGAAAAAATCAGTTCGCTTACTTTAGATGGAAAGATCGATAACTCACTTGTAAATCAGCCACAGCCTTCGCTAGACTTCCAGAACAGCATTCGAAGATCAAGCTGTGGAAGAGTTTGGCGGTTTTCATTGATTACAGCGTTTTTGCTTCCGGCGAGCGCACAACTGCCTGGCGTCTTGGCTTGAACGATTACGCAAAAAAATTGGTAGTACTTTTGTTGGTAGTCCTCTTGAAGCGGATTGGTGGATAAGATTGATTGATACTTGGGTAGATTACTTCATCGCGAAAACAATTCCATTACTTTATTTTAGGTAGATTCATTTCAGAGTGAAAAAGCTGTGCTTTTTTTATTCGAAGCAAATAAAGGTGATATCATCAATGCAGAAGTTCAACAACCCAAGCTACTGATTATCAGGTTAGTTTTAGCTTTTCATTTTGTTTCGGGTTGCCAATTTTTAGGGCTTTCTCCTCTCTCTTTGCCTCCTCCTTCGTCTCTCCGCTGCTGCTTTCAAGTACTTCAGTGTCTTACCATGTTCGGTTCTCCTCACTGTTGCTGCGAGGCAGCAGGTACGCAAAAAGTTCTCTTGCCAGTCTGGATCCGACACTTCGCAGTGCCCATCTTTGGGAGGTCCCCACGATGAGGAAATTTAGAAGTGGCTGCAGAATTACATTCCACATCATAACATCCTTGGCTACTTTGTTTCTAGAATAAATATAGAAGAAGTATTAAGGAAAGAACGGTACTAGTGCATGATGTAAATGTAATTTGGTAAACGGCCCTTAAGAAATACGATCACCACGACCTCGGAGGTCGTTGGAGGTTGTTGTAGGAGAAGGACTTGTCGTGTCTGTCGTTTTACTTGTAGATGCGTCTGTGATATTTGAACTAGACTCTCCTGCTGGTGTAGTAGGAGAACCACCTTTCGGTGCGACACAGCATGCTCGCGCACTGTAGGCTGGCGCGCGAAACAATATGGCCCAAAGAAAATCCAATACTGGCGCATATTCGAGATACAACTGTCGGAAATACCACAACAACCCTGTTGGCATGCCAGCAAACGCTTGCGCATTGGTACGGACACCGGGGAACTCCTGCAGCAAAGACCAAGGCGCAGAAGTGTCTTCTTCCCGCCAAAGCATGCGGTAAAAGAACGCCGCCCCAAGATCCCGAAGCCAAGCACCACGCACACTATTGCGACTCAGCCATCGCGCTTGCTTGGCGAGTGAAAAGCAACGACCTTTGTGCGAGAGGTCCAGACGACTCTTCCGCGTAATAGGTTGGGCCCTTGGTCCCCCACTAGTATGCTGTGAATGGTGTCTATTCCATCTTCTAGGCAGACCATCACGGCTATCCCTTTATTCCCCTTAAAAACGTGTAGTCTTAAGGGGAGCCTCAATGGTCTGAAGATAGATGCAAAAAACATCATCCATATATGTGCTTCTTGTTCATCGGTCCCTCTACGATCCTTCTTCACCTTCCAATCGAAATTCGGGACTGTTGCGATACTAGTGACGTGCTCTGTCACGCGAACGGCTTGGCCGCGACTGCGAATTCGACCGGGAAATTAGCGCTGACAACTACCGATGAGTAGAGCTAAACAGCAGGATATTTGTTGGATTACAAAATGTGTATCTCACTTCAACTGACAATGAGCAAAATCTATTATTCGGCGAAATGTCATCTTCAGCACTGAACTAGTAGTGAGTTTTTACAAACTTGAACTACCATATGTGAACCATAAGAGGACCCCCTCTCATCATCCTCGGTGTTGACATCGACAACAGGTGGCGCAGTTGCAAAAACGAAATCGTTGTCTAGCAACAAGTTACTCTCTTTTGCAAAAAAGCGATCCGCTGCTTGCCGACCTTCTACTAATATGAATGGGTTTTTTCCATCTAGCCAGACCATCACGGATCCCCTGTAACCTATACACTCTCACGGGAAAGGGGCAGTCTCGATGGTCTGTTAAATGGGAGAAAAAAACATCATCCATAACAAACATGTCTTCTTGCTTGTACGGTTGCTGTTGCTGTTCTTGTTTCGTAGAAGCATGCTCTTGTGAGTCAAGTTCTGGAGGTTCTATATCACGACGTCGTGTGAAGCAGGAAATGAGTCTGCCTCGTGGAGCTCCTGCCTTCTTAAGGACTTAGAGGCGAAGCAAGTATCTATGCGGCTGAGCTTGAACTTAAGCTAACAGCATGAGCATCTAAGTAACATCTTTCCTCAAGTGCACTGCCTACTCCTCGATAATCCATTCACCATCATCAGCGTGTCTCAGACCGTCATCCTTTACTATCGGCAAGACGAAACAAACGATTCCTTAAAATATATGAGAGAACAACTGCTAACCCTGAAGTCCCTGATTCCTAAAGTAGACAACTCCTTCAAAAACTACTCTAACGACACCTAGTTCTTGTTTGGAGTACATCGAAAAACTACTCCAACTACTCCAGCATAATCTTCAACAGAGTCCTCTCTCCGGAAAGCTTCCGCGCATCTTTTCAATTCCTCGAAGCGCCATTCCTCGAATTCGCTACGAAACAAGCGCTCCCACTCCCGGTCCGGTCTCCAATTCCCACCCACACCGACTACGATGGGTTAGAGATTTCCATGTGTGTGTCCCTGTCAAGGTTCAACGTAAGTAACCACCTCCTAAGAGACATTAATATCACATAGAAGCTAATATGGAGTAATCATCTTCTAAGTAACGGTTGCTGAGGTAGACAATTTCTTAATCGGGGAATGAAGAACATCAAAATGATTTCACAGCTACGACTACTTCACCACGCAGATGGAGATGAGGACGAACAAGATCAGTTCGTAAAATAAAACATGCCAGCCTTAAATATCATCCTCCGCGTTGAGTCTTCGCGTGTGATGCAGGATATGCAGCATGTGGTCTATAAATTCCGCAATTGCTGAAGCCACTGGCATTATACCAGTTTGGTGTCCCCAGTGAGATTAGGGCCAGCTTCTATTCATCTCGGTCGCCGCATCTTGTCCCCTTCTCTTCCCAGGTAAAGAATACGAGGGAAGCAAAAGGGCACCAAGATGCCGAGAATGATGGACAAAAGCTGCCCTTAATGAAAGATACCTTCCACAGACCGATGCGCTTCCGCAGCTATGCCATCAAAAGTTGCCGCATCAACGACTTGAACCTCGGAAGCCGAGAAATTAGAGAACGTGAACTAACGTAGGTTTTCGTTCTATAGGTGCATCGAAGAAACTTCAAGTTCTTGCACCTTTCACCTTACGATTGTACCATTCAACATCTGACGTACAAATAGATACTCCAAATAGCAGGAGAGCTACAACATCAAGAACAAGTTACTATGCTTCTAGCAGAAGTACTTACTCTCTAAAACCTTTAATTCAATATCAAACTAACTTTCCAAATGACGCCGAAGCATACTCTCCTCCAAGTTAGTTCTGTTTGTTTGTTTTGATGCGCTCCGGGCGACGCGTACGATCTCGCCAGATTTCTTTGTGCTCTGTGTGTGCTGTGCTATGGTCGTCATTGCGATCGACTATGATATGTCTCTGACCAGACTTTTCAAATTCAAATCGAAACTTTATTTCAATCCTAACAGCAGATGCTCCCGTCTCTACTCCCCGATTAGGCAGTAGAACTACACTACAGGACTGCTGCCCATCATCCAGGTCCAAAAACGCCTCTCTTGCTAGAGCTTTCCGTAATTCATCTCTCTGCTGTATCGATCCTTGAAGAGTATACAAAGCTAGCACAGGAATAGATACTCGAAAAACTAAAATATGCGAGTAACAGACGAGAATAACCGACAGACTGATGAGAAGGAAGAGTAGCCCTGATGTTAAGCTACCTCCCGTATTTCAGTCAGTAACTCGGTTACTTTGAGTTTTCGAACACTCAAGCATACAACTTTTCAAGGATATTACACTAAAAGATGAATTAGTTACAGGAGCCTTAATCTTGCCATCTCTGCCTGAGCAGCCGCGCTCGCATCATCTACGTGCTCGCCGGAAGCGACCAATATGGATGATGATATTTCTCCCCTCAACCAGAAAACCAGACCAGCGAGGCCCCCCTTAACCTATACACTTTCAAGGGACCCAAACGGCGCAGCCTGAAACGAAAAGATGGGCTAAAAAAAGGAAGATGGCACCCTCGATGGTCTGTTATAAATGGGAGAAAAAACATCATCCATAACCAGCGGGATGATATCGCGGTCAAGATTCGTTCTGATCTTAGAGCTTCGTATCTAAAATTCTAACTCCACTTGCCAAGATGAACATTGGAAAAGACGAAGATACCAATACGAAAGAATATTGGGAAAGGGAAACATGCTGCCATGTCAGGATGCCTCTTGGTTCCGGTCTATACACCACATGTTGGACTCCAAAGCCTTAACAAAGACAGCATTAGCAAGGCGATCACCAGCATATGCTTCAGCGGTCAAATCTAGAAGCATGTCTAAATGTTGCTCCCGCTCGATCGGGGTGAGCAAATCCGGATAGGCGAAAGCAGAATTCTGTACTACAATTGTCGTCGATTCGTGCTGATTAGAGAAGGACGATAGTTGTAGAGCTTGTTGTAACTCTCCATCATGGAGGAGGTGAGACGTTGTATATGTTGCAGAGGCGGACGGTAGAGCTTGTAGATGTAGTTCTTCTTCGTGGTCTGGTGTACTTGTGCTTGTGGTGCTTGTGGTCTGGTTTACTCGCACTTTGTGCCTTCTCAGCCTTCGTCCTTCCTGTACCACTCGAGCCCCTACGTAGTTTCGCGGATGACTCCACTCCACGTGCTCTGCCTGGACCTCGCCTTTGATGCACAGAGTACCCAAAACATCTTCACTGCTTTTTTCATATGAAGGAAGTGTAAGCTAGGTTGCCTTCGGTTAGGTCAGGTGGTGACGATGATGATGTACCCAGCAAGGGGTATTTACTTGTTGTTTCTTTAGCATCTTCGTTTTTGTTTTCTTTCACATAGGTAGGGGCATCATATGAAGGGGGTACTATGGGCATTATATAACTAGAGGTATCGGGAATTCATCTCGGGGATCATCTGGGCCCCTTTTTCCTCTTGTTATTTTCTTCCAGATGACTTTGGAGATGAATTCCCTACGCCCATAGCATAAAATTTATGTGTATCTAGTATCAAGTAGTTCTAGTTTGTTTTTTCCATCCTGTTGAGAGAACAGTGCAGAAGAACTACACAACTAGAGGTAGGCTGGAATACACAAACAAAAAAAGGAACATCTAACTATCTAAATGTAGATTAGGAAGTACTCCCTTGTAGTCTTTGATATATATTCGCAGCAATAAGAGTCCGACGGGTTGAAGGAGGAAGTATAACTAGACGCTCCATCTACTTAGTAAATGTAGATTGAGAAGTCTATCTAAATCGTAACTCGACCAGCGTTTCTCCAAACCCGCACTCATCCGCCTCTCGTCTACGATCCGCTGACGGTCCCGCAAGCAACAGCCCAACTCCCTTTCCTTCATTATTAAAGCTACACCTATTGACCTGACCTGTAAGGCACCATAAGCTTGTAGAATAGTAAAAATAATGAGTAAGTTGTTGAAAGGGCTAAGACTCTAGAGGTAAAAGCTAGCCGGTTGTTTCATTTAGTGCTTTGAGCGCCGCTGGACCTAAACTCCAACCTTAGGAAAGTAAAAATAATGAGTAAGCTTGTAGCATAAAGCATAGAAGTAGAGACTGATTGGCATCCCGTGTCATTGATCTTAGAGAGAGCTTCTTATTTCTCTATCTAAATCTATCCTGTTGCTGCATATTATTGGGAGTCCGTATTTTGAGCCTTAACATTGTAGTTTTCTTTCCGGTACATTTTGCCTATGACAAAAGTGAAACGATGATAAACTTCAAGAAACCGCACGGCTTTCAAGAAGTTGAAGTTGTCCTTTGTTGTTTTAGAAGGGGTATCACTATCATGCTGGAGGGACGTTTTTCCTTCTGGCGGGTTTGATGTACTTCGTCTTCTGGAAAGCGCTCGTCTTCTAGGTAGAGTACTCGCTTCTTCGGCAGTTGTATTAGAGCTACCACGTCGCATCTTCCTCGAGAACCATATCCTTTGACTGACACCTCTCCTTCCCCTCGAAAAAGCGGAGCCAAGGATCATGGTGTCAATGACGTGCGTCGGCGGTAGCCTTAATTGTATCGGATCTAAAACTTTCTTCTTCTTCCTCGATGATGTCTTCAGGTGTAACGCGCCTAGAAGCATCTCCCATCTCCGAGGTCCTCAAATGCACAGGCGGCTCAGATTTTTGCAGAAGTAGACGCCCACGCTCGCTATTTTTCTCCACACTAGTTAGGGGAGTACAAGTTGTGTGGAGAAAAATAGCGAGCGTGGGAAATTTTTCACGACTATCCACCTTGGTTGAGTAGAATGATATTATGGTAGTGCAACAGTTTCTTTTACAAGGCGCTAGTGTCTCACTCTCCACACTGTTTAGTTTATCGTCCCTAAAAATTTTTGTCTTCCTAATAAGATCTCCACGCTCCCTTGGGCGCGGAGAAAAGTAGCTCTCCCTAATAATAGCTCCTCCCTAATTTTTATATCCCTACACTTTCGCTATTTTTCTCCAAATTGATTAGGATATTTTTCTCCACATTTTGGATAGTGAACTTTTCTCCACTATCCACCTTAGATGAGTACAAGTTGCCGCTTCTCGCCTTGATTGTTTACCCTTCAAATTAAAGGAAACCGACCCCACTCAGCGTAGTTCATCGTTGAGATTATAGTGAAAAACTAGTAGCCTTAACATGTTCGGAAAGTACGCGTCATGCACGCCACGATTCGATAGAGCCTTTTCGAAGATATACCCCATATAGCTTTTCAAAAAATGTGTCCAACAGTGCGCATCCTGAAATTTCGCCGTATGAGGTGGCAAAGGCAAATCAACCATGCTGTTGCGAGAGGAGTCTTCATTAGAGCTACCGCGTTGGCATCCCTGAGTGCATCCTTGGCTTCTCTTTCAAGTAGAAAAAGGGACAAGGATGATGCTGAGAGTGGTTGAGCGGTAGCCTTAACTTCAATGGCAACGAGAACAGACTCACCAGCCGACTCCTCTTGGTCTTGGGCAAGTAGAACAACGTCATCGAGATCAACAGCAGCGCTAGGACCACGCATAGCTTCTCGCAATCGTGCTTCGAGATCCATACTAGCTTTTTTATCCCTACTGAGATTCATATTTTGTTCCGTAGTCCCTCGTCCTCTAGAAGCGCGTCCTAATTAGAGCTACCGGATGAGCATCGTTGGCGCCTTTTGCAAGTAGAAAAGGAGCCAGGGATAATGTTGAGGATATTTCAGCGGTAGCCTTAACCTAAGGGTTTTCGAAAAGAGACCACAGATCTTGCGTTATATGGGTCGGTCATTGCTGTACAAGTGGCAGGTTGGCTATGTGCGCACGAGAAGTCCAAATCGGTTTTTAGAGGTGGGGCTTTGGTGTTCATGTTTCCCGTTTGTTCTACTGCTTGTCTCGTCCCTTGGGAGAGAAAGGCAGGAAAGCAAGCGCTATAACAGGGGGAACACCTGTAGCCTACCCTTAAGGTTTCAAGGATCGTCTGAAAGACTGAAGGTAAGTCGTCTCGACTTCCTCCTGGCGCACTTCTTCTCAGTGGCGATTTTGCTTGCCATGGGGATCGCTCCACAAGTGCCGCTGTCGCTTGCACATGTGCTTCTCTTGGAGTGAGGTAACGATGCTGCTTTCGTACTGAAGGTAAAGGATTACTACTTGTTGGCTTATTATACACTAGAGGCATGTTTGATCGAGCCAATGGAGGCGGGAAGGAGTTATCGTCCGGATATTGAAAGGAGTTATCTTTATCATCTTTAGTCCTCTCAACTCCTTCTCCTTGGCCTGGATGCAGCAAGCTAGTATTTCTATTTCCACCATACCACCAAAATTTTCGCTCATTTGGCAGTACTGCGTCATGCGGCAAGTGCAACATGTAATACACTTGCGGCCTTCGACTGCTGTCGCTCTCTTGATTTTTGACGTCTTCCGAATCGTTCAAGCCTAAAAGAGCCACTTCCAAACCTAAAGCCTCATGCACCGCTTTTCCTTCAGACAAGAAAGCATCCAACCAAAGGCACACTTTTTGCTCCTTAATGGATGGCGATTCTTCTCCCCTCTAAGGCCAGACCAGCACGGCTACCCTTTTCCACGCCTTGATGAAAATGTTGTACTTATAGCCTCAATAAGGGGAGAGTCGATCATGGTCTGTTAAAGATGGGAGAATAAACATCATCCATATCCTTGTTTACCTCGCCTCCGAGATATCCAGGCCGATGCTTCCAAACCAACCGGGTACCTTCCACACCATACTGCGAAGACCAATTCGGTGAGGATATCACTTTACCTTGATGCCGAGTCGGAAGTAGACTCTTCGTGTCAATAAGGAGCCCAGTTTCATCTTCGAAGTCTCCTACTTGTTCGTCCAAGAGTTTGTCTCTGTCATCTTCTGCCGAAGGTCGTGAAACCACTGCAGTCAGCCCCTTCTCTTCCTCCAAAGCGAAGTCAGACACCAGTAGCGACTCTGCGGGACAAAACGCCGTTGTTGGTGACACGATGGCAACTGGCAAATCCTCTATCAAGTACCAACCGCCAGGCCGAACGAGCCGCCACCAATAGGCTAGATTCGCTCGGTTTGCAAGGTATTCATGTAAGCCATCATCGATCAGAATGTCGAAAGGTCGGCCCAAGGTACGATGAGCGAAGAGATCGATCTCGGTCTTGTTGAAGGAGTTCAGTTTGTGCGCCATTACCCTCCCTCGTCTAGAAACGTCAGATCCTCTTGCAGCCGCGGCCGCGTTTGCCAAGCGCACACTATCCCCAGATATATCGAACCCATGGATTTGAGCACGCGGAAAAAAGTCGGCCCAGGCGCGCAATCCTCCTCCTGGTGCGTAAAACCTGCGCCACTCCTTTACTTCCGCAAGCTCTTGCAACGACATTTTTGTTGACGGGCTCTGCTCCGCCGGAGTGTCCCTCCATCTTCGATACCGGTTTCGGCATTCTATCACCTCATCCTGCGGTGTCCTCTGAGTGTTTCTGTCGCTGTCCGTAACTGAAGATGACACCTCTCCGTTTTTTCCGGCTTTTTGAGAAGCAGAGAGCTTTTTAACTGTCGCCTCTGTCTGCGAAGCCGAGGTCTCTATTTCGTCGGCAGAGAATGTGCTAGCAGTGACCTTTTCGTCGGCAGAGGTTGGAACAGCAGATTGCATTTGATATACTGAAGGTCTATCCTGCAACGGCCCCACCCCAATTTCGCCCACAAGTTGTACATCACAACGTTAGACCTACCATAAATCCATCTTCAGTAGCATCCTCGTGCCCCTTTTCCCTTTCAAAACGGGGCCAAGATGCATGCGAAGATGCTTTTCTTATAGCCTTAACAACGCTCCTCGTTCAGAAACAATCGATCGTAGAGAAAACCGTAGTTGTGCTGTCGAGTGCCCCTATCGGACCGGTGGTAGTCGAAAAGGAGATTTAATATCCCGTCACTGTGAGCATGAGCAAACTCTTTGCTTTTTTGGAGTTGTTCATCTGCGTTAATCGACGACCGCATTGAAGAAGGCAAGGAGAGGCTAGCCGCGAAGTAAGAGCGAAGCAAGCGTCCGGCAGGGCCATCGAACTTGCCCCTATCCCGCTCATCGCATTCGTCCTTGAGGGCGGCACGGATCACCTTCGCCTCTTCCAAAAATGCTGACGCAATTTCATCGGTAAAACAAGCAGCCCCAGCCTGTCCTTCGATCCCGTAGAATAGTTAGACCTTCCGGGAATCCATCTTGAAAGTCATCTTGCGCGCGTTTTCTCTTTACACGGGAAACCCAAGATGCTTCTGAAGATGAATTTCCGGAAGTCTTAAAATACAGCTCGTTTCCGACCGTCGTTCTCATCTCTGTCGATTTCCGCTTCTATTTCCGCACGAACAAGAAGGTAACTACAGGAGAAAGCCAAGAGGCGCCACACGCGAGAGACCATAGCATCCATTCAAGCCACGATCTGACTGAGACGGGGTAGTGAGGTAACGACGCAGAGCCACGATCTGACGGAGGCAATGAGGTCAGGCGATGCAAGGACGCAAAACTATGATCTGAGTGACCCGGTGATCTGACTGAAGAGCCACTTCAAGACGACCTACCAATTACATGGGTAGAAAAGGGTATTGTGGGTATAGTGGGACATGGTGGATGTGGATGAAATCCTAAACATGATTCCGTCACAATTGTATACAACATCTACCTTGGCAAGCATAAGACCGTGACGCATTCATTCCTTCATGCTGCCGTCGATACGGTCGAGCTCGATGATTGTTTTTCTTGTCCTACTGTATTGATATTAAGACCGCGTCCGTTGTAATTGACTCGTCCATGCTTCTCATTCCAACGGTTTCGATTGATCACGATGCTACCGCTGCTTCCGATGTGGTAATATCATTTGGATCACAAGACTTCGGTGACTTTACTTTACTAGGTTCTCGGAGTCTGTTGGAGGAAATCACTGGTATCTATATATGAATCAGGGCCGCACGGCCCCCCCTCCCCCCCTGTGGTCTGGTCTGTAGTGGCGCGCCCGCGCGCTTTTCCGCGCGGATTTTTCGCGGATTCTAGTGGTGGGAGGCGTCAAAACTTGTCGCGGGCCTCCCCTTGGGCCTCTCAGCGTGTTCCGAAGGGACCGCCTCGCCTCTACTGACCCGCGCAGGCGGGAGGCCTCCGGGGTGAAAGGCCGCCGGAGGCGGCCACGGTCGCAAGCAAGCCGATGACCAAGGGCCCGGCGGGCACAGGCAGGCACCTGGACGGGGGCGCAGGCGATCCCCTGGGCCCCTTTTGAAGCCTCCCACCACCATCGGGGGCCCCTCAAGTCTGTAGGGTACATGCAAACGAGAAGGGGGCAGCCCCTTGGCCTCCTTTTGGGGCCTTCCGTCCCCGGCAGACGCCTCCAAAAGGGGTCCAGGGCGCCCGCCCCCCCCCCGCTAGGGGGGGGGGGGGCGTCGCCCCGCGCCCTGGAACATATATAATTCTCTATGGTTCATGTTCCGTTTTGTACTCGTGGCATGATCTTTCCGTCTCTGTTGATCCCTCTTCAGAGGCTCTTCTTCTAACATCTAGAGGAACTTCGTTCGAATCCATGTCCCTGCTCAATCATAGTATTTTGTACGACCGAAAAAGGCTCTCTGGTAGTTTTTCACCACAGAGCGGCCAGCAAAAAGCAGACGGCTCGAGCAAGGATCCATGAGACATCACGTCACGAGAGGCGAAGTCGAAATTTCTTGCGTATTTCATCGCTTCTACTTCATGTATGTGTTGCTTTCCTTTCTTGTATCGCGGATGCTAGTGCGTGCCGTCGCTTGTCAGGAAGGATTTTCGGTTTGACGTTAGATGAATCAGCGTGCACCAGTACCGCGACAATTTGCGACAACAAAGTTCGCTTGATGGCTATGTGTCACGGATTCAACATCAACATCCACCTTCCTTCGGGCTAGCTGATATGGTATTACAACATGGTGAAACAACAAGGTCATGCTCATGTGTTGTTGATCGTGTTACTAAGAATTCGTTGGTACGTGCAGTGGGTCAAGAGGTATGAGAAGTCCAGAAGCGACATATATTGGACTAGATCATAAAGCCGTTTTCTTTGTCATGAGTGACAGAAAAAAAAAGTTATACATTAAGTTTTTTGCTTGAAGGGATACATCTAGTCTACGTGACAGAGGTAAAAACTAACCGGCTGATTCATTTTAGTGCTTTGAGCGCCGCTGGACCTAAACCCCAACCCTATGAAAAGGAAGAAGCCAATCTAGATTAGCAGCACACCTCTGAGAAAGGGGAAAACTTAACAAGAGCCTGCTATGGGAGCAGGAGGTTACTTCATTATTGTCAGATGGCATTATTTGTTCTTAGTTGCTTAATGATAAAAAAAAAATTATACATTAAGTCGACGAATTACCTTTCAACGTCCGCGAATTCTAAAAAAGTTCAAATCTCTTGTTCATTATCTTTAGATCGGACTATGTAACGGTGCGGCTTCACTAGCACGGAGCTCCTACGTCGTCCGTGTCCTAATCTTTTGCCGATGATTCTTGTTCACAACCAGCTCTACTTTTTCTTTCCCGCCGACGCCGAAACAACCTTGTGGATGCAGTCTGCTACATAACCAACGTTGTCCTTGTTCAAACCGGCTAGCGAGATGCGGCCACTTTTCTTAGAAAGGCCTATCCTAACCGACCTTTTCCAGTGTGACCCCTTTCTTGTTGCCCTTGAAAGCATCGTGTACGGGTTGTGAGTCACATTCACTTCTTACAACAACAAGATGAATTATGTGGAAGCCGTAATCTTCAGTAGGTAGATGTGATGCTCCTTGATTAACGTTTCGCACTGCTCTGGGGTCAGGCCAGTAAAGGAAAACATGCCGATTTGCTCAGTGATGTGGTTCCACTTTCCCGGCGTCCCCTTCTGTTCGCAGATTAGACGCAAGAGTATAGAAATGATGTTCAGGACGAGAGAGAAATAGCGTGCGACCTGTATGTTTATCCAAAAAAAAGTGTAATATAATCATGATATTCTAGTGATTCTCCGGGATGACAGTAACCTTCCGCTCGTGGGATCAACTTCCCATCATGATTGTAGCTACTTTTTACGACTCAGCATTTCTATGATCATGAAACGAGATGTCATGCGATGCAACATTTTAAAGCTAACCTTGTATACTTCTATTCCTTGAGCAAAGTATTCTATGTTCTTCATGCATTTCATGTTCGTAATAGCAAGCCGCGGAGCATGCTTCGGACCTCATGGATGCGATCGGCCATTTCCTTCAGCTCAATGGTCCACTGTTGGTACATATTTGGCGTGTTGAGGATCTTACTTACTAAGTGGGCTCCGTGCAGTGGCGGGGAAGAATACATCGGACGCACCACCAGCTTCAGCTGAGATAGAACAGCCTGGTGTTGATGACGAGAAAAGAACTTAGGAGTTTGAAGTTGTAACTTCTCTTTTTCAAGCAACGAGCAGAAAAATCAAAAATCTAGATTCAAATACCTGATCAGCATCCATAAAAGGAAGTTCAGAACTTCTCATGCACGACAAATACTAGGTAAATTGTTGTACCTCTGCCCTGTCTTTGTTTTTGCACACGACATGCAGCATTCCTATTCGTTCACCGTAAAGGCCCAAATTTTTGGCAAAGGATTGGCACACAAAGAATTCGAGGTCCGACGCCATAAACATCTCAATGACCTTGCGGTCTTTCTCCAGAGAGCCCGAAGCATACCCTTGATAGGCGGAATCTAGAATCACCAAGTGCTTCTTCGCGACACACGTGGCGACCTCATTAAAGAAGGAATTTTGATATCCGAATGATAAAAATAGGTGGAGCGGTTACTACTAGAACCTAGTTGTACTAAACCCTCCTATTTAATCCGGTAAAAGTGGAAGAACAAGTTCGGAATATCAAAAAATATTCAATCCCAGGAGTCGCGACAAGGTCGTGGAAGACACTGCGACTGGCCTGTAACCAAAAATCCCAAATGTCCTCTAATAATTTCACCTTGATGATAAAAAGAAAACGACTCATACATTCACCATATCTCGAATCATACCATTTCTTTCCACTGCTCTTCGCTAGGATCCACACCTGTAGGATTATGCGCGCAGGGATGAATCAGGTAGAGGCTGCCTTCTGGAGCTGCCTCGACGTGTTTGTGCCACTCGTCAAATTTGCACGCCCGCGTCGTCGGATCGTAGTAGGGATACTTTTCGCATTTTATGCCACTCTTCTCGAAGATGGTCGGGTGGTTGCCCCACGTCGGATCACTGTAAAACAGTTTCTTGCAGCCCAGATTCGCGCTGATTAGAACGAACTCATTCATCTTCCCTACTTTTCTGACCACAAGTCAGATCGTGTATCGTTTGTAAGTGTTGTAGTTCTAGGGCCTGCGTGAGATACAGAGCAGAAATGGGTTTGTGACTTTAAGAAATGGCTTTGTGTGTGATGACAAAACCTTCCCTTAAATTTAGGAACTCTCCTAGGACACGCAGCGAACCCGTCCCAGACAAGCACTGCACTGACGCAATGCGTGCGTCCGCCTGTCCGAATATGAGCTTCTGACAGGCACTTTTGAGCGATGCCAGCCCGTCGACCGGTAGATACTCCTTATTGATCCCAGTCCGAGACTTAGAATCATCATGCGCTTGCGCTTCCACCTTTTACTTACTTATATCGGCAGCGCTGTAGACTATGGAGAACCAGATAAAAACTATGTATAAGGGAACTAACTTCTGCGTGAAAATGGAGCAAGCCCACCCCACCCAACAGATCATGTCCTTGCGCTCTGCTGCTCAAACAACTTGCTTCTTATAAAAAAGCTTCTTAACTGAGAGCTCTCGAAGCATGTCCTCTTCTGCACGCTTCACAACTGGCAAGATCCAAGGGTCGCCTTCTTCTGTGCGGTATGCACCGATCCCAAGGCCTACTTAGAACGGTAAATAAAAGCCCATCTAATTGCTTATGCTTATCTCGTCTAAGCGCCAATCATAGTAACCTCCACCAAGTCCGACCTTTTAGTTGCACTACAAGCTTCGATGCACGTCACATCTCAAAGCAAGTGGCACTGCCATCAAGTGATGTTAATCTAGACAGTTCTATTTGTAGAGGATATTCGCTAAACTATGTGTGTCACATGTACTAGTTTCATTTTCCGACGTACTATACGCTCGATATTTCTTGGATGAAGAACAAATCTAGAAGTCTTAGTTCACTTTTCGTGTGTCCGTGTCTCCCTTGAACATTGCTGCGGTGTTCAGGATGGGATCCGGTGGCGCCATCGCAACGTGGTCAAACAGGGACCCAGAGGACTTCGCAGCTGCCGACGAAGCGGCGCGCGCTTGCTGCAGCCAGAACTTCGCAGCGACATGTTCACCACCTCGCGCCACGCTCGACCCACATCGTGCACGACGCAGTGCCGAGCCGGCTAGACGCGAATGTTGCATTTTTGTATCTTGCTAACTTAGTACAGATACAGATGCGTATTGCGAATAATCCTACGATCTAGTCTACGATTCTGGTTATTTGTTAGTTTTTGCGAAGATACAAATCGTCTTCTTCAGCCTGATTTAGGGAATAGATTTTGGTGCACAACATCATTTCGAAAAGTCCAGTCCTATCACCGCTATGGCAGGCCCCCTTTCGGTAAGTACTTAAAAAGAACAAAAAGAAACACCACGGGCTAGATGAAAATAGCCACGACAATTGCCAATTTGGAACAATTTTTCAGGGGATGTTGGGAAGTCTAGGGTTTCAACCGATTCCTTGCCCATACTATAATCTGGTTACCTACGCCTTTCTCAGATTTGGTGACCTGCTTTTTGTCCGGCAGTTGACTCCACCCTGCCCACAGAATGCCGAATGAGTTGGCTTTAGGCCTTTCTTGCTTGTGTTCTTGCGGTTCATAGCTCCTCAACTGGTACTGGCAAGAGGCCAACCCCACTCAGCGACAATGTCGCTGTGCCATGCATGAATATGAACAAGAAGTTTCATTAGTATACCCTGCAAATAAGTTTGGCATCGACGACGGCAGTCGTAGTGTCTGCTACCTTATTTTTCTCCTGGTGTCAGTGAATGATTACTCAGCTTTCAAGACCCTCGCTTCTCAGTTCATCTTGCGCATTAATTTGTATCATTGCCATGCATTGCTGGGTTCGTTTCGAGGATACGAGAAAAGCAGAAACGAATTCACCAAGACTGAGGTACACATACAGAATGAAACTGTTACGATTTCTGTCTCAACGCTGGTTTGCAGCATGTCTGTGACAAGCACAGCTTTGTTCGGGCTCCGAAGAGTAGGGATTCTCGGAATCTTGGTTATGCTACGAATTTACTTCTATCCGTGTAAGTGGAATACGAATGTAGTACTACCGGACGGCTCGTTAGACGTCGATGGATGCGAAGATTAACGGTAGACTTTCACTATCCCAACCAATCTAGATTCCCATAAGATAATGCTATGCACTAATATTCAGATGGCAAAGATGCAAGCACCATGCCTACTAGGCAATACTGGACGAGGTATAAGGGTTCATGAAGATTTATGCTATGTACGTAGGTGACGGTCACTTCTCCTCGACTTGGAATTATGTTAGATGGATGGACTTAAAATTCAACGAGTTGGTTATGGTTCATCTGCGCTAAATTAACAGGAGGACGCTAGTTTAATTTCCCTAGGTAATTTACAAGGTTGGTCAGGAGCTGTCCCCTACGAGGATATGAAGGAAAGTGTAGTGGAGAAGCTAAATTGTGTGAGTGCGTGATAAAGATAAGCATTTAAACTCGGTGCTTCAAGATTCTGTACAAGTGGGGTAACTTTCATTTCGTTCGATGAGTTGGAGATAACGTCAGACCTGTGTGCTGTGTGTACGTGTCACCTAGCCACGTTGGATTTTTGCAATCACCTTATCGTTTCACCTGCGACGTCGTTTTATGCTTCTCTTTAGCACCCGTTTTTTGCGATTTTTTCTTCTGGCTAGTTGTAGTACTGTCAAGCTGCACCGAAGATATTGCTGGCTTTTGAAAGTCGCCTTGGATGGCGGATTGGGTCTTCTTGGCTGACTGGGTCTCCTTGCTTGGCTTACTCTCCTTGACATCGCCATCGTCTTCAGTGTCTCCTACGACCTCCCTTGCTGACTTCTTTTCGGCTGGTTTTTTTTCCTGCTCGTCCTTCGCGGGACGCATGCTATGCGGGAGCACCCAGTAGGGCGCGTACACCTTCCGGTTCGACCCGAGCAAGAGCACTTGCACCCACCCACGCGTCGGGTCAGAGAGCTGCTGGAGTTCCGCTCCTTTCTTGAAACTCACTTTCCCATCTTTGCTAGTGTAGTCGTGATAGGCGTTGAAAACGACCTGCGACAAGTTTTGGATAGTCAATCGAGGATGCTTTCATTTTGATTCCCGACGATGACAAAGGATGAGGGATATCTACATTTCTTGGCATCCAAAAAACCAGGACTCAACATCACGACAATGGAAGTAAGGAAAGTCGAAGTCTATCGTTGAAGAATCAATTTGCTTCTCTATAGCCGGTCTCACTGCAGTAGTGTCTGTATGACAAAATAACTGAGTACAGGTCCTTGACTTCGTCTTGGTTTCACCTCGACAGCATCGTCTGGCAGGCTTGCCTGCAAGACCCAATCCGCTTGCACCTCACCGCGCGTGACGTTTCGAACGAGGCACCAGCCCTCAATCGGGCCCTTGAGATACTCTACGAGGTCTCCATCGGCCATGACGCCTTGGTGATCAGCTGTCGCTCGATAAAATCCTCGTGACATCACCCAGGACGGAACCCAGTGAGCCTCGCCGCCTTGTTCACTTTCCACTAAAATCCAGCCCTTCTCGTTTCTATCCTTCAATATTCGTCCGATCGTGCCTGGCAATACCTGATGCATGGTGACAGAGAAGAAATCGATACAATCTGACGATTCGAATAGAATTCGAGCAGTGTCTATTTGTATTCCTCCACATTGATTCATAAGCAATGTATAGTGGCACAAGAAGTACCAGATCGACGTCAACGCAAAACAGAATATAGAACAATTTTTACCTTATCCTCAAAGCCGTGGACTACGGTGCGATAGTGCGTATCGAAGTTGTCCAGGTCATCCCCGATCATGGCTCGTATATCCGCTAAAGCCCCCTCTTCCTCCTCGTAACTCTCGTGCGCCAATGACAGCTGTGGAACGAATACGGATTGAGTCATGAATCGTGATACGTAGATCTAAAAAACATCCTCGTCGTGTGATGGCAAGTAGAACAATAGTCATTCATTATATCCATCATATACTTGAATTATCAGTACTGATGTACCAGAGGCACAGACTAAATTCATCATACTATGAATGGTCTTCACAACAACAGGGTTGTTCTCGCACTGTACAAGCACCGATGTAGCGACCCATTATGGACGCAAGATCCTGATCTTTATCTCTCTATATCTGGCCAAAAATAAGCATTTCTACTCTAGTCAAAGTAGGTACATTCACATTGTTTGGCGCAACTTGGTCCCCCGCACGCATCTTTTCTGCATCCGCAGCTGCCTGTTGACTCCTCCTCACGGTTTTTTGTGCTGTCTTCGCGTCTATGCTGTGTCCTGCGTTAAACGTTTCGTCCTCCGCGAGACAGACCTGAAAAACAATGAGACACAATGATTTCATGTCTTCACATGTAGGAAAAGAAGCTTACAAAAAGAAGTGCTCATGCTAAAGAACGCTTGGTGCGAAAAAGCACTTCAGCGACATCGTCGCCTAATTCATCTCTTTCTACATTTACGAGATGAATACAACAACTCTCTCCAGTGGAGCTCTTTCAAGTGAAGATCCATCGTATTCAAGTTACTTCAGCTTCTTTCCCTTCTTTTTGATTTTACCACCTGGTGGCCTCCTCATATTCCTAGTACAGAAATGAAAAATTGAATATGAGAAGTACTTTGGCTTGACGGACTGCCTCCGAGCCGGTGTCGGACGTGGTGTGTTCGAGTTCCCATTCCAGCTGGTGTGTGTAGTACTCTAGATCTTGGCAGAGAGATTTTCTCCCCATGAGAATGATGCCGATACTTTCCTCGGTTTGTTTTGTTGAAGTTCCAGCGGCCTCTGCTTCGGCTTTGCGTGACAGTGCAGATACGTAGTCGACTTTCATCGCGTGGTAGACACTTACCAGGTCGTAGACTTCGTTTATCAGGTCCTCTCCCGCGACCTCCTCGGTCTTGCTGTCTTTTTGCGGCTGCTCCGAGACATCCTGCGCCTCGCCGCCTCCAGCTTCGTAAGTATCGCGTGCCTCTACACCGAAGTCGTTGCCGTCCCCACCAGTGAAACCGCCATGCTGTCCCGCGTCCTCCCCGTTGTACCCATAATCACCGGCGTCGTCATGGTCATCGTGGTATCCATACTCGCCACTATCGACATACGCCGCATCCTGCGCTACATTGTTGTAGCTGCTTCGCACCGACGACCGCTGGGATGACCTAATGGCCGGCGCTGCTGCTGCTGCCGGAGGTTTACCTGGAGTCGAATCGTCAAGATAGACGACAGAAAACGTGTCTCACAACATCGATCTCGAAATGGAAGTGCACAAGATCAATCTCGAAATAGAAGAACGGTCGGTATTGTTTGCGGTCGACACAACCCAACTAAGGCTCCTTCTAGAAGGGTCGAGACCGAGAGCTTGACTGCCGACCAACAGACAATTCCTGATGTATCTCAGCACATTATCGTCCTTTATTTGTGTGGGTCAGCATCAGGGTAATAACATTGTCTGACGTTCTTAGAAAAATGAGAAATCATCGTGACAATCAACTTTTTACGCCTCAGCATAAACCAGTACCAGATCATGCATTGAAATCGATGTTGTAAATAAAGAGAATACTGAGTATTGCGGTCATCGCCTGGCCCACGCCCGCTGCTCCTTGACCGGTGTAGCGCACTGGCTTCCCCAGGTCTATCCTGAACGAGACGTAGTCCTTGCCAGCACTTATCTCATGCACAGAAGTGGACACCGATATCGGGCCTTGCGTTCCAAGCCACAGTGTGTCACCATTGACGGCCACTTGAATTGGCGGGCCACGCTTTGGGCCACAGCAGCCTCCCGCCTCCTCCTTTCGAAGCACAGCAGTAGACGATACTGCCATTTTTTCACTTGTACTTGTTATAGTGTGCTTATTATTAGGCACTTAATCTTTTACACTAAATGATTGTTGAAAATTAGGCGGTAATTTCCTTGGATATCATTCACATATGAAGGAAGGCTGTTTAGACAACTCGCTCCCGCGTACTTGTCATTTCAAAGCACGACGTCTTCAGTAGCCCGAGCCCTAGTGAAGGGCCTTCAAACCTACACCTATATCTACTTACACTTCTATATGACAAGTTGATTCCATTATCCCAGAAACAAACGACTCTTCACTAAAATGTGCATTATTCCCTGACACTGATGAAGTAAAAGTAGATATCGCATTTCATAATTGAGCCTAGGTGTGTGCTCGAGCATGCATAGAGACGCAAAGGCAATGACGGAAGCATTACGTATGGAGAAAAGAGAGGTATGCCTGTTGTGATAGAGATGGAGAGGCGAGATGAATAACGGACGGAACTAACAGGAGAGGATCGACAAGCACGCGCAGAGTCTCTCTGTAATCCTGCTTTTCTCAAAACAGACTGCTCGTCATGACTCGGATTCTTACCGATAGCTCCAAAGAAGTTGCCAACATTGAAAGCCCTCTCTCTCAAAACAGAATCAAAATGCGACACTTACTAGTGAACAGATTTGGGGCAAGAGACTCGCACTCGGTTATCATTTCAGATACGTCGATAGTGACAGAGAAGGTGATTTCTTCAAAACTTGAGACCTCTATAACTGCTTACAATATTCTTCTTCGACGAATGATAACGACCGATATTTTTCATGACTCTCTCTGACTTAGCGATGTCATCTACCACGTAGAACAACGCACTGGTGGTCCGTGGGAGCGACCGCGTATCATGATTACGAAGTGTAATAGTTTTTCCTGCATTCGTAGAGTCGCCCTAAATTCAGTTCTAAACGAATGTCTTTCCTGCGTGAGAGAGGCGTGAGGAACACGGCATTGTGCGCACAGGGCTGAGAGAAGGAGCATCCGATAGGCTCCAATTGTAGGTACAACAACTCGGCAATAAGACGATAAAATTGAATCCTATGAAGCAAATGCCTTGCTACCTGCTTCTTGATGCGTCCGCTCACACACGAGGCTACTCAAAAGGATTCGCGATGCGTCTGCTTACGCAATAGCTCGAGCAATAGCGTGGTTTTTTCCTGCACATTGCTCACGTCGTAGAGGTCGTCGCGGATTCGTTGCAAGGTGTCAGCGATGTTTACAGACTGCAACGCTGCAGCGTTCTCGACTACTTCGCTCACGACGAGGATAGGTATGAAGAAGGAACAAATAACGACATCATTGATTTTGAAAATCACGCCAAACAATGTAAATGTTAATGATACTGTAGTAACGGATTGATTCAACTTCAGGCTGAGTAGCACGGCTGTCCACCAACGATCAAATGTAAAAATGTACAAGGATTTAATTCAGGCCCCAGCTTAATTGGAAATAAACACGCCCAATAGCTCTGTATAGATAGGCAGTAAAAATTGCTGTCATAAAGAAGCAGAGGGCATTGTAGACGAAGTCGAGACACTGTCCAAGGTCCGCCGCGTCCTGCAACTCCTCAATCAACTTTAGGTAGCAGTGTTGCCCCACCCTGAATTTGGCATCGTTACTGTTCTGCGCACACATGCGCATCGCGTAGAGGACCTTTCCCTATCTTAGCGCTGTTTTGTACCCTGAAGGTACTAATCTTTGTAGTTGTTCAGTTCTGAGTGACATTGATATTCCTTGAAGGTGATTGTTCCCCGCAAAAAGAAAACCTTTCGACTCGAAGATCCAATTCACCTGCATAGCGGACGAGTACGCCACACCCCATCTAAAGAAACGCTTTGTGTTTTCGTAACTCTAGCGCACCTCGGGGTGGGCACTCGTCGAAAATGTACATGAGGCAGTCGAGCGTGAAATTATGTGGCGCTTGTGTCAAAATTTTGCGACTGTCCTCGTCATTCGAAAACTGCCCAATCACCGAGCACAACTGCAAGAGGATCTTGGCCTTGAACTGCAACGCAAAATGAAAACATCTCAGCAGCAGGAAAACTTCTGTTGAGGACCTTAATCCATTTTTTTGCAACTTTCACTGCGTTTTCGTGATTCATTCACAAAAATACTGCTGCCAGCTTTAGTGTGAGAAAAGTATGACGGAACACTCTTACTGAAGACACAACGATGAACAAAGAGAGGTTCTACCCTTTCTACAGTCGCAGAAACGATAAAATCCAGGATTTGTCATAAGCATGATAGCTGGACGAGAGAATATCGGCGACTGTTGGCAATACTCCGTAGTTGACGAAAATGCCTCTGTGGTGTGTGTGCTTCGACAGATTGACCAAGAGCATTAGCGTATACTGGACTAGGTCATCGTCGCGACTCCTCACCATCTCCATCATCATTGGCGCCACACCGCAGGCCATTAACAGCGTCTTCATCTCTTCACTGTCTGCGGACATCTGCGATTTAATGTCGAACAACATATAACTATAGTAGGTGGTACAGACAAGGAATCGAACTAGAAGCCGCTTGCTTTCCTTGTGGTCCTACATATGACAAAAATAACCTCTCGAAGCATCCCGAAAGGGCAGTTCAAATCGAACATCAAAGAATTTCATCTGATGTATCGGAGCGAAGCATATCATCCTACAATATTCGAGTTGTACGGTAAGTACCACAACGAGCGCCGTGCAAACACAGGTTTGCACGTAATAGCTCTTGCTTTTCTTCAAGACGTCAACCAAGGCCGGCGCCAATATCCCAGCTATTTCGGGAGCCGGTGGCGTGCCCACGATCTGCCTGCACAAAGATGCAGCCATGAAAGAAGCTCGAGCACGGCAAGAAAAAGTGGTGCATTTTTGTATAACCAGCATAGTCACGCCGTCACTTTCAAAGAAATCTTACCATTTCCAAAGATGCAACAGATGTAGAGTCTAACCTTTCAATCACTACACCGCGAAAAGAGGTTCTTTCAAGATGAAAGAGCATCTTCATGGCAAGACTAACATGCGGAATTTTCGAAGAGATCAAGTGTACCTATGCAGAGCAATCAAACCATACATTTCAGGGAGATCGAGACGCTGGGATTCGCCAAGAGGTTGCTGACACACTGTGCGTATTCTCGCTCCCTAGACCGCCCAAAAAGTTTCCGTATATAATCAGACTCTAGTAATATTTGCATCACGCGCTCGTTAAACTCCCATCCGTCCAACGTTTCTTGCAGCTGCGCAACTATACTCACATCGAAGTATCGCCGTCAAGAATGAAATGGAGCAGGGCGAGTGATAACATTTTCGACCCGGTCGTGAGATGAGCCGGCTGATAATCAAGAGACTGGATCTGTTAGTGTAAGTAATTAATGCTCCTCAACAAGAATAAATCAAGCATTGGCTCCGACCTTGTGCTGCACATTTACACGTAGATTCTTGCAAGCACCCATTCTGGGAGTATGATCTGCAGAAAAACTACAACATAAACCATATGACATATCCTTCGGGCGCAAATGCAGCAAGTAGTCTATGACGCGACCAAGCTTCTTCTGACTCTCTGCCGTCAAGCCAGCCTTTGCATCTATCAAGTCGTAGATGGTGAACTGCCGGCACAGCCCACCGTCGATGCAGTAAGAGAGATACCCAGCAACGCGCTTGTTCCACTTGTTGCGCTGCGTTCCACCTCAAAATTTAGCGCAACACTTTTTAAGTGTAGGGACCACGAGAGAAATTCCTCTCCTAAGTAAAGCGAGAAGCTGCACTAGATGCCTTTCTACGTACTTTGTTCCCAATGAATATGGGTCATACACATCTTCAAAAGATCATAACCGATGCTTCCTCGAGTCCCTCAGCGTTTTCGACCATTTCCTCCGCGATCAATAGCGGGTTTTCTCGCGTCCGTACGGTCTGCCAAGGGTCCTCGTTCTCTTTCTTGCCGAGAGCACACATTGAGTCACCCAACATCTCCTCAGCATTGGCCAACATGCCATCCTGCGAAAGCAGAACCAAAATGCTCTTCAGGAAGGATTTTCCAAAGGCGCGCGCTTTAGGCAGCAGCTGTTCTTAGAAGTGACATCTATTTTTGCCCAACAATATTAAGTAGTCGTCGTAGTTCGTTGTAAGTGTAGACTTTGTGCAGGTCCGACGAAAGCTACAACAAGCCTAGAGAGAAGAAGCACGAGAAAACAGAGCGAAAGGTAAACCACTTCCTTGCGCATTTAGGGTTTATGACTCATAATTGTAGTGGTTTTCTAGGAATCGGTAGCCGTCCTCGTCAAATCGCAAGGCGTCGAGCTTGCCCTGCACTATGTCTCGGTAAATAGGAAACTCGTCCGCTGCTGGAGCGAAGCTGTCTGCGATACTTAGATCATTCTAAAGTCCATCTAAAGAAGCATCGTTTTCGCCTTGGTGGGACCCACATTCGAATGAGTTCTCACTAGATCGGTCCAAGAAAATGGATGCCTCTGGGAATGCAGTTCTCCAAGCCTTAAGACTAACTGTCCCTCCTGTACTAGTTCGGCATCGCTTACCCACGTTTGCTTCATTTTGCTGTCCTGTGAAGCGTTGGTTGGTTATCGTCAAACCAGCATCACCCTGGTGTTCGTACAACTAACACTGCACGACTGCTAATTGTAGATATACATACATCATAGTTTTCGTTTTCCCAAGTCGATAAGTACTACTGGCACTTACGACAGAGTGCTTCCCCAAAATGGAAAGTCCGATGGTGTTGTAAAAAATTAAAGTACACCATTTTCTTTGTGCTTGGCAATCGCAACAGCTTCGTGATTCGTGCTCTTAAACATGATCACGATGTCCTGCACCGTACAACCAAGTGGAGGACAGTACATCCTGCGCAAAACGATAACGACCAGAATGTGCTTCTGCGTCTTGATCAGCATCTCCCATCCTGCATTGAAAAAAGGAGCAAAAAGGTCATCCAGATGACTACCGCAGCAGGGTTCCTCGTCGATTTCCGTCAAACTAAATCCAGACCTTTCATCTTGTACCTAGTATGTAAATACCATTACCAGTAAGCTATCTTTATACGCCAATATGACGCAAGGGAAAAATAGGTAGATGATACCAACCCACATGGCCACATCCTCTGCCAGATTCATCTTTTTCAGATAGCTGCGGTTGCGGAGGACGTAGTATTGATCGACCTCTTTTGTCAGCATTTGCTTGTATTCGAGCGCTACCCATCGGACGTGCTCGCGGCCGCGCGCGTTGAGCAGAGAGATGAGAACAGGATCGTGGACATGAATGATGATCTCGCAGCCCGGCCTCTCGGGGTCCGCGTAATGTCCGGTATCTGTGGTCGATAGCACGTGCGGTTGCTCAACGAAGCTCTCCCTCAAAAAGAACGAGTAACAAGCGTAGTCCTGCCGCCTAAAGCCGACAAATGGCATAACCTCGTGCTCAAGGACGCCGCCCTCATTAGTGGTGGTAAATGCGCCTAGCTACTTGTCCTCAAGAGCATACCTATTAGAAGGTCAAGATTCTGCTAGATTCCCATAACGAACTAGTTAGTGTCAGCCTTAACCTTTCCCCCCGCTTCGGCAGCCGAGAGAGCGGCTTCCCTCTTAGGAAATGTCGCCACGAGGCCGTAGCGCCACATGTAGTCCACCGTCCAGCAGCACTTCAAGTGCTGAACTAGAGTTACGCGGTTATTGGACAACACGCAGAATTAGAACAGTGGTTTTAAAACACACGATACACATTGAGTGGCTAAGTCCTTTCGACAGGGCTTTTTCTTTCCGCAATCGCAAACTAGTGCTGTGGAAGCAAAGGCCGCAACGAGAATAGATGATACGCTTACACAGGAACATAAAAGAGGTTGGGCGAAACCCACACGCTATCCTGTGCAGGCCGATTTCCGTTCAGAACCAAGAGAAGGTCGCTTTTGCTTAGCGTGTCTACCACCACCATGTCGAGGTACGCGTAGAATAGCTCTCCACCCTGAATGACTGCGGAAACGTCCCGCTTTACCAGAAAAAAGGCGTGCTTTCCAATACACAGGTACACGCGTCGACGCTTTCCACCAAATCGCAGCGTCACCATCTCGAAATATCGTAGCTCTTGCCCCGTCACCTGCGCGAGCGCAGAAAGCACAGCCACGTCCGTCGACATTTTCTTCCTTGTCTGAAGTTGCCATGGAGTGAGAACTATCTCAACAAGTACAAATCTTTTTTCAAATACCCAGAAGATCTTACAACATACAAACTCCCTCCAGCTGGGACTGCTTCCTCAATTCGGACGCTGGTTTTGTAGTCTAGGTGACTTAGACTTTTTTAGTTTTGCCTATGCAAGACTCAGAGTATGAGCATCACTCGGCCTTTTTCACCTCTCTTTGACAGCGCAAGATGGCGGCTTCTCAATGTCACGAAACAGGCCATTCGTGAAACATGAAAAGCTCTCCACCGAGGAGAATTGTCTCTGCGGGCCCCGTAAACCAACCTCCAGTGCTGGTTGGAGGATTTCATCGTGATTGCCAATCGTGACACGCCTCTATGCAATTGTCAAGCGTTTGACAGCAACATGCAAAATTACTAGGTATAATGCTGAAACTTAAATTTCTGCAGGATTCCCGCTTTTGTAATTAGCGGCTGCCCACAATAAAATCATGTTGGCACAGTCGTATGAGCATGGTTGCGCCAGTCTGTTAGAACGTTTCGTCATCCACAAAGTTCCCGAAACCCTTTGCACGCTCAATCGTTTTTCCTTCCTGGAGAATCGATTTGCTGCCTCGCATGGAGAGCAAAATCGGCTCGATCGTTGCTAGGTGGAGCACCAACAGCATGAACACAACGAGAATGAGAAAGTGGACACCAACATTGACAATATTGGTTCTGCGCTCCCGTTGGCGGTCAAGACTCGGAGGAAGCCGCGCAGCGATGTCTGCAATCGTGCCACTCATCGAGGACAACGCACCGCAGAAGGATCCGGCCATTTTGTATAACACGAAATTCGTCGCTAGTGCGGGGAAAAAAAGCACACAGGTGCGAATTAGGATGCAAAGAATACAAGCGATCAAATTGTTCACCGCGCGCCCACAAATCTCGCCTTCTTCGGCCGTTTTTGGAATCAGCATCATTCCAAGTCTTTGACACCTCGACCGCCCCGGTTCGCGAATGCGACTATCGACTCGGTCTCGAAGTTCAGAGGCATCACATATGCCAAACCCCCGACTTTCAACATCCCCGCCCCCACACAATGAGGGGTCCTCTTCGGTGATAAAGCAATTTCCACTACCAGCAGAGATATCTGTATTCACCCTGCTCATCTGCCGACTCAGCCCAAAGCGCCGAAAGATCTCTACGATCAGAGTTCCCACGCATGCGCCGACTGCACTGAGGAAACACCCAAAAAAAAGCCCGCTAACCGCACCCGCTGGCCACTGCAAGTCACCTCGAGCGAGATCAAAGAGCACTCCTCGGCCCAAATCGCCGCGCGCCCAACGATACAGGATGATAACCAACGTGGCAGTCACTGTCATGAATCATACACAAAGCCACTACTTTTTCTCAAAGATAGTGGGAAAAGAAACTGGAATGCAGAATGCGATATCTCGAGATAACAATGGTGGCGGACACCGGTCATCTAGTTTTTTCAGGATGATGTAGAAGCAAGAGACGCAACAAGATCAGCAACGAATACATACGTACTCATCAAAGTTGGGAACGAATGCCACATCACTGGAATTACAGCCGCATTGTTGATCAATATCATCAGTCTTAGATTACGATCTACGAAGGCACGGAAACAGAAATCTGTTTGAAAAAGCACTTCTTCAGAAGTACGTATTCCGTGACAGGCGAGTTGCGGAAAAGCGGGTGGCAAAGCGGCGTGAAACCGGCTCCCCGTGCGAAAAGCGACACAGCCGGTGAAAATCCCAGAACAGCAGTACGCCAGTCCGAGGAAAATGGAGTACGCCTTTTTGAAATTTTCATCACGATCCCGCACCTGCAAAATCAAGTCTTTCGCGGTGTCACCAATGTCGGGAAAGCTCGTGATAACCGAAAGGAAACCAGCGGAAAACCCTGGATCGAGCTGCGCGTGCCTATGCGCAGCCAGGCCTTCGAGGAGGCAGCCACCGGTATTCAAGCTCCAGGAAACGAGAGCTAAAAACAAGAGAAGGTGCGCGTTTCTTTCCTGTGTTGCATCTTCTTCTATACTAGAGCTCGGGGTGGCGCTTTTTCTACCACTTGAAGGAATGTGATGGGTAAAAATGAGTGCAGCAGCAGCCGGTAAGACCACCGAAAGAAAGCACTCGCCAGCGGCGGCATAGAGTGCGATCGAAAAGTGCTCGGACCTCTTCCTGGTCCAAAAGGCCGTAAACTGTTGATTGAATTCCCTCCTTTGGGGAAGAACGGCTGTTGTCCCAGCGACATTTTTTTCTTCAAATGGAGATTCTAAGAAGTCTAACACGGCTTTATATTCAAACAATGGCCATAATGGCTTTCTGGCGGAGGCAGACCTCACCTCTATAGAGGAGTAACTCTCAAAGTCAACGCTCTCGTTCCCAGGGTGGTGAATACCTTCTGCACCTAACTCAGCTCCTCTCCGTGATAGTACACCCATGACCTGGAAAAAATCTTACAAATAATCAGCATATGCAATAGCAATGCTAAGGTCGGCTCTATTATGTCTACAACGTGATAGCGTTGGCAACTAAGCGCTTTTTGGTAGACGATGCAGACGATGGTCTTCACGATCCTAAATGCAGATACACCTGAGAATAAGGTAGATGTTTTGCCAAGCAATTAAGACTCTCACAAGCTTTTAGTGTCCACAAGCAAAACTAAAAATTGAACCGTCATAGAAAACCCAGCAGTTCCTGTGTCGTTTACATCCTCGGTTACAGTAATACACGCAAGCAACCGGTGCGCAGCTAGCAAAGTATTCGCTGGGCGGTGGCAGAAGCCTCCTTTTCTTTAGCGGACACTGCCTCTTTGACGCAGCTAAAGTAGCTAACACAGAGACCCAATAGGAATGAATCGGACAGGTTCACCGGAGTGAGAAATAGAGGAGTCTGATCTTCATCTGCGTGTTCACTCATTCTGCAGCTGCTACTAGGTAGTCTTTGTCTCTACTTGATATCTTTCTCTCCGATTGGCTGATGTTCATTTGCTGAGTCAAGCGTATAGTTTTTGTGTTGTTCTTTCCGTGTATAAGGTGTGTGACGTTCTTCTCTTCAGTATCCTATCTATTTTCGTTGCCGCGTTGAAATCAGTGAGGGCTGCGAAGTTCAAGACTCTATCAATTCGCCATGCTCGGCAAATTTTTCGCGTCCTAAACAAGGGCCAACTTAGTGCTTGACTTTTCATCGTGAAAGATAAATAGGAATGAGTGGCGTCCATTAATATTTGCATTTGCACTTCTCAAGTAGATACGGCAACAAACATCATAGTGACATATTCATACATAAACCAAAACTGGACGCATGCTGCACGTTGTTCTCCATCTTCTTTTATCCTGTCAATTGGGAACTCCCAATGCGGACACCATGCACGAAAGTCCCACACAAGCGGTCGGCGCGCCGGCGCCTCCTTTGGATGACTGCAGAGTTTCCTCAGAGGTGAGTGGCGACCCCGACACTGCACCGGTTGCACGCTCTTGGCCGCTGCCGGTGAGCCCCAGACCTAGTGCTTCATTATCGACTGTAGGAGCCACTGCCGACGGCGCTCTCGCAGGCTCGCTTGTCTGCGGAGCCGAAGCTGCAATATGAGCTTCGTCGCTGCCTGCGATAGTTCCTTGTCTAGATAGAAGATTCTGGCCACTCGCAGGAGGAAGCTCTGGGCGCGCACTATTCGCTGCGCCATCGCTGTTGCCCTTCAACTCTGTACTCTCAGGTGCTGCACCTGGCATTACAGAACTCGGCTGACTCGTATGATCGCCGGAGGCCAGAGGCGTCGCAGCGTCGTGTTGGTCACTCATGTTGCCATCGTTCGTCCTCCCCGAGGATGTTGGTGGCACTTCTGCGGAATTTCCACCGTCTGAGCTTTCGGACCCATTGCCAGAGGGACGACTGTCTACCTCATTGTGAAGGCTCACTTCGAGGCCTAGGCTTTGTCGATCCCCCATCTTACCCAAGCCTGCCTCCTCCACTTGAGGCGCAGGACCCACTGAGTCGTGATTTGGGTGTTGCACCGATCGCGCCGGATGTTGCACGTCAGGAACAGCATTGGGACCCACTTTGTCTTCAACCTCTTGCGATGGGGCAGCGGTGTGGCGAGCTGGTGGAGGCGTCGAGTGAAAAAATACAACGATGCATAGTACGTCAAAGAAAGTAAGTCCACAGCAATAATAAATCTTTCACGTAGATTTCTCGACTCAAGGACTTACTCAGTGCCGCGATTACGATGAAGACAATAAAAGTGAACACTGTAGATACTATGAGCATGAATACTTGCAGTCATTATGAATCAACAGGGTTTCATGGATCACAAGTCGTCAATTCTAGGCAATTATCTAACTCTGCGAATTCGATCAGCTATCATTGCTTGCTACCGTGGGCCCCATCCACATCAGCGAGCTCCTGGCAACTTTTTTGAAGCTTCCGGAAGCTAACGTTCTCACATAGCGGCTTCTTTTCTGCAATGCGTCCTTCTGATTCTGCGCTTCTGCCTTGTTGCGCACAAGCCGCAAGATGTGCAGCAAGTCATCATTCCGCGGACGAAAATGCGCAGCACGCTCGCAAGCCACAGTCGCCAGTGCCCGACGTTGAAGAGGGAGCCAAAACCGTGGCCCAGTTCCACGAATTTCTTGGTTTTTAGCACGTTCACGCGGTCTACGAAAGCCGCTGAGAGGATCTCAGTAGGCCACTTCTGGGCTGAGCAGCTCTGTGCAATCTCTGGGAGCAGAAGCGTCATTCCTTCGGTGATCCCGAAGCCACCGCACAAAGCTAGGAGAAACCCCAAATGCTTGAAGAGCATTTGCACAAAGCGAAGCCGACCTGCATCCTTCGCTTGGCTGTCGTAGGCTGCGCTGACTTGTGCACTAGCGCTGTTGCCCGCAGGAACCGAAGAAGAAATCGCACTTGCCGCAAGAGGGTATCCTGAAGTGGATATCGTACGAAATCAAATAGGCGAGTATGACACGACACATGTTAACAGGTATCGTGTAAGAAAGATCTCAGCTCATTCTTCGGAACCACCAGATCATGTTCCTTGACGAAAGAATATAGACGGAAAGACGCAGTAGAAAAGCACACGCAAAATCAAAATCTGGGCGTAGACCACTGCGCATTAATTATACCCGCCAAGCGTCTGTCGTGCGGACTCCTGTTGCCGAGAAGCTGGTAAACAGTTGTAATCAGGCTGGCCCAAAGTGAGTCGCTCTGCAAGCCGTCCAATGACCGAGGCCGTGCGCTTGAAGGCGGAAGGGAATCATCTAGCGCGCATTCATGTCCGTGACAGATTGATTCGACCATCATCCTTATTCTACTTCGGCATTGCCCGCGTCAGCTTTTTCTTTCCGGGCTTGTCTTTTCTTCTTGCTCCCTAGATTCTTTCGACCCCACTCGCGGAACCGTTTATGATCCTCGATCGGAATTTCATCCCTGTCGCGCAATTCCTTGTAGAGCCCTAGCAGCTGCTTTTTGGTATTTTCGCGCTTCTTTTTGTCTGTATTGTCATCTTCCAAAATATCTAACCGCTCAGAAACTTTCTGTAGACGTTTCGCGAACGCGGCTCGCTTTTGCACTGTGCTCATATCGCTCTCTCGCCAGATCATGCCCACGCGGGTCATCCGATCCCATTCCGCGGATCGGTTTTTTATCACTGACTCGTCCCTACGCTGCACTACCACCCAGTGGCCAAGGTTTGCCAGCCATTCCTTGCCATCGCACTCGGCGGCACCGTCTTCACCCCATTCCTTCTTCGGCTGGCGGCCCCTGTACTCCTCATCACGAACCGCAAAACGATGATGGGGATTTGCTTCAAGTAGGGCCATCATTTCTATCCAAGACCTTCGTGATGTTAAACCTTTTGCCCCCGCCGGAGGACGAGAAAGTCGCTTATTAATTTCGTCTCGGAAGCCAGGCACTTTCTGCAGCAGAGCTGCCCGGCATTCGGGGTCGAGCTTCTCATAGATTTCGAACTGCTGTCGCTTCCAGAGCCGTAGTTCTGCCTCACGCTCTTCGCCAAAGTTGCACTCAATAGTGTCCGGCGCCAGCAGTTTCGCGCTGCTACTGCTGCAACCAATGCCACTACCCTGCTCGCGGGGCTGCAACTGCGAGGCCTCGTCAATACAGTCATCAAAATAGAGAAACTTGACACTCAGGGAACAACGCACCGGAGACGTTTCGTCCTGCTTGAAAAATGGGCAACACATCGCTCCCGCGAAGATGTCGAGAAAAATGTCGCTGACGTTCCGAAATCGAAGGCGTCTTCTGGATGCGCTTTGCTGCTGGCCCTCTACGCTTCCAGAGGTGCCCGCACTAGATGGGCCACTTTGGGATCTAGAGCGTGTCCGCTTCGTCGCGAACTGGAAAAACCGCGCCACGAGCTCCGCTGATGGCTCCCGCTTCTCCAGTCCACATCTCGCCAAATATATGAAAGCGGCAACAGATGCAATTTTAATCAAGTTACGCGATCGAGCTACAAACCTCCAATCCAGAGCGTGATGAGAAATTTCCGAAGCTGATCTTTCCAGGTACAATTACATATACAACGCCCAACCTACCCTCGCGCCCAACCATGGACGTTGCCACTCAACATAGACATACTCTCCCCTTTTTTTAACAGAAGTGAAACCGCGCCCCAGCCGGCGTTTCGTCACCTCGTCGCAAATGAAGACACAAGCTGACCAGCCAAGATAGGTAACTACAATGAGATACGCGCCCACTTCTTTCTCCACCTGCATTAGTTAACACCTAAACTATCACCGTAAAATATTGAAGGAGCACCATGGTAAGGGCCTGCGCAGGATAAGAGCCCATGCGCTCACGCAAGGCCAGGTCCATTTTCTCGTGCCTGTTCATCTCGCGCCCGCCTCCTCCACCAATGCCTACCGTGCCCGCAGACTTTTCACCACGGTCACCACTAACGGCCGGAACGGTAAAGGGGAGAAGAATTTTTGGCCGCGGCGTCCTCTTGAATGTGTCGGGACGGTCTCGGTCCTCATTTCTTGCGATTCGCAGATATTTTTGCATTTGGGCTCTAACACTTTCACCAGAGGCTAGGTCCAAGAGAAAATTAGCCCGGAAAAAGTCAATGCCCTCCTCGCCGACCTTGCACAGGACAAAAATCTTGATACTCCCCTCGGGCAAGTCTCTCCAGTTTTTCTCCTTTCCATTGAAATCCTCGACGAGCTTCGAAAAGTTGGAGGTTTGGCCGGTTACTGGCATGATGTCAAACATTCCCTCTGCGAAACTCTCTCTCAGTCGATGGCTTGGAAATTCACTTTCTAGAATTTTCTGAAATGTTTTATACCACGACTCCTTCTGCCCTTCATAGGCTTCCACGGTTCGGCCGCTGGTACCCGGGGCGGATGCGCTGTTGGGGTTGTTGTTCACCGCGGGGGCCGCACCGCTATAAGAGGGCGGAATACTCGCGGACGGCGCCGCCTGGTCATCTTTGCCGGTGGCACGTGCGTGCGCATCTGAGTCAGAAGTATTACGCTTGTCTTGAGTAAAGGCTTGCGGAACATAGAGGATGCCTCGCACGAAATGATACCAATTTCGGCCACTAGTTGCATGCAAGATTCCACGGCTCATGTGCTCGAAAACATCCACCAGGAGACTGGGACCCCCTCCAGAATCGCCAGACGGTGACGACGAGTCTTGTGCTGGTAAATCGTCTTCAGAGGAAGAAGCACGGCTATCCTTCTCACTTCGCGACAAGTCGTCCTCTGTTACTCCATCAGGTAGCTCAAATTGATCGGATATGGCAGGAGCTTCCAACAGAAGAAAATCCACTGGGCGGCACATTCCTGTAGAGACACCTTTGTCATATTGCCACCGGTAGACCTCTTCTAGCTCGGTGGACATGTCGTAGTGCCCGGTTGCTATTGGCGTACCCGTAAATACTTGCAGCTTCTGTGTCAGCCCAACGGCCGCAGAAGAACGGCCACGGCCTCCATGCTGGTGCGGCTGCTTCTCGCCAAACACTTTGGCAGACTTCATCACTTTGCTGAGCAGGTCTGCTGTCATATGGTGGCCCTCATCGAGTTGCAGCAACCTGACGGGCAGGCTATGCTCCACGAGGTGCTGATACAGATTGGGAAGACTTTGGTGCGTTGTGAGAACCAAAAGCGGCGAACTGTTCGCGTGCGAGGACTTCGGTATCTTCCGCGAGCTACAGGCACCTGCGCCGCGCTTTTCGTTGAGATGAATTGTTGCCAAAAACTGCCCGAGAATCCAATCCATAAGCTCACAGGGCTTAGTGGAGAAGCGGAACCGGCTGCGCTGTGGTATCCGTGTCTCATCCCTGGCTTCAGTAGGAGTTGTAAGACCAGCGGCAAGAGAGTCGCCCCCGTCTGCCGGCTGTAGTTGCATTCCGTCTCCGTCTGATTTAGCGCCAAGCTGAGGATGGCTGTGAACCACACCACCAGCGCCCCACTCTGTATTCTTTTTCTCTAGCTCCTTTTCGAACTTGCTCCCTCGCTCGCTGCAAAATCCAAAAACCTCGACTCTTGACATGAGGCGAGCATACTCATCGCCGTGCTTGTCCGCATGGATAACATAGCTCATCAACAATTGTGACACGAGGCCGAGGTCCGCGGTGGCGAGAATGCAGAGACCGCGCGGCGAGCTAAGCATCATGGCGAATTCCAATAGTTAGACCTTCAATTGATTAGCTCATCTCCAGTAGTGCGCATCTCCCGAATGAAGATAGACGATGGAAGATGCGCGGCGTGTCCAAATATAGAGAACAGCGCCGCGCCTCGTCCTCAGGCCGCCGCCACTGTATCACACCCGCTAGAAAGAGCAAGATGAACTATAAAAATAGTCATAAAGTAGAGTTTTGCCAGCCGCGGGGCACATGTGAAAGAGTTGCTTTCGACTTGCGCCCTTCCGCATGCCAGCATCGGCAGCTTCTAACTGGTGAGCCCGCAAGCGTGGCGCCAGCAGCGCCCTCGTGCTCTTGTTCCAGGTGTTAGAGTCGCCAGCAAATAGCCCTTCCTCGTCTTCGCTTGTTCCATCGATATCGTCGAGGTGGTCCTTTGGTGTTGGCTGTTGTACTACTTTTACTGCAAGTTCGATTGTACCACTAGAAGAGGGAGCCCTACTAAAAGCTACACTACCCGACGCTGAGCTGCCACAAGAAGCGAGATGCTCCATTTTTTCAGATGAAGATGCTGCCGAAGAGGACGGCTCCGCGGCTTTATTTGTCCAGAATGCTGGCTGGTCTAGGAGCGGCTCGAACTTGTCTCGGTAGGCCTTGCACTCACCTAGAAGCTGCTTCTCGCCATCCTCGCCATTTTTGACATTGTTGGTGTATTCTAAACGCTCGACCCCATCGAGGGTCGCCTTTATGCGTTCCACACCTTCTCGGAATATCCTTTTTGCCTCGGTCTTCATTTTTTCCCTCGCTATAAGATCGCCCGGCAAGGGAAGGTACTCCAGATGCTGGGCGGGCCGAGGAAAAGACTGAAAGAGCTTCTGCAGCAAAAAACTTTCCGCGACGAAGGCAAAAAACTCATTCTCCAAGAGATGCTTATCCGCGAACTGGACACCACTGCAGCCAGCTTCCTTACAGTATGCAGACCGGCGCGAATAAACTGGAACAGCGGGCCCACAGAATTAGACCTTTAACTAGATAACTCATCTGCGAAGTGCATCCTTCCGATTCCGATACTCGGAAAGAGCTATAACTAAAAGTAGACGTGAAGACGAAGAGGGAGGCTAACTACAAGATGAGTCAATTATAATCCAAGGCATAACAGACGGAGCACGTTGGATGCTCGAGGTGGCGGGACATCCCAATTTTGACGCAATGCTTTTCGAAGAGAACGCAATCTCGCCCACACTTCAGTCTTTGACACAAGTTGTGAGGCAAGTCGTCCAGAAGGTACACATGTGCCGGGTGGCTAGGGCGGATGGTCTGGGGAAAAAAGCGCCCGAGTTCCTGCCAGACTCGTTCTACGGCTGCATTGTGGTCGACGGAAGACAGCCGCTGATGGACTGAAAAACGTGAACCGCCGTCAATTATGAAAAAGAAAAATGATGCGTTTGAGCTGAAAAACCTAAAGAACCGCCATCAAATATGAAAAAGAAAAGCTAGCATGTGCTTAGCCTGCCCTTCAAGAACGAACTGAGCTACTCATACCATATTTGATGATCGTAATCACCTCAGAAAGCCTCGCAGCAATACCCACCTTTCTTGAATCCATAAATAAAACATACTAGCGGCATAATAGCTTCCTCATCATGTAAGGCCCCACCCACTAATAAGTAACTTATTCGTTTCAGTTGCACCGTAACAAGCCTGAGAAGCTTTGCGGTAAGTTCGAGAAGCTTGAGGTGGTCTCCATCATCGACCGCCTTCTTTGCGGTGGCGTCGTCAATAGCGGCCAGTCGGTATTTCTCCCTCGTCGAATCCATCGCGGGCTCTTGCCAACGGAGTCGCTTGTCGAGTTTCTGCTCCTCCGTCAGCTTTGCTTGCCCTCCTTTCTCTCCCGCTTTGCGAAACGCCTCCATGCGCTGTGGATCGCTTCTGTGGCTAGCCGATATTTTTTCGGGATCGACACGACCTTTCGCACCTCCTCGAGCACCATCAGCGGCAGCCTTCTCCAACTTTTCGCGGGATGATTGCCACAGCGAAGACTTTTGCCTCTTGCATTTACTATCTTCTCCGTCCTCCTGCTGTGGCCGAGGCGGTGCTATTTTCCCCATTCCGCCAGAATTCAGCGCGTTGCTTCTACAAGAAGAAGAAGATGAAGAAGAAGACGATCCACCTCCTCCCAACATTCCAGAAATACTTCTCATATTTTTGCTGTTTGTAACCTCCAACAAGACCAAAAAATCCAGATGTCAATATTGTTCTATAATTGCACGACGACTACTTGCTGCACCTAAGACTAATACTATCATTTCAATTTTCATTCACATTCCGTTTTCGTCTTTCTCAAGATCTGCTGTTGTGTACCATGAAAAAAAACCTTCCGGTTGCTCGTCCACCTAAAACATCGAGATGCGAGCATCATCAACACCGTTATCATCATACCCTTTCAAGTGCAACAACATGCTCGGCAGATCAAGGGTGAGGAACCTCCACCAACATCAAAAAGATACACCCACAACGGAAGAAAAAGAAAGCTCAAACAAACTACTCAAAATGAAAATGAATTATATCCAGGACGAACAAGAACTTAGTCAGTAAATATAATCTTGAGAATCTACACCAAAACACTAACACACTTTCTCGGCTCCTTCGCGCCACATCCGCCTCCCGATATCTCTCACCGACATCGTTCATCGAATCCACGAGGACCCATACCGACTTCTAGTTTTTCGCTGTGGTGAGTCCTTGCAGTATCGAATTACATGCCAAAACAGAAAGTTTGCCTCTTTTGCAAGATTTTGGCGTTTCAGAAAAAATCAACGCTGGGCCCTTTTAGAGAACCTGGCTCCTGTGTGTTCTTCAGCAGATTCGTGTGCACACGCAGCCTGTGCGTAGCGAGCAAAGCATATGGATTTGGTGAGTGGTGGCAGAAGCCTCGTTTTCTTTCAGGACAACTGCCACTTTGATGCGGCTAAAAAACAGTAAACATAGACAAACCGGAAAGGTCCAGGTGGAGCGAGAAAAGGAATGTTGCAGGGTCGTCAAGCGTCCACAGTGTTAATATGATTTTTTTCGCACTAGCAAGTCAGCCTAGATATCTCACAAACAGCACGCGGCTGTGCGCGAGCCTTCTATTTCTTATCGTACGCATCTGTATCACGTGATTCATGGTTACAAGCGCCTCACGATGGGGGTGCAAACTCTGAAGGAGCGACCTCCCCCGCTGCGAGACGCTGGAAAACAGCTGACAGCGGGGCTCGTACAAGGCGCTCATCACAAATAATCATTTGCGCAAGCTCCGGCATTAAGTTCCGCACTACAGTTAACGGGAAAGAGACGTGATTCAGACGTCGCAGAATGTGTGCAAGATGTGCCACCGCCATATCCCTTCCCCCGCCCACGCCGTCCGCGCTGGTGTCGTCAGGCCGTCGCTCGAGCCCCTGAAGTAGGCGCTGGATCTGCTGTTTGAAAATGGCACGACACTGCGTTACCAGCGAAGCGTCAATGACGACAGTTTTGCTGCGCGCACTGCGGAAGGCCCCTTGAAATCCGAGATCAGGCGCTTTCTTTGACGCTGGACGAGCGTAGAACGTGTCGTCACGGTTTCTCGCCCAGCACTCCATGCAGGTGCGCAACTGATAACCCACATACAAATCTGCCTCACCCCCTTGTTCCTCCGCTGAGCTTTCGCCTGCTGTTGCGAGCGAAGTGGAAGGAGATTCTCCACTTGCGGCTGCTAGATCCAACAAGACGTTTGTGGCAGCCTTCGCCGGCGACTCGTCGTAGTTCGTCCTTCCGTAGTTCTCACACTGATCGTCGAAGAAGGCCAGAAGCTTCTGCAGCAGCGGGCTCGGCGTACCGGCGCCCCCACTCCGGTCTCGCTCGAGTTCCACGAGAAAACCAAAGACGCCATAGCCTATGAGGCAAATTTTTGCGGTGTCCAGAAGCGGCGTCGTGGTGAAGTTGATGCTTACTAGGAATTTGATCACCCCATCCCAGAACTCGTCCTGTACCATAGCCATAAGGCCGCGATCTTCAGCCTCGACATTTCTCGACCTCTTTCGGGAACACTTCGAGGCGGCTGCAGCAACAACATGAAGTGCGTCCTCAACCATGTAGAAGCCTGCTTCAATGGCGGGCTTCCACAGTCCCACATCGAACCGCTCTGCCTCGTAATGAAAGGCGATGTCCTCCTTCTCGGATCTCCCTTCTTGCATGTAATTCCCTCGTTGAAATCCGAACCCGAGAATCGGTTTTAGCACTTCTAGCAGAACAAAGGGCAATAGCTGGTTCAGCGCATCACTAAGCAGTGCCGATGAGCCCTCCACGCTACCTTTATCGCCTTCACGACCGCCACCTGCTGCTCTCGTACTTGCATCTCCAGGAGCGGCACAATCATTTTTTAAGTCGTGTTTCATTCTCGCCGTTCTTATGTTCTCGCTCAAACTAGGTGCTGAAGAGTCCGGGGAAGGGGGTTCGTACTCTTGGAGTCCCCGAAGCAGCGTCTGGCGAACCGATCCCACCAACATGAAGAGCACCCGCACTGCCAATACAGGCTTGTGCGAATCTGCAAAAAGGATACTGCCTGCAAGAAAGCTCTTGCAAAAGAGTTTGACGAAACTTGTCGAGAATCGACTCGAGGAACCGCGCAAAACCGTGTTTTCGAGGATTCCAAAAATCCCACTTAGAGGATGTGGCAGCGGCCGCTTATGCGCATACACTGCGAAGTTGCGCGCGTGCTGCTGGTGGCCCGTGCCAGGAGGGAGCGTCCACTCGAGAATCGGTACAAAAGGCGGCTTCGTTTGCAAGCTTTTTCTCCGCGCACTGGTAGAAGATATCCTAGATGGGGAAGCCGTTTTCTGTGCAGCAACACTGCTCGCGACACGAGCACCGCTCTCCGCGCTAGATCCGCGACTGGCTCGAACTTGCGCCATCGATCCAGAGGACTGCTCCTTTTGCTCAACACGACTGGCCGGGGTGAAGAGCGCGCGCGCCTCGTCTTCGCGTTCCACAATACACTGGCTGTCGCAGTTGTTCTGCCGTTCCTTGTAGAGGTTCAGGCTGCCTCGAATGCTCGGCTGCCACAACCACGTCACCTCGCCACCAAACAACTCCTCGATTTCCTGCGGAGAAGGGGGCATACAGCGCAACTCGGCCTTGTCGCGCACTTCGGGAGTGCGACGCAGGAGCGACTGGGAGATCGGATACCACGGTGTCGCGCTTCCCACATACAAGCTGGGCACGCTGCTCATGGCCACGCACACCGTCCACGCGATCTGGTAACATGTGAGCAGACTCTCCTCTGCACTTGCACTGCGGTCAGGGAGAGCAGACGAGAGAGCATCACAAGACTGAGAAGCACTATTTGATGTGAATGATGTATCCTTCTCGATATTCAACAGTGGAAGCACTATTTGCAAGCACGCCATCGTGCCATCCGCCAAAGCCTCAGGCAACACCGGTTGAGTCAGAAAGGCCTTGCCGAGGCGCCACAGTAGTCCCCAACCAGCCGACCACAGCGTCTGCCCATTACTATCAAGCCTGCAGTCCGCCTCGAACGTCTCGGTGTCGCTGCTCGACAGATGCGCTTCTGGAAGCGCCATGAGTTCCCCAAGGTTGCGAAGACAGCTGTTAGCTGTTTTTGCGTGCGCCTGAATGCGATCGTCGTCCTCCTCATTGCCAAGAAAGTAGCCGTCGCTTTCCTTCTCCTGCGTGATGTCAAATCCGCCTCCGCCCCAGGGTGGCTTGATGCACAGCCAAATGAGTCCCACGAATTGTAAACTCAGCCCGACCCAGTGCCGCACCTCCTCCGGATCGCGCTTCTTACCACCCTCCGCCGAATTACTGGTACAACTGCTCGGGAGAAAATTTACGAGCACTTTCCGCATGCTCACCATCGCTAATGCAACAGTTTCGCCCCATTGCTTGCGCTTTGTGTTTGCCGAGTGGTGCGTCACGGCGGGTCCACTCACTCGCATATCGGAGTCGCAGTCGAGATAGATATCGCACAGCCGCTGGCACGTGCCGAACATGACGTCCAGCAGTCGACGCAGAATACGCGGCTTATATGGAATCTTGACAGCTGTCACTTTTCCCCCCGTCAATGTAGCTCCGTCTATTCCTCCTCCTGAAGACGAGGAGTTGCTCCGCGTTAGCGACCGCCGCTCCTTCGGCGCCGCTGCTGAATGGTCGTCTTTTGATGGCGCAGTGTCCGAGGACGCTTCCACAACGTGCTGTTCTTTGTGAGTTGCAACACTGTTCACGCTGGACGACAAGTCTCCAGCAGAGACGTCATCTCCTGAGGCCGTCGCACTAGAATTCGCGCAGAGCGCGCCCGCAAGCGATTTCAAGGCGCAATCGCGCACTTCCTGACGCGGATCCAGACATGAGATCTGCAATTGCCTAAAGAGTTGCAACCAAACCCAGTCCTCTCCGGCCTCGTCGCCTTCCGCGTTCAAGTCTACACAGTCCTCACCCGGACTCCGCGCCTCGGGATCCTCTTTTCCGCGCGCCTGTGCAAGAATGTCCACGAATTCCCACAAATACTTGATGGCTGTGAAAGACACGTTCACTGAGAGATGAACGCAGCGCGCGAAGGCCCCCACCGTCTGGATCAAAACGAGGATCCTAGTTTTCGATGCCGCAAACAGTTTCTCCCGAAAATCTTGCAAAATCAGCTCCATAACGCGAAAGAGCGTCGCAAATGTCGGGTCGTCCTTGATTGCCGCCGCTGAACTCTCGGCCCCGTCCAAGCTCTCGCTAGCTCTCCGACTGTTCGGTGCTGCCCCTTGTGCTACTCCTGCGGCGTCAGCGCTCGAGTTCGCCGTTTTTGCACCAGCCGCTCCGCCACTGTTGTAGAAATACTCCCCTACGTCAGTGCCATTGCCGTTCAGAAATTGGGAAAAGGAAGACATGGTAAAGCATTTGAGGCCGCGCAACTCCATCTCCAGCTTAGTTGCCGAACCTAAAAATTCGATGACCTGACTCCACGCTGGCATACTAAGATCCTCTCCTGCAGATTGTAGTACCGTTTCCAGAGCTTCACACACATACTGCCGGATTTCGCGGTCTGGCGACCGCAGAAGTGACCTTAGTGGCCTGAGCCAATCAGAGTTCCGGAAGGCGGCTTTGTCTGGATCCTCATATTGCACTGCGCCTTTCGCCGCATCTGCCTTGCCAGTAGCCACAGAAGTGACTGTCGGCAACTTAGATAGGAAAAATCCGCTGTAAGACACTGTGAATTTCGTCCAATTCCCTATCATCAAAATTATAACGAAGCAAGGCTAAATAAGCAAATGTAGTATTATTTCGCTGTAAACGCGGTCTTGACAAATGAAAAGACCACGCAACCGCAGTGAGAACAAATGAGAGGTCTTTGGACCTATGCCATAAAGTTTGAGCCGGTGAGGTACTTTTGGTCCAAGTCGACTGGTAAGGTGTTCTCGTAATACGAGACCAGATCGGAAGTGCTCCTCGCCGCAGACTCCTTACCCTTAGCAAGTGCCGCGGCAATGATCAAGGCGAGGTAGTGAATTATTTGCTTTTGCAAGGACTTATCGTTCTGAATGATGTGGATGTAGTCAAAAAACTTTTTGATCATCACATCCATCAGCAGCGGCGATGTATTCGGGTTTCCGGCTCCGCCCATGCCAGTGGTTCCGGTATTCGCTGTGTGCGCGCTGCTAGAAGATGCAGCAGCTTTTCCGGTCGGAGACTGTCCTCCAACTGCGCCCCCGTGCAGCCTCGACCCTTGGTCCGCTGCGGCGCTAGGGTCCACTCGTAACTTGTGAATCCGGTGCACGTTGACGCCAATTAGTGTGCTCAATTGTGACAGAAGTAATTGGAAGACCTCTTCTTGAATTTTACGCGATGTTCGTGCGCCGCCGCCGCCATCACCGGCTAAAGACGTCGCTCCGTGCTGATCCAGCTCCGACACCACATGCAAGATGTGCTCCAACAAGGCGAGAACTAGGAGACCCAGGTTGCGTTCGGACAGTCGTACGGAGACCTCGTTGAAAAGCGCGTGTATGCCCTGGAGGAGGTCGCTCCGGTGTTGTCGTATATCCTGCAAAAACACTGTCCGCTGTTGTTGGTCCGCCTCGGTGAGGCGATAATCGGCGAGAAAGTCCGTTCTCGCCACGGGCTCGATAACACCGCTTCCTCGGTCCGGTGGCGCCACGGGGGATACTGGCAGGGCGAGTCCACCAGCGACGCCCGCCGCAGCAGCAGCGCGCACCGCACAACAGCGACGGTAGAGGCCCGTGTCCTGACATGCCGCCACTAGCTGCACGAAAATGCGCAGCACGCTCGCAAGCCACAGTCGCCAGTGTCCGACATTGAAGAGGGAGCCAAAACCGTGGCTCAGTTCCACGAATTTCTTGGTTTTTAGCACGTTCACGCGGTCTACGAAAGCTACTGAGACGATCTCAGCAGGCCACTCTTGGGCCATGCAGCTCTGCGCAATCTCTTGGAGCAAGAGCGTCATTCCTTCGGTGATCCCGAAGCTACCGCACAAAGCTAGAAGAAACTCCAAATGCTTGAAAAGCATTTGCACAAAGCGAAGCCGATCTGCATCCTCCGCTTGGCTGTCGTAAGCTGCGCTGACTTGTGTACTAGCGCTGCTGCCCGAAGAAACCGAAGATGGAATCGCACTAGCCGCATGGAGATATCCTGGAGTATATGCCAGACAAAATCAAAGCAATAAACGAGTAAGACACGACATATTTATGTTAACAGATATCGGGTAAGTAGGATCTCAGATCATTCTTCGGAACCACCACACCGCAATGTGTTATCTTTAATGACGCAAATCGATCTGACTTTGCTGAATATATATAGTGACTCACAATCCTAACGAGCAGCTCTCTGAAGAATATAATAGGAAGGACACAGTAGAAAAGCACAACAAAAATAAGATAAAATGTAGTTGTAGACCACTGCACATTAATCATACCGGCCAAACGTCTGTCGTAGGTGCTCCTGTTGCCGAGAAGCTGGTTAAGAGTCGTAATCAAGCTGGCCCAGAGTGAGTCGCTCTGCAAACCGTCCCGAATGCGCAGCTGCAAGTCATTAAGACCGTGCGTTTGAAGGCGGAAGGGAATCATCTTGCGTGCGTTGATGTCCATGACAGATTCGACCATCGTCTGGTACAGAGTCGCAATCATAGCAAAAAGGATCTCAGTTGCCAGTGTTTTCGGCACCGTGCACTCCGGTTCCTCCGTAAGATCAGTTGTTCGAGCAAGGAAAGCCACACTGGTTAGTGGCTGCGATCCCGGTTGCCCGCTTCCCGAGTGGAGCGCCGTCCCGGACACGGCTGAATTTTGACGCTCAAGCGCCAACACGTGTCCTTCTTCTCGCGCGAGAAACGCCCGCTGCCGCTCCGCAAGTACCTGGAAAAATGGATCGGGCTTCCGCACCGAAGAGCTGCTGTAGTACGACAGGCGATGCACAGCTAGAAGAGCTCGCGCGTCACGAAATATGTGTAGCAGGAGGTCTAGATAAACACATTGTTCCCAGCGCGACGCCGCTACCTCCTCACTGAATGCGACGTCGAGCGCGAATGACAGAATATGGCTGATCTCCTCTTCACAAGCTGCTAGGGGCTCCGTCGACGATTCTTCCAGTGGTAGGTTCAATTTGCTTGCGTCCGTTCCCAAGGACTTATCATTGATACCCGTCTTAGTCGCCTGTTGGTCAACGTCATCACCCTTCACCCTGCTACAACTTTTGCCGCCGTTCAGTGCAGCTCCTGCTTGCTCCCGCGCTGCGCTTCCACGGCGCGTTGGACCCACGAGTGGCGGGACCCCGAAGTGCTGCGCAATCAGCTGAACCACACTACAGCAGCGAGCGACTGTAGAAAAATTTCCAAGGCGGCGTGATGCGCGAGACCTCCGCGGCACCGGCACAGCGGACAGGAGTGCGGCTGGAGGGTACTCGAAACTCCCACCAGATGGCTGCCTGTCAAACGAGCCAGAGCGATCGTGACTTGGATCACCAGCCTGCTGTTGTTCCCCAGAGGACTTGCGTCCGCGTCCTGCTGTCGGAGTGGAGGCTTGTGATACACTAGGAGTGCTCGGCACTTTGTCCACAGCTGAGCTCAAGAGAAAAAGGTTCTTCAACAGGGCTGGACACACAAAGTTTTTCACAAGATAACACAGATCCTCATTTTGCAGAAAAAGCTGTGGATTGCTTTTCAACGTCGTGTGCAGCAATTCAAAGCAGAGCAACCGGGGCCATCGGACATCGCACAGCCAAAAACCCGCGCGCGTCGGATACACTGTCGCCTCCAAAGCTGATGTCTTCATCTTGCTTTGACTCCCAGTGCCAGATTGAAAGAAGCCCTTAGTGGCGTCGGCGGAGGAGCCACTGCCCATCATGAAGGATAGCGCTGAGGACATCTTGCTCGACTTCACTAGTGCGCTGGACACCGTGGAAGATCCAGACGCGGCGCTGCCTCCGCGTCCCGAGTCGACTCCGCTTGCTGACGACATCATCGACGACGGCCCTTGCGAGGTGGTAGATGCAGTAGAGGATCCGTCGTGGTCAGTCGTCGACACACTCGCAAGCGCTTCTGCTTCGTCACAATCAACCATCACGCAGAGGTCTTGCACAAACATGTAGAGCACGCGAATCTTTGCGAGCGACGTGCGGGGTTGCCGCGGCTTCGAATCGCGAAAACGCTGTCGCCCCAGTAGAATCCCACAATCCATGTCGGCAAGCCACGCGTTCCCACTCGCGTAACTCGCCTCCCCGACGCCATCCACGAGTTGCTCGCTCAGCTGCAGCAGACTTCCCCTTGCGACGCTCTGCACCACAGGAGATGGCACTTGGAGCAGCACAGAGTACACCTGATGTGGATCTGCACGGGCAATACTCCAGAGCAGTCAACGCGATGATCTGTACAAGTACTGGAAGTAGAAGTATTTCTAAACATCTCTCACCGGTTGGTGATCAATGCACTGCGTTTGTTTCGTAAGCTCAGCAATAAAAAGAAAAACATCGTCCTTCTTAATGAAATAGAATTTATCTTACGAGATCAGTTTTTTAACAGTCTAGAAAAAAGCTTACACTGCTCGACGTCTTCTACAAGAATCAAATACAGCAACATCCATTACAGAATTGAACTACCTGCAAAACAAGCTCGACCACAATTTCGGACAGGCAAGACTTGAGGCCTGCGATCCGTTGTACGGTCTGAAGTATTTGCGTTGCCAACTCTGAGGGATCCCGCTGAACCTGTTCTCGCAGAAGGTTGAGTAAGACTACAAGTTCTGACTCCCGCAGGAGCTCTGCCTCGACTAAACGCCTCGCAATCTTCAGGCAGAGTGAGACAGCTCCAGCTTGCCGGCTTTGCTGTGATCCGCCATCACAGCAGAGCACCAGACACCGCATCACATCCGCCATATCCAACGCTTGTTGTTCCTTCTCCCTAGCCTGTAACTGCTCCAAAATTTGCTGCACCGTCTGTTTTGGTCCCTGGCTCTTCCATCCGCCGCTGCATTCAGCAAGCAGCGCCTGGAAGTCCCGCTCCAACTCAATCGACCAAGCTTGCTGCATCTTCACGAATGAAGACTAGTAGAATGGAACTCTGGCTGAAAAGAAGCGTCCGCGGGAAAGATGCCACTAGTTCGCAGTGCCTCCCGACGAAAGATGAAGGATTCGGCGATGAGCAACAACCACCGTCGGATTCAAGCGATCGCGTCCGCCCCAGACGGTCTATTACGTCACCACCACAATGAAAGGAGAAAGGGCCCTTCTCCGGGCCCCGTTTGCATAGCGTTCCCGCATCTCTTCGATCATCATCGGTTCATCAGGCACGAGGAGGCGAGGATATTTCTACGTACCCTCCATCAACCAGATGCCCCCTCAAACAGATGCCACCCTCAAATCACGTCGAAGCAAACTAGCACTTGAAACTCGCTGATCGCCTAGTTCGAGATTTTGAGGACCGCGGGCTGCCAAAGCGGCTCGCGAAAATCGGTTACCAGACGACATGCCGTTTCATGAAATCGGAAGGTCATGTTCAAGACAATACCCGGACCCTCATCCTTAACAAGGTTGTTGTAAGGCATTTTTTGTCATGTTGAGGCTCAAGCGTGTCATGACACAAACTAGAACTCAATTACTGATAATAGGCCACGTCATGCCTTAGAGAGACGGGCGCCTCGCGTCCCTGCTGAACGCCACGAACTCAGTTATAGCTTTCGTTTCAGGATTTGTATCTCCACACGATCAATATGTCACACATGTTCAAATCTAAAGATGCCAAAGAGCGCAGCTTCGTTACATTCACAGACGAAATCAACTACGATCAAGGTTTTGAATGGCGTCGTCACTTTATCTCTTCGTCCTAAGTGCACAGCCCGAGATGACTGAAATATTATTCATGAGACTCGCGGCGTACTTATTAATAATGTGGTGACGCTACGACCATAATTCGGCATAGTTGCACAGCGATATGAGAGGCTAGCGCACATATCTGACGGCCACCGAGGTTGCTGGGAACTAGTCCTGCGTGAACACGACCGCACCAGCCAAAATCTTGCACAGCCATCCGGCGAAGGCTTGTGCAGTGCATCAAAATCCATTATTCTGTCGGCATGAATTGATATAAGGTTCTCAAAATCAAGACACAAAAGATAAAGAATCAAACTTCTTATTCATAACATTTCCATCTCTTTGCTTCAGCAGAGTCTCTTTGTGACGGTATAAATGCGTGTTCGCCGCGCAGCCCGACTGCTGCTGCAAATTAATCTACTGAGAGGAAATCGATTTGCAGATTAATCTCAAATCTTTCAAAACCCAACTCGAAAAAAAGTCAACCTAGTAGAAACCACGCAGGTCGTGGAGACGCGTCACCGCAACCAAAAAAAGCTCGAACGTCCAATATTCATTTTCCTAGAATTCTTGTAGACTAAATAAACGCAAGCTAAAATCACAATGCAATCCTTTGGACAAGACAAGATAATATCAATGCGAAGGTGAAGACCTGTGAAAAAAATAAGGCTCCGGTGAGTACAAAAGTTAAGCAAGTCTTTTCCAGACAGATTATAGATTTACTGAGTTACCTATCTACTCGAATAGAACTATCTTCAGTTTGAGCAAAGAAACTGTGCATTTTTTTCCGATAAAAAGATTCGAATGAGAGATCCTAATTCCGTCTATCTTTCTTCACATGCTGATATCTATCATCCATTGCCGCTTCTTCCAGCCAATCTACAACTGTCTATGTGTAACTTCAATCTATTTGTCAGTAGAAATCCAATATCTTGTGTTGATTCGTACATTCATGTAGTCGGTGTCGTACATTATTATATCGATCATCTGCATCAAGAAGACTAAACCAACCACCTCAAACAAGAGGGAAAAACGAGTTTCCGTTTGATAATTCTGGTCCAATGTACTAATTGATGTTCATGTTGTTGATTATGTTAGAGGTTCAAGTTGTAGCTCTGGGGAGGTACTCGCTTACGCTTAACACTGGCAAGCGCATGTTCCACGCATACGTCGCGCTGGGCAGCAGAGACAGGTGAAAACGCTCCGGGGGTATAATGCGCCGTAGGTATCTAACCCAAAATATCTATGCGCGAAAAGTACAGTCAAATCGTTAGTGTTCGTGGTAATTGTACTTGTCTTGCTAGATGAAGAGGAACAACGTAGTTGGTCCCTTCAGTCACCGCCGGCAGCTCGAACTACCACACCCTGGTCCGTGACTTCTAGTAGCCCTGTCCTCGCGCCGCCGTCTGTCGCGGTGACGCCAGCCGAGTCGCTCTCCTTAACGAGTCGGATTTCACGTAGTCCAATCTTCTTCGTAAGACGCAACTGCGTATGCGTCCGCGCTGCCAGGGCTTCGCCGCCGAGCGCTACAGCATCTTCTGCACCAACGCCCGCGCTTGCTTTGCTGAAGTCAGTGCGCACACCGTTCGAAATCAGAACCGTGAGGTCGAGACTGTCCGCCAAGTCCTGCAGTTCTTTCGTCGCTCGATCCACAAGCTGACTACGACCGTCTTCACGCCGCAGCGTCTCCACGAAGTTCTCCACCATTACGAGTCGCGCCGCATTTTTTCCGGTCGTAGTGCTGCCCGGTGTAGTTTTGGAAGTGTTGGCGAACTTCGTTCGACCTGCGTCGGCACGCACAGCTCCGATAGCGCGCAACAGGTCCGCACCATTGTGCACCCGCTGATAGCGTACGAAATTTAAACCGCCTTGTTGCTGTTGTTGTACTAGGGAGAAAGCAGCTGAAGCAGGAACGGGACCCGCGTTACCCTGCGACCCGACTGTTGCTTCGAGACGCCGCAAAAGTTGACCGGCAGTTGCGCCGTCCAAGACGTAACAAGGACGCTGTCGTTGAGCCTCTGCCGCTGCGATCGCTGCAAGAAAGGCCGTCTTGCCGCTTCCGGCCTCGCCAAATACCTCCACAAGCTGGCCGGCGGAAAAGCCGCCCTGCAGCAATTCCTCGTCTAAATGAGCGGATAGCCCCGTGCGCCATTTGTCAGAAGGTGGCATCGCAGCCAGCGACACGAAGCCCGCGGGTGGCTGCGGAACTGCCGCCAAGGAATTACTTGAGGTCGAGCACAGCTGGTGTCCTTTATCGCCACTCTTCATCGAAGATGATGTGGACACCATGACTGCGTCGTCATTTGCTTCCAACAGTATGCTCTCCATAGGCGATAGTGCAGCAGGGCGCTGCAGCTCGCCTGAGGAATTCATCAGCCCGTCTTCATCTGTTGCCGCCTGCAAACTCCGATTCGGGACAGCAATCGCCTTGAAAGCTAGCGTTGGCTGGTGGCCAGAAGCGGTGCGGAACTGGGGAGAGAAAACGGGCGCTTCCTTGTTTCGTTTTGTGGGTGGGCTAGGGAACCCGCCAGACGCCACAGAACGTTTAGCTGTAGCACTTCCAGGAACTTCGACAAGAGAATTCATCCGAGATGAACCTGCACATGAGGGTTGTCTAGGATTACCAGACGGCTACATAAAAAGTAAACTTCAGAAGAAGTGCCCTTTCAATAAGTCCTCGTTCTCAACGAATGGAAAACCGGCCAAGATCACGCAAAATAATGTCGTTTTTGTTTGTGATTCGAAAAAGGCCTCTAGATCCATCACAGAGGGAGATAAAAAGCGATGTAGTACCCTCACCATCCATGTTCTGAGGAAAAGAACTGTCCGCTGTAGTCAAACGCGGCTCCTCGAGGGCGAGGCAGCTAATATCAGGCATCGAAGCACAACTCGCAAACATGGATCGCTGATGGTCCTCATCGATAAAATCGAGACTCGTCGGAGTAATGCTTCTCCGTAACAAAACCGTCGCTTGCTGAAATAAGGTAGAAAATCGGAAGGATTGCTCTCGGGCCAATGACACAGACAGGATACATGAGATCACTGTTGATCTTTTTCTTCTCGAAAATTTGATATTTCAAAATCACATAATGATTAAATCGCTGAGGAACACTCTCACATAGTGACATTACATTACATGGAGGTTGTGGAGTTATCAAAACTAGTTCTATTTCGAGCACAAAAAAATATCTTGGTCTACTTTTGACAACAACGACAACACATAACATCAAACTGTGGAAGTATAGTGCGATGTACCTCTTTTGTGAGTCCGTTGGCAAAGAGCTGCTCCCGTTCCGCCGATCCGGTTGAGAAGGGCGCTTGGACACTGGACGGCGGAGCCGCTGTGGAGAGTACATCTGAAGTAAATTTCGTACTTCGCGGCGGCGAACCCGCGGATCCGCAATCGCCATGAGATGCCGCGACAGCTTCAACATTTTCAGGGACCACTTCTAAAAGTGGATCCTTCGCAGCTCCTACTGGATGCGGATCTGTTGTCGTTGCGGCATCATCACCGGAAGCTGCCACATTTGATGCCTCCTCCAACGGTGACAGTTTTTCGTTCAATACCTCCTCGTCTGTAAGCACTACCTCTTCGTCAACCACCTCCATCGTTGTGTAATTTTTATGCAGGTTATCTAATACCGTCTGCGCAGGCGACGCATTGGCATTTTCACCGAAGGTTTGCATGCGCTCGATGATGTCGTTCAGCTGTCGCAGTGCCGTTTCGTCCATTTCCCGTTCTTGACCGAGCTCTATTTAGACTTCAAGACTTTCCATTTCTTTGCTAGAGTCATCCTCCAGTCAGTCTTCTGCTTTAACACTTACGTGAGAAAGCCAAAATCCTACTCTCAGATTTTCTCATGAAAGCTTCCTTGAGAATAAAATGTTTCTTCGTTGAAATTGCGCTTCTATCGAACGAAGCCTTAATCTTTGAGCCCGGATATCACCACCGCATCGTCCAGTTGGTCAGGTATAGTGCCATGGCCTGCAGTGAAGGCAACGAGCGCACGCTTCACACACTCGACATAGGAAGGCACGAGACCCGGTTCGACGCCGTGCGCTCCCTCGCTCAGCAGGCAGGTGCGACGGGGAGGCAACACCCCGGCCCCACCGCCGCCTGCCGACATGCAATCGTCAGCATCCATCTTATTGTCGTTATCGCTTTTAGGAACAAATAACAATCAAAATGCGATTTCTTCACGGCGATTTTTTCTTGTTATTGTACTAGAGATTTCCGAGAACTAAACTTTTTTCCAACTGATGTGTGTAATACAGAACATTCCTATCTACAATCACATGGACATCAGAATCCTGTATATCAATGTTTTGTGCTATAGTGAAGCAACATTTTTGGGCACGTTTTCTCGTTGCTTTGTTCGCGAAGCGTAACAAACAGTACATAGGGCACTGCCTATGTATTCTGCACGCCTCTGCCAACAGCTCGTACATCATGTCGCCGCAAAGTAGATGCGAACAGTTGAAGAAGTTTTACTATGAGTTATCAAGCTCTGCAGGTTGGCGACCATCAATCTACAAAATTCAGTGTGAGCGAGTCCACGCTACTATGCATGTGATAGGTTATTTCTGTCGCCTCACATCTCGCATTGCGTCTTTCCATAGCCAATCAAGAGAATGCACGCAGAGCACAGAGGTGCTCTGAGTAGTACATTGACGACAACAACTTTTGCTGAATAGACGTACCAGATACTGAACAAAATTAAGTAGAAACTTGAGAATGGTTATAACAGGAACAGTAACAGATGATGATGTCGTAGAAAACTGGGAGGTGAAAACAAGCTGCAGCCACTTCTTTTAGCGAAGTTCACATATACTGTAGCACATAATATGGGAATAACTTACGGGAACGGGAGTACTTCCTGATGGAAGAAAGAGGTAAGGGAAAAAGCACGAATAAAAGTGACAGATGCCGAGGATTGCGTCCCGTTGAAAATTACTCGTACACCCTTGCTACTTCTTGCCTTTCTTCCCCTTCTTTCCTTTTCGCGCTGCCTTTCGTTCTTCGTATTCGACCATCAGATCTTCGAGTAGGTCTTCGAGGTCCTTGGTTTCTTTTTGTGACTGTATGTTCCACTTAACGAGGCGTTCCCTAAGTCTCGCAAGTCTTCGTTCCTGCACGGCTTCCATCTCCAGTCGCATTGCCTCCACCTGCAGTGTGGTGCAGATTACGAGGAAAAAAACGGTTACAAAGTAGAATTCATCGACGTTGGAAATGAAATGACGTACATGTACCGCCCCTGTACTTGAAATAATTGTAGTTGGAGAAAATAAATTCCCGCGTCGTTCAACATCAACACCGGCACGATATCCCCAGTCAAGAAAAGGAATACTATGAATATGTGTTGGTGAGTACCTGCATCATGAATTGTCTTGATTGATATTCTTCGGCGTACATCTGAAATTTCTCACGCCGTTCTTGCCGTCGCAACTGACTTGCCAAGTCTCTATTCTTGGACATCTTCACCTCGATAGCAGCTTGGACTGTGCTTGGAATATCGTTGTACGACAATTCCAGCTGCGTCAGCACTTTGTTCTTGTCGAGAGCATCATCTGCAGTTCAGGTTGTGACTTGTTCTACATGCAGCATACTCCATGGAGGACGGGTGATGTTGACGCTATTGTATTCTTTTTTTGAAATGGTGAGACACCTGGTAGCATCTTCAAAGATAGACTAGGAGTTACCACGGGATTTACATGCTACTCTGAAATTTGTTGATGGATCTCTCTTCTGAAATCCGAATCAGGTGTAGTATGTACGAAACGCCTCTCCTGCGCTACCCCCAAGGTTATTTTTGCCTAATGCCAAAATTTGCAAGTCCTGGTTCTTTTTCAGTGATTGCGCTAGCGCTACGATACCGCTCTCATCGTCTCCACCCATACTGTTGGCCTCTAGATTCAGACACCTTCAATAATGGGACAATCTCACGATGACTAGATCCAGTGGAACCCTAGCTAGAAAAAGAAGAAAACCAATCAAGTACTTATCTAGTTTAGATTTCTTGTGCAACTGAATTGTTATTTGGAATCATTGTAAGTATCGTCAAAGATGGTGTCACGATTGCTTCCAACATTTGTTTCATCAAAAGAGTGACGCACTAGCAGATCAACTGTTCTTGAATCAAGAGTTTTGTTAGTACTTTATCGTCTCGTTGACTTTCAATGCCTCGGCGAAAGCGTGGGCTGCCTTTGGTCCGAGCATGTTACCTTCGAGGTCCATCTTTGTTAGTGCCTTATTCTTTGCCAGCATCTTCCCGATCGTGACGCCGTCTTTGGTGAGATGGAGAAGTGGAGAATAAAAGTGATGAATGTTTCTACACCATTCACAACTTGAGTCCTCTACCACGGTGGAGACAAATGAAAAATGATTTTTGTTCCACGGGATTTTGCCACAGACTATTGACCTGTTTCGCAAAACGTCCTGTGCGTTGCTTAAAGAAGGCAGCACCGATTCTTTTGCTCCTTAATCATGAGTCTCCTTTGTCTTCATGAAAATCTCAAGTACCTTCATCGTTGAGACCTTTCCGGGACAGGTCTATAGTTTCACAGGAAAGATTGTCCTCCATCGCCTGCGCTAAAAGCCTCAATCTCACACTTCCCAGCTCGATACCTGGTGCACTTAAGTGATGTTGCTGATTACTTGTTAGACAGACGAAAGACTTAATCGAGACTCGCGTTGACTTGTATTACTCTCCTCGTTTTTCTTCTTTTTCTATTATAGCATCTCCTCTACCACTACTCCCTTCTCCATCTCCTCGTACCAGAACGAGATCTTATCAACGAAGGCTTCTCCTTCGTATTTCTAGTGCCAACATGGTTTTCACATCTTCTATCTGTGTTAGTCTACAGAATTGGCGTACCTGCCACGCTGACATTCGGAACGCTGGTATTGCCAATCAAGTGACCCATCAATTGATCCAGCCCGCCTTCCATCTTAGCCCGCTGCTCCTCTTCCTCTCTCCGTCTCCTCTCCTCCTCTTTTCGCCGCCTCTCTTGCTCTGCTTTCAATTTCTTTGCCTCTTGCTCCTGATATATGTGAAGCAGAACAAAGTTGGAATTCCATTCTAAATTACAACAAAGCAGAGGTCTCTCGACTTAACATCATGTCGTGAGTCTCTAGTAAAAATAGACTCACCTTTATTCGCTTCTGCGCTTCTTCCTGCTCCTTGCGCTTCCTCTCATCCTCGACCTCCTGACGCTTTCTTCGGACCAACGCGATTTTCTGCCGCTTGAGATCGGCCGTGCGCTCCGTGTTTGGCAGCGCATTCGTCGCAGGCTTGAAAGAAAGATCTGTCGTGTTGAAAATTTTCGGAATCAAAGAAAGTAGAGGAAGCTTGGAAACGCAAGACCTAGCAGACACAGCTCTCTTGAAAGTCATGATCTACAAATGACATTGCTGCATTTGATGTTTCCTCCAGACAATACTAAAATCTGATTTAAGTAATTTGATTACTTCCTCTTGTCTCGTTTTCTTCTCCATATTGCATCAATTGGTCCTCCGTCATCGCAGCGATGAGCGCTTGCGTCTCCCGCTCGATCTGCGCTTGCGTCGCCATCTTCGCGTGCTTTTGATGGTCTACTGTACTCAAAGATCAGTAAATTGTACTAGGCTCTGGCTTCTAGAAGATGTAGTTCTTGAATGCCTGGTTGATTCGTTCGAACTCTCTCCGAATCCCGATCCAAGTCAGTGTACGACAGCTCTGCTCCTTCTTCGGCGCTCTAGCACTCGATTTGTCTGCTGCTTGGTCGAAATGCGATCCAATGTGAAGAGCCCTCCACGTCTGTCTAGGCTACTTTTTCAGCCTGGTTGCCGATATTCTGTTGTGCGTCGTCTACAGTTCTGGACCAAAATCTATATCGTGTGCCGCGTATCGTCCCTCACAATACGTCGAACTTCTAGGTAGTGGGTAGTATCAATAGGAGGTGGATCGAATACTGATGTAGCAAGGTTGACTGCCAGAGCTTCTGGGCCGCGATGCTCAAACGAACGCCAAATAAAGCGAACCCACTAAACAAATCGTCTCATTTCGTGACGATTACGCGCTTTTGCAAACAGAATCGTGGGGTATTGCGTCCACGGCTACTGAGGATCGCACACTCGCTCGGACGCGCCGCGACGTCGGCCAACACCTCTAGGGCGCCACCCTGCCATACTGGTGGCGTCCCGTCTCAATGAAGAAAAAAGTACATATTATAAGTACCACTGAACCAAACCAAATCACAAAATCTTCTTGGTGAACACTTGCTTGGTACAAAACGAAAGTTGAAAATCCATCATCTCAAAGTGCTACACAAAGTCACCACGGATGATTTTCCGCTGGTGCTCGCGAAGGCACGTTTTGTTTGCAATTTCTTGTGTGTCCACAATACTGTGCCACTTTTCATGCTCTCAGGACGCTGATTCACCTCTACTTTGCGATTTCACTTTTCTAGCGTTTCCACTTTTCAGGTCAATTTTGAGCAGGCACGAAGGAAAGCAGGCACTTTCTTCTCTACCTTCTTAGTGTAAGGCACTGCAGAGGAACCGACATCCTGTATATACATATCTCGTCCATCTTCACTTTATGCTCGACCCGGACACCATGATAAGGGTATAATCGGCGCCATCACTGTATGACAGTCCGGAAGTACTAGCAGGTAAGGGAAAGAGGTTGATAAAGGGTGGGTTTGCAGAGAAAGATGTCGTATGCGTCGCAAACTAAATACGAGTTCAGGCAGAAGTAAGTGAGTCTTTTTTTGGGTTGCAGAACAAATTGCTGAAGTGGAAGTATTGCACGTCCTAGTAGTGCGCATGTATAACTGTATTCTCAATGACGGGATGAGTATTGTTGTGTCAGAGGACCATGTCAATTAAGATTCGGCGACGTGCCGCCGAGAACTCCGCATCCGTGCATCCCCGCATCCGAATACAGCACACTGTACCCCGCGAATCCACGACAAGAAAAAACATCCTAAGAACGAAGAAGCATCGTACAGCAACGAAGGAGCATCGCTCGTACAGTAGATCCGCAGACTTTGGACGAAGAAGAAGCTCACTTGCAGCAGGCCGTAGTTCCGGAGCTTACCGAAGCAAAGCCCCTGAAACCGGAACAAAATCGTAATAGATGATACACTCGCCTCCCGTCACGCCGCATTCCTCCAAGCTCGCATCCGCAGAAACGATTTCTGAGGATTGGAATTGGAAATAAATCCGTTCGTACACTAAAAACTACGCAAATTTCTCTACCTCATATACAACGAACCATGATCATGACATTGACGGAGATAGAAAAATATTGGCTCGATAGGAAGAATACAACGAACTACTTCTGGGTAAGTACAAAAAAAAGAAAGATGCGTTTGAACCGAGGAAGACCAAATAGTATAGATACCTTCTGGATGAAACCGGTTCACGCAAATTGAGAGTTTGTCGATGGAACCACCGTGCCGATGTACTATGAGGTCTTCTATGTATGATATTTTAGTACTCGGTTTCACCTTTATTGTGAACTCAAGTAGCGTGCATACTGGGGCAGCCTGTAGAGTTAGTAGGGTCCATGAGGGCGTCTCTTTATCTTTACCAAGCACAAAGGGGCTAGTCGATAGAGATATCGAGGTAGCATAAAATGTTGATCTAAAACAACTTTAATCGAATGTTCATATCGCCGTATGCATTGAAACTAGTACTACAAACAATAGCACCAGTTTTATTGTCGCTTGGATTTCGCGATTGTCTATTCGCGATGGTGTGATTACTGGGTGGTCGTACTTGGCGGCCTCCTCGACCTTTTCCTTTGCCTTCTTCGATTTCTTTCCCATTTTCTCAGCGTAGTATCGATAGTCGGTGTACTCTTCTAATGATCCCAGTGGAGAAGTGCTCGGTGCGCGCGTGGCCTCTCCTCAACTACGCGCTGGTCGGATAGACATGACACAAAAAAAGTAGTCCCTGTGAAATGATACTGGGCCGGGCAACATCGTAGTGCCTCCACGACCCGTCTTTTCGACTGCTAATAGGGTTTTCAATTACATTCATGAATCCATCGTTCTCTGTACTAGAAACGGTCTTTCATTTGGTCTTTAACGAAATAATCAATTTTTTAAGCTCGAGCTCCGTTACACAATCATGAATCAGAAGTGAGGCGAACTATTCTTTGATTCGCATGTATTTCAATTTTTCAATTTCAAAGTCTTCGGCCAAAGGGCCAGCGCGGGAAAGAGGGGGGAAGAGTGGAGGAGCGACGCATCTTTGGCTCACAAAAGAATAATCATTCGCAAACCACACTATATGACTTTTCAATAAGTATCTATTTTCCTCTTTCATTCTCATTTCAGAAAGCAAGTTGTAACCGATGGATTGCATCACATTGAATATCCGATGTTCGCGAAAAATCGATCCACCAGGGACTGCTCATATTAAGACACCCAGTACTATCACCGATGTCGATGCGAGCGCAGTGGAAAAACGCGGGTCTACAACAAGCTGTAGGCGAGGGTTACTGGCTACCGTGTAGTTATATATTGTATCATATTCATTTTTCTTTTCAGCAACTTTCCCAATCAAGAGATGCCAGTTTTACTCTACAAGAATTTTCAACTTCCGTCTCTTGTTTTCAAAAGTGTCACAAGAAGATCTTCTAATACGGCTACGCAGATATTTTTCTTCCAGCAATCAAACGATCTTTTCTGTGTGTTTGCATTCGTAGTCCTAGTCAAGAATATTCGTTTCACTTTTGCTCAGAAATTGAAATTACTACTATAGAAATTGGAAACTTTTTTATCATTTACGTGCGTAGGTAACGTAGATTGAATAGGAAATTCATTAAATCATATTGAATAATCTTTACAGCCACAGCACTCATCCGTGGAAACTAGTATGTAAATTCCACATGGTCAAGTTTCAGCAAACAAAACATATACTTACGTCACAAAACCGATTCTCATTGCGCAACTCATGGTATTTAAACTCATCGTTGTGCTGCGCATTATCTTCTCTAATCGGATTACGAAGTTCCAGATGCTACTACACTTCAGGCCCTCTTCACGAAAGCCATTGTCATTATTTTTTGCAGAGGAAGCGCTGCACCTCTGCTTGGGCGTTGTAGATACAGACCAACAGAATAAGTGACTTTGAGACTGAAATTTGCTCTGCGATGAAGTTCAAGAAGACTATCGAATGCTCTTTAATGGTTAATGAATATTTTTACTTGGATGACGAAGTTACAAGAATACGATAAATACTAAAGGTTCTGAATCATTACAGTACGCAGCGTCTTCTGTGGTGTCGTGGTCGTTTTCTATGTATATTACACCACAGAAGAAGATTGACTACCACCTGCAAATTTCTAAACTCGTATCTAAATGTTCTTCTTACTTAAAAGCATGGCTTTGACGTTTCAGCGGACCACTAAATACTCTCCATACGAGGGAGTTGATTAATCCAGTTGACTGAGGTCGCACATTTTTTCGCGTGCCTCCTCCGGTGTCTTCCAGATGAAGATCGCGCCTTCAGCTCCAACGCTGACTACGAAGCTCTGATCGGGTGCTACTGCGACACCGTTGATAGTACCTGAATTATAAGTATGAATCATTATGACCAGAAAGTCTAGTAGTTTTTCCAATTCATACTTCAGCCTTAAAGAGGAACCGTCAAGAGCATAGGTTAAACAATCTACCTTTTCTTTCGATGGTGCAATAGATAGATGCATGCAAAAAAAGTACCGCTATGGCCGATTCCAACGTGTGAGGCCATACCGAGATCGTAATCCCAGAGCTTGACCATGCGGTCCTGCGAACCGGACACGAAATGACTACCACTGGCGCTCATTGAGAGTGTTGCTAACTCTCCCTCTACGCTGCCCTCAAGGACGCGGATTGCCTGCCCATCAAAGGTATCCCAGTACGTGATTTTCCTGTAGTTGTGAGTGAGAAAAAACCCTATGTTTTTAGGTCCAGTCCTCTAGTACGGATCAAAGAAGAAAATTGTGAATCTGCAGTACGCTGCTTTCGTTCCAAACAAGGTTGACCTTGAAGTGCTACAAGTTATTTAAGTAGGATAGCAGTACCTATCTGTTCCGGTGGTAAGGATCTGACTTTCATCTGGATGATACATCATCGCCTTAAATTGCGTCGACTCAAAGAGGCAAAGACTCCTTGTTTTTGCATCCAAGTCCCAGAGGATACAGCTACCATCCGAGGAGGATGTGAACGCCTGGTGGAAATTGAAATATGACATGCTGACAAGAACTTATTCCAATAAAAAACATCGTCTTTGACATTGGAAGCCTGATCGTTGTAACAATATTTTATTTTGAAGAACCAAGTACTAAGCTTCTATAATCTAATTCAGGATGGATTTTTGTGAAACAGTAAAGCGACAATACTTTCTTATCATCTTTCGTGAGGCAGATGCTCCATACTCGTCCACGATGCTCCTTTAATGAAGCCTCCATACTCTGACTCTGTCCGCCGAGTCGCCAAACTCGAACCTCTCCCTCTGCACCACCAGAAACGAGTCGTGTTCCCGTTGATGTCGCTGAAAGTGCGGTGCACTGTTTGTTGCGTAGAGAATGTTAATTCTTTTCACCATCTTAAGACATTGCGTGGGAGTAGTTTTAAGGTCCGTCGACAAAGATGGAAAAGACGTCGACAAAGAGGATTCTATTCTGCTAGCACAACAAACAATATCAGTGCTCAAGTTTTGGTCCATAACCTATTATTTTTGTGAAGAATTATACGGGGATCATTCCATCTCAAAAACAAAAGTTCTCGTTGTAATACCCCATTTCGGTGCCCGTCGTTGATGACGTAGCTCAAACGTCCGGACTGTGGAAGAAACGCTCGGATTTTTCCATCCGACCAGCCTGTGAGGATGGCCTTCCCATCCGCGGAAAAGTCGATTGCTGTTGTCAGTAAGTCAAATCACGTCACCGACGTTTTGTGCAAACGATGTGCTTTTGTAGAACAATAGATAGGCTGTTGCAAATACGCCGCAGACTACAACAAATTGCATATTTCTATACTACATTGTAGATAAGCTGCAAATCAGTTTCGGGGACTTAAGCTGCAGATACGCTGCAGCCAACCGCTCCGCATACTTAAACGGGACAGGCGCGAGGCAGTCAAGGGCCAGGTGCGAGGCAGTTACCAGACAAGAGCGAGGCAGATGACGGACACGCCCGAGGCACTTATGGGCCAGGCACGAGGCAGATAGGGGACAGGCACGAGGCAGATAAGGGGCAGACACGAGGAAGACAAAGGACATACGAAAGGCTGATAGGGTCGCCACGCAGAGTCGCTTCTCTGCTGACCTCGTCACCACTTAGGCGCTTAACTAGTGACCAAGTCACTGCTTGGTCGCTCAACCTGTGACCTGATCGCCGCTTAGTAGACGGTTAACTAGTGACCGAGTCACCACTTAGTCGCACAACTAGTGACCTCGTCACCACTTAGTCGCACAACTAGTGACCTCGTCACCACTTAGTCGCACAACTAGTGACCTCGTCACCACTTTGCCGCATAACGGGTGACCGAGTCTCATCTAGCTGCTTAACAAGTAACGGAGTCACTACTTAGTCACTCAACTAATGAGCTGGTCACCACTAAGACCGCTTTACCTGATAATCAGCTGCAACTAAGTTGCGATTTTCTAGCTACCGGCTACATGTAGTTATTGGAGCCAGAATTATGGATGCGATAATCTGTGATGCCAAAACCTAATCTGAGTGACGCATCGCCTATTAATCGAGACCCGAACAAATTGAGCTAGATTAGCAAACTCACAAAAAAATTACCATAGCACTCGACATTAGGCACTTGAATGCGGAGCAATTCTTGTCGCTGTTGCGCGTTCCAGACACGAATGTCGCTGCAAGATGAGGTTACAAAAACCTGTGAGAAGTGTCGCGGAAAGCAAACACTGTTGATACGTTCGAAATGGCATGTATTTCGCAGTTCAGCGGCGAAACTGTCCGTGTTTACCCAGTACATATTCGCTTTATCAGTTCCAACGAACCTGCCGTGTGTTGCATGAAGCGATCATTGGAGTCGATGATAAATGTCAGTTATTTATCATCGTCAGCAAAAAATTACTGCGCGCTGATGCCTAAGATTACCCTACATAACCCTACATAGCAGAATCACTTTCAATTTGGCTGTAGCGAATGATACATGTGTGTGTTGTCGGCAGTCTTCGCGAGTGACGTTACTCCGCCCATCAATGGTTCCTTCATAACCGCGCGAACGCTCAAATCTACTCCGCTGAACTTCACCTGTGATTTTTTACGATGTGCAAGGTTCGGTTGACGACGTTAACTAAAACTTCTTTGTACGACTTGATATATTCTTTCATGTACTAGTACGTCTCCACCATCAACACACACTATCATCCGTTTACTTCTATGTATACAACTGCATCTAGAAATCAAAGGTTCTGCATCATACCAAGAGTCCTGCGCCTGTGCCGCAAATGATATCACCGTTCTCGAGGATAAGAGAGGCTGTAATCCCTTGTGGGAAGTTCTTCTTATTTCCGCCTGTTCTCCGGAAGAGGCACCTCTCGAGAGAGATCTGGAGCAAATCTCCACTCTGCGTTCCAATGTAAGCATTTTCGTCATTTGCGTCAATCACGATGTTTGTTCCCTTCCTCTTCAGCTGACCTAGGATCAAGAGGGGTCAAAAAGTCGATCTCTGTTTATTACAGAAGAATGAGAATCAGCTAAAAATAACATGTTCTTGATGTGCCGAAGTGTGATAAAGCCAAGAATATGAACAAAGGAAACTTGTACCAAGGGACGCAGGTGTAGGCCTGATCTTCTTGTTCTGCAAGTCGACGCGCCATGCTGTGATATGGTAGTTTCCGGTGGTGACCAATCGCAATGGATCATTGTTGTAAAATTGCACTGCCTGTGCTGTGTCATTAGCAGCTGGGGTGCCACAGATTGCTGACCCATTCGCCATATCCCAGACCACCAAACTGTTGTCATCCTGTCCACCGATGGACGCCAGGTACCTAGAAATAGGCGAATGTAAAAAAACGATGTGCTAATACAACTGCTTGTCCTTCGAGTGATAATCATAATTGCTCTGGGAATCATAAACAGCGTGTAGTTGTAGTTTAAAACAGATCTCTGCAAGTTTTTGTACCTATGAATCTTGAAAGTCAAACCGAAGAAGGCTATGAGTCAGAAAGATTGAGTAAAAGCAGTAGTTCCGAAACATCAAACATAAATTGTTACGCGCAGTTGCAGGAAAAACAGAGGGCTTTCACTTCAACCTTGTGCAAGTTGAGTCTGTATCGTTCTTTGCGGCCCTCGAAGTCCCATACGATAATATCAGCGTTGAAGCCCATAAACGTCTTCTGACCTGATTGTATTAAGACCAAAATGATTTTCCCGCCATGATTTTTTTGGAATATCTCCTGCAGGAACTCTACTTTCAGCCGTGAAGAGAAATATCATCATCCAATCACTTCTTCCTGCAAAAAAAACGCGCCAACATCACGATAGAACCATACGATGGTCATAAAATTGATGCTGTCTTACCTGACGCAAGAAGCTTGCCATCATTTGAGATGGTGATGCAGTTAACGTCATTATCGTGTCCCTGCAAGAAGCTCTGCGTCCTCTGAATGACATTCCGGATCTGAAGAGAAAATTGATGAGGAGGCGTGGAAACTCGTGCAGTTTTATTCCGCGGGCATTTTAGATGCCTCGTATTGATATGGACTCCCATTAGAAAGCCAGGTAGTTACGACATTGCACTGAAGTTTAGATCCACTGCCTTGAACATCAGTCAAACAAGTATACCACCACAGTGCATCCCAGCGGAAAGATAAGGTGTTCGTTGTCGGGATGCAGGATCAAGCCCTTCGGAACCGCACCCTTAAAGCCGATGACGGCCTGCAGCTCTAGGGGCTCCACAGCCATTTTGCTACTACACTTCTATTCAGTAACCTCAATTTTTTCTACAAACAATGTTGGACCAGTTACACTCAAACTTTTGTTTTTGTGGCACACGAAGAACATGAAGATGAGGTGATGAAAAGATTACCTGCTTCGAGGCGTTATTTCTTAGTAAAAGTTCTGTTTTGCACACGAAGAGGTTGTTGTGTTTTGATTGATGCATTCTAAACAGGACACCTTCAGATACTCTGATTTAAAATCCAGCGAGGGTTTTTGTTGGATGCGGTTGTCAGGTTTCCTCTCATGCCTCGAATTCTCGGTTAGTCAAAAAACAGGTTTCTCGAGAGGATACCGATTAGTACAGAACCAACGCTCAGCAAGTCTTGAAACCCAGAATAGGGAGTCTCTATATCAAACGAAAACCTCTCAAGGACGGCTTATTGGGTAAGAATGCGTCATTAATCGATGTTCGGAAAATGCTATCCAACCGACACTAGACGCACATTCTCTTTCGAAAAACATCGCCTTTTCTACTCACGCTTCATTTCGACGTATTCCTGGAACTTGATGTTTCTCGATTATTTCCACGAAAGCCCACGAACCAAAGGGCTCAGTTCGCTTGTCACACTGACGTTGCAGAGACACAACAACAATAAAAATAAAAAGTCAGAGTCCATAGCACTATTTCTTAGAAGGTCGCAGCGGCGCACGGATGTGCTCCAGTTTAGGGAACAGTGTTGGATGTATGATACATCTGATCTGAGTCCTATTCCTACTTCTTTTTCGCGTCGGGGGCGCGAGACACTTGCACTGAACGAAACTAAGCTTGTAGAAAATAACGCTGATGTGTTGCGCAATACATCACAAAATGTTACTTCAAATAGAACAAGCAACAGTGGATTCCCATTCAGTGAACTCTAGCCATTCGCCCCAATGCGTCGTCGCTTACTGTTGCCGCAGTTGCGATAGTTCCGTTGCGATCGTGCGGCATGGAGGGGTCGCTGTCGGTTATCGGTGTGCACATCTCGCCATCCAGTGTGACCACTAGCTTTTGGAGAACGTGTCGTTGATGCCTTGTTCTTATCACCGTAATGATGAGAGTCATTTGTTCTGCTCGACATGCCGGCCGCAATCATACGCTTCTCTTGTTCTTAGAATCTAATTGTGCAGCTTACAAGATTTTTTCAATCTTCGAAACCTACATCGCCAACGTATTTTCATTTTCAAAGGAAAACTCAAGTAGAATGCAATATTCAACTGAAGAATGTATTTTGATAAATCGTGTGTCATGTTGTGGCAAGCCGTAATTTTCATCGGTCCGCAGAAGAGAGTCAATTGTCACCGCCATGAAGGCCTCACCTGGGTCTCCAGTGCTTTTCGCGAGCGCACAAGCGTCACATAGTGGCCCTCGCTCATCGGAGGAGCTCAGGTGTCCCATTGTCCTTCGTCCCAGGTCTTCTGCGTTGCTAAAAAGATTTGGAACATCATCATGCTGGCTCTTGGTAGTGTGAGCCAACCCGTAGTAATGCTCCCGAGGACAATCCTTTTGTGAAGACTGTAATCGTCCTTCAGTTTTTCTCGTGGTTGTGAGTTTTTGCCAGTGCGGCAAGCCTTGCAGCATTTCCAGCTGGAGCAGGCGCTCGTGTGCGTCTTTGGACAGCGTAACGCCCAAGTCCAAACACTCCGCAATTTCAGCGGCCACACTCCCAGGCACGTGAGCAACAGCCGGCTCCCTCGTCTCCTTATTGCTATTTTCAGTACCAGATCTATTTCTCGAAGACTCCTCTTCTCGCGTAACAGATGAAGAAGAGGGCGCCAGAACCTCTCCAAGCATACCAGCGTAGAGTTGTTCCTTTTGCGACTCTAGTACGGCGGTTCGCTCATTAGCAACCGCATCAAAACGCAGCTGCCCCTGAGCTTCCGCCTCGTGCTGAACGACAGCGTCGATGCTCAGCTTGCACTCAATGCAAAAAGCAGCTGGGTTCAGTTCTCGCCGCTTCCGCGCGTTCGCCATCTCGATTCGCGAACGAACGGCACCGATGTCGCCACCACCGAAGGCAACATTAGACCATCACGAAGATGAGGATAGGTTTATCATGTCTATAATTATACGTACCCTTCTTTCTGCGGGTCTTCCCTAAAAGTGTACCTATTTTGGAAACGAACTTCACAAAATCCACTCAAAAAATGACAAATTTCTGAGAGAACAGCAACGTCGCTTTTTCCCAAATCTGATGTTCAAAAAAAATTATTAACGAGAGCCTTAACAGGAGGAAGTAGTGTGCGAATGCGAGGCGGTTCCTGATACGCGTCGGGCCACACTCCGTGCAAGAGATGCTGCTCGTAAGCCCGTCCCATAGCGTTCGCTTGCGCGATTGCATCGTAATAAAACTCTACTCCCTGGGACGCACAAGGTGCACCACCAGTGTGCGACGATTCTGACTTCTCAGGCGGCGTAATACATGCGGCAGCAGTTGCGCTATCGACGGGTGGCAGATGAGACTCTTCCACGAGAGGTGCGGCGGAAGGCTGCAATTGAGCTGGCTTTTGGGTCTCCTGCGTTTGTGGTTCGCCATGCAATAGAGTTGGATTATTCTGGTGGAATTTCGTTAAATCGGTCTTGGGCGCCTGCGGTCCGTCCCAGCGTGGACGCGGCGCCCATGCTGGTGGCTTCAGCGCCACAGGAGAATCCTCAGTCTCGTCTAGAGCAGTACCTAGCAACGACGCGACCGCTTCGTGCCACGCATCGTCCATCACCACCGATGACGAATCCATGCCGGTCCCTACTTTTGTTTCTTCCCCGATATTACTCATCTTCGCGTTATTATTAGCTTCTCCTTGGGCGTTGGCCGAGGTAGCACAAGGCAGGTCCTCTTGAGCTGCCGTGTCTCGAACGGCAAGCGACGCTTCAATTACTCTGTCGAGCGCTAGCCTGTCGACAGCACTTACTTCTACTCTGTTTCCTATCGCGGACTGCTCCATAGTAAGACTGCTCGGCGGCGGTGCAGTACCGCCTTGTCCTTCACCTTTGAATAAGTAATAGGCAAGCTGCGACGAGAGTGTCGAATCATTAACTAGGGCATCCGCTTCGGGATTGTAATCACCAGTACTAGAGGAATGCAGAGGCCAGGAAGCATTGTCCGGAGGCTTGTTTTGTCGCGATGAAATGCTACCGCTTGCAGCTGCAGTGCTATGTGTTTCGCCAGATGTAGGCCACACACTAGGTGTTGTTCCCTTGACATCGCCCTCTCCGAAAATCCAAGACGCAACGTCGTCGAGCCAGCCATCCTGATGAGTAGACGGTGCTTCGTAGTTCGCTTGGCAACTAGCGTAGTTTCCTGTTTCGAGTAAGGAGTCGAGCGCTGCCCACGAATCGCGATCAGAATTGGCCTTTCCAGAGTTCTGTTGGCCATCGTCGTGCAGTGCAGCATCCGCAAGACCGTCAAAAATATGCGAATCTGTCGAGACACCTAGCGGCACAAGACCAAGGGCGGCCCCGTCAACACCCAGACCGTGAAGAAAATTTCCTAGATCGAAGTCAACAGGAACATTGCTACGCTTCTCCAAGAACTGCTGACCGTCTCTTGATGAAGTCGCATTGTCGAAAGACGCGCAGACGTTCTCATTCTCATTCGCTTTTATCTGTGATCCTCGGGAAAACGGAAACGGTGTGCCGGTCATGCAGTCGAAGAGGCCGATTGATAGATCGTGCGGTGCGTGAAATTGCTGCAAAAACTTACTTTGAGAAGTAGATGAACACATCGTACTACCACTACTAGGACCGGGCTCTGTTGCTGCTTCTTCACCGTGGAATCCGTCAAGCCACGTGGCCCAGTTTTGCGCTTCATAGGACGCATCCAAGTCGTGTCCATTATCGAACGCCCACCCCGATGCATGATCTCTGTACCAGCCAGTGGCAAACGTTGTTCTCCCACTATGGTCTGCAGGTTCTTCAGTGGCATGTATCACCATTCCTGGCGAGGCATCGTAAGAACTAGTTTTGTAACCATCCCACAGCGACGCGACGCCTCTTTCATTGCCAACGTGTTGGGGCGACCTCGGCCTCCCCTGCTCGTGGACAACCGCCACGGACCGAGCAGTGTTTGTCCCTTTTCCACTCGGCCCTTTGTCACGAGAGCTTGCTTTTGACACCGTGCGCATCCGCCTCCTTCTGCTGGCGGAGCGATGCCGCGGATGCGAAGAAGCGTCGTTTCCTTTTAGGCCACGGTCGTGACCAGCGCCTTGCATTGGCGTAGTAGCGTTTACATTTACACCGGGCGTATGGTGCGTTTGAGCTCGCGCGTTTCCAGGGCGCTGCATCAATCTACCTGCAGCCTTTGATTGAACGGCTTCCAGTGCAGCTCGGCCCCGGCAGTACACCTGTGCGCTGTCATGGCTTTGTGGAGACAACGGTTGTGCACCGCGGTCTACTTGATAGTTATCCGTAATGAGCGCTGTCCCCGCCAGCCTGCGTCCTTCAATACGAGGCTGGCTCCATTGAGGCTCGTACGTCGTCACAGGCGGTATTAAGCGAAATCCGTTTGCTTCTTGCCGGTCCGAGACCGACGGCCGTGCTAGGTCTGCGGACGAAGACGCAGCACGGTCATTGGGGAAACTTCGGGCCGGCAGCTTGAACAACGCTGTTCGACTAGCATCGCCTTTGCGTCGAGGTGATTCCAGCGAAGCTCGTGGCGTTTCCGCGTCGCGAGACACGAAAAGCCGACTTCTGGATCGCGCAGTGGAGGTGGTTCGGTGACCAGATTGCGTTGGCCCAGATCCACGTGGTCGCGAGAAGAGACGATGCGCGACACCCGAACCGCCCACGCTATTTTCAGGCGGCCGGACTCTGCGACTCTCGTTTTCACGACATTGTTCCCCAACCGTCGTGATGAAGTTCCGCCCAGCGACTTGTCGCTTACGCCGGCTTTGGGATAAAGTGCGTTGCGTGTGCTGTTCGCTCAACACCGGACCCCGCTCTGCGCTAGTTCCTAGACCGCGGGGGGAAGCCATGTTCATTGGCCGCGCACTCGAAAATGATGGAGACTGGATATTCTCTTCACAATCTATAGAGGTCCTTCTTCTTCTGTCTCTAGAAGACACACAAAGACTAGTATAGGATAAACATCGGAGGTCACCAGCTACTCTTGACGCGATGCCAATGCTCGCACCTACTACTCAGTCATCGGATTCTCTCGAACTTATCGGACTCTCTACTGAATCCTCTGACCCTGCGACTTAGAACTTCTTACTCCTCCTGACCTCAGAGACGGAAGATCATTATGTGGACCTCCAGTCGCAAACGGACCTGAACGAACACTGTCGCCCAATCGTGCTCTTGACGGCGCCTTCGCGTGAGCAAAGGAATTTTTTTCCTGAACAGTGCTCTCGTCGTATCCATTAGTTACATACACCTCATAAAAATACTAAAGAGCACATCGTTTTGCAATGCTGTAGATAACAAAGTTACAATCTCCAATCCCAATACAGCAATCCCGAGAAAGTCTTTGAGATTCAAGTCAAGTGCAAGCTTTTCCAGACGGAAATGCGGCATAGGCTTGTGGAATATTTTTTGTAGGTGCAAAGACACGTCTACCAAAGCTGAACATCTCTGAAAGAATACTCCTCCGTCTTTGGCCACTTGTCGTGCCCCTCCTGCGTCAGCCATATCCTTATTTGGAGAAAAGCTTGATAGAGACCGGATCAAAAATATACAAAAGTAAAAACCTCAGTGTAGAACGCATGACTTCTGATTGCATATTGTAGAACGTTAGTTGAACATGATTTCACATCTTGCGCATTTTTACATACTGATTGCTCCTGCACAACTCGCAACTAATAAAGAGATGCGGTAGAACAATTTGCATTTTCACATGCTTTCACCTAGATAAAAGGGATTTTTCTAAGAAACCGCACTATGCACGGAAGTTCAAGCACCTGACTAAGTCTGTCGCTAAGTTGAAGAAGAGGTGTATTTGTGAACATTCCAATGCGTCCCTAGTAAGCATATGTCACCTACACGACAAATCAATACTAAGTAGAAGAAGCTGATAATAGAGGGTTCGCGAACGTTTCCGCCCACATTAGCTCCATATAGCTCTGACTTTGGTCCATATCGTCCTGAGCCTGGCGCGAATCCGAATGCTTGTTCACAAAAGCTTTGGCTCCGTCTAGGAGTGAGCTGAATTCTGCAAGAGGGAGCAGCGAAGCACAACCCTCGCTGCATCCCAGTTTCCATTGTGTGGCAGCAGCAATGACCAGTTTCAGCGTCTGGAGGTAGCTCTCGTCAGGGCTTAACAAAAAGCTGCTTCCCTTCAGTGCCCTTCCTCCGTGGCCTTTCACGGGGCACAAGCGGCAAAAAAGAAGGAGGCGCACTGCTTCCGGGCACCGGCCAAGCTGACATTTCCGTCGCGCGTCGCGCCATCGTTTCCATAAAGTGAAGGAAACGATTCCAAATCTCGCTGTGGAGAAAGGCTTTGAGGGAAAAAGTGGGACCACTCCTCCTCGTGAACGAAAACGTTAGAAGATTTAGCTGTCTCGGCAAATTCTTTCAGCAGAGCCTCCAACACCCTTCTTCCCTCATCCTCGCTTATACGAACTATAATTTTGCCATCGCTTCTAAGACCCGCGTACGAAGGCCTTCCCTTTCGTTTGTTTACAGCGCGAAGGTTAGAACTAATGGAAATCCATCCTCAGCAGCATCTTGGGTCTCCTTTTCCCTTTAAAAACGGGACCAAGATGACAGTGAAAATGGATTTCTTGTACCCTTAATAAGAGCCGACTTCAAGACCTCGTTCGCAAATGGTTGATCACATTGCCGCATGGATCCGAAGAAGTGCAAACGCCGTTTGCGTGATCCTTCGTGCACTTCCAGAATCACATCTTTATCGTCGTCCGAAGAACTACCAAAAGCATTTCTCGGGTCGCCAATTGGAGCTTGGTTGCCTTCACGCGAGAAGTCCCTTCCGTCAACGCCAGCTAAGCGGGCCGCAAACGCATAGAGTTCTGAATTTTCGTTGCCGAACATGTCGTCCGCAGGAGCGTCCTCCACAGGATTCTCCTCCTTCACGTGGGGCTTTGCTGTGGACTTTTCCTTACCTTGTTTGGCAAACATACCCCGCTAGGTTCTTTCTTGGCCTTCGACGCACCTCGACCAGCTGGGTTCGCGGGAGAGATCACCGCCGGTTTTGAAGGAATATCTTGAGCAACAGGCCCCTCGGCCTTCTGCCTGTCCACGTCTGTCCCAACAGGTGAAGGAGCTGCCGCTGTTCCTTGTGCGGTCGTTTTCTCAAGCGCCTCACCAAAGTCGAATTGTGATTTTCCTTCTCGCCCGATTTGCGTCTTCCCTGGGTTTGGCGGATGCGTTCTAGGATCTGCGAGAAGATCGCTCTCTCCAGATTGACTTGACATGCTGGTTAAAGTCGCTTCTGCTCCGTCTGCCATTTCGCAGGGTGATGTCAGGTCCAATGCCGTCAGGTGTTCGTCCAATTCTTCCTGGATCGCTGTCTTCTCCCTTTGAAGCTTGAACCCTAGTGCGCCCTTATAGTGCTCGAGCAACCGCATGTACTCCGGGGGACTTTCGCTCGACCCAGGCACTACAGGCGGAGGCGGATTGAGTGCGCTGCCGGCAGCAAAGGCTCGGAGCTTTTCCTGTGCCTCAGGAGACGGCAGCTCAGACTCAATTCCTTGAAGCAATTTCATCACTCTGCTATGCGCCTCCAGCGTTTTCTTTAATTTCTCGCTCGCTTCCGCCTCCCATCGTGCCCTTAGGTTCGAGTGCAAGCCCTGCTTCTTTTCACAAGTGCTACCTGTTGTGTCAGAGCCTCGTCTCCTTGGCTCGGCTCTTCTCGTGTCCTCAAAACCAAGCTGTTTGTGTGCCTTCTGGTCCACGTCTTTTACTTTTTCGACCTCCCTCGTTTCCGCGCGGCCGTCTTTCTCGTGCGTCTCGAGTTCAGCAACAGAAACGGCTTCCATCGTGTCGGGTGCCACGCTTGTAGCCACCGCAGCTTGCGTTGCCTCAGCCACCTTCTTCCGTTCTTGCGGTGCCAGTAGAAAGCCTCGATGCGAGTAGAGGTCGGCACTTTTTTCCACCTTCTGCTGCGCGTTGGGCGGTGGGTCACGGACGAGGCTAGCATCAACTTCACTATCTGCCAGGCCTGCAAAAACATTTGGCTTCGGCTCTTCAACGCTTGTTTCCAAATTCGGTGTTCGTTTCTCCAGATCATCATCAACAACATCCGCTTGTTGGAAGAGTGACGCATACGCAAGAGGATCGCTGTCCATCGATCTTTCATCCTGCATAAGTACGATTCACTTCGGCGGTCGCGACGGCTAGTGTAGTTGAAGTAGCTTCTGCCTGCCCATTTGACGGCTCCTCGACAAGTGTAGGTGGTTCCGCTAGAGACCCCGCAGAAGCCACCACAGCGGTGTCTTTAGCCACCTTTTCCTCCTCCTCTTCTTGATTGCTGGCCTCATCACGTGCCGACTGCGCCTCGACTTCGTCAGGCGGTTTGACTTCAGGAGATGTCTCTGGAGAAAATTTAGACGGTTCTACTTCAGGAGACGCTTCTGGAGAGTCTGCTTCTGAATAAAAAGATCCTTCAGCAGTGTTCATCAATGCATCTGCTGGAGTTGTAGGCGAAGCCGGCTTCCCATCCGCCTTTTCATCAATACTGGCAACGCCAAGAGAAGCATGGTCAGATGACCACGGCTCCGCCTTTTCATCTACACCGGCAACTCCAAGAGATACGTGGTCAGATGATGACGGCGCCGCGCCAACATCTTCGAACGGAGTTGCCTTGTCCGCACGAGACGAAGACACTGACGCGAGCTGCTACTATTTTCCTTTTCCCGTCACTTTGCAGTTTGGCCATCACGGATTTGGAGCAGTCGTTTCGAAACTGGTCTCCTCCACAAACTTTCACCACCCCGTTGCAACCGCGAAGAAAAGGGTTCTCGTGAACCTTGTCTCCTTTTCTAGTACCTCGTTTTGGCCCGCCGCTCTTCGCAGCACCGCGGTCCGCATTCGGCGATGAAGTTCTAGTACTCAGAGTTTCGACCACTGGAAAGACCACCTCCTTCGAAATGCAAGTACTTGTATTCGTTTCCGGGGTAGTGGCACTGCCATCTGCAGAAGAGGGCTAGACCAGCATCGACTCTCGAAGAGCTTTGTCTCCTGGTTCCCACCGTTCGCGAAACTGCTGACAGGATAGCGGCGTCGCTTCCTCGTCTTCTGCGTGAACTCTCTGGGCACGCCCGCTTGCTTCCGACCTCAGTTTGGCAGCCGCGGTGTCGACCAACTCGTTGGGAAGGAAACCGGAATGCGCACGCACCCAGTGAAAAACAATCGCCAGATTCCCTACGTTGTACAGATACTGCCATTCGTCCGCAATCGCTTTCAGAATAGTGCGATAGGCTAGAAGTCCTTTTTTCGAGGAAGCAAAGAAGGCTGCCGATGAATCCTCGGCGCTCTGCTCCGCTGCAGCGGCAGTTGATGTCTGCGTAGCCTGAAAGAACCTGATAGAATACTTTGCTCGTACCAGCTCGCTTCGCCAGAATGCCTCTGCTTTTCGTATTGCAGCCGAAACCCGAAGCGGAAATAATTTTCCAGCATCGCAATCGAGTTACTACTGTCAGTAAGAAGGGGAAGCTTCGGCGTCATACGCAAGCGACCAGCATCATCTTGCTGAGTAGAAAACTCTCCAAAGACCGTTGTTCGTGTTTCCGGGTTTTCAATCGCTAGCAGCGGACTTTCGTTTACACTTTGATGACGGCCTTCGCCGTTATTATTTTCGCCCCGCTTCGACACCATCTCCAACGCGGTGAGAATTCCGTGGAGATCTGCGAAGAGAATACTGGGCAAGCAGAGCCAGCCGATTTTTGAGGCGTGGAGTAAATGGCTGGATAAATCAAAAAAGCACACTTTTGAACATGAAACGCCACGGGTAAAAATTCCCGAAGTGGTTGCTTTCAACTTGAAAAAGTGCAAAAAATAACAGAGAAGAGGCCGCTTTTTTTCAATCCCCAGTGATATAAGTTCACAGCCCAAGCCCTGCCCTCTAGATTCTGAACCAAAAAAGCGGGAAAGGGTTCCCCTGCTTTCTTTCTCCACTGGTATACCATTGCCAGCTGATTAAAAACGGACCCAAAAAGCAAACGGCTACAGCAAAGCCAGGGCGCTTTTTCACGCCTGAGAGTGAGACGCCTAACACGTAGGCGCCCCTTCTCAGGCGTGCCCGCTGCTGCCCAGTTCAGGGGACTCCGATGGCGCGCAAGTGTCTCCCAAGATATCGGAACAGGACCGCGGCGCAGAGGCGGCCGACCCGTGGCATTATATAGAGAGGAGCGCGAGGAGGCGCGAGAAACAAACGAGCGAAAGCAGCCGACGCGAAGCCGATAAGCAGACGCCAGAAAAGCACAGGAAAGAAGAGGAGGCAGCACGCGAAACCGATAACAAAGCGGACGGCCCAAGAGCAAAACGCGGCCACGCTTTGAGCAAGACCGGGGGAGGAAAATGGGGAAAAAAGGGGGCAGAGAAACCTACAAGGGAACCGAGGCAGCGCTGTCCCTTAGCGGTTTCGCGTAAGAGTTTCGCGGGGATCCTCGCGAAACCCTTATGCGAAACCGTTGAGGGACAGTGGCACTTCTGGGCCGTTTTCGACATTTTGCCCCTTTTCTTCACAGTTTGGCACGCCAGTCCCTAGATCGCGAGGCCAGTCCGTCTCTCTCCTCTTCCCATTTCCTTATCGGTTTCACCGCGGTCCCTTCGGGCTCTGTTCAGATGCTTCCGCCATTCTCTTATCGGTTTCGCCGCTCGCTCGGCGTACCCGACTCCTCGGCAATCCCACCGGCTACCGATACAAACCGAATGAGACGACAGGCGACACCATGAGACATGGGCTCGCCCTCCTTTTTAAGAGTCCGGGGCATCATTACAGGCAAAGGCTAGCCCTGTGCGCCTGTAGCTCTCAGAAGTGCGCCCGGTATAGGTAGCACACGCACACGAAGAGAGCCAAGGGGATAACTTCAATCGCGAACGTCTTTCGGTAAGACCGCAGAAGCCTGGCAAGACGCCCCGTCTGGCGCATCGGCCGCCAGCGGGGCGATAGGGCATGCCTTAGCTCTTCAGTTACACGGGCGACAGTTGGCCTGACGCATCCCCCCGCCTCCCGTTGTACCCCGCGCCCCCCTCCCCCCTTGTACAAGGTTACATGGTTGGGCACAGTCCGGAGGCGCACTCTTTGGCGCCGGCTCGTTAGAGGGATGCACAGTCGCGCAAACATTTAACCTTGTACAAGGGGGGCGGGGGGCGAGATGGTCACGCATTGCCCCCGCGTCCCTGGCGGCCGTAGGCCGCCAGAGGGACGACGCGCCACGCTGCGCTGATGGGCGCTGATGGGCGCGTGGTGTGCGCCGCATAATCCAGCGCGAACAGCCCAGCAAGGCAACCCTCTGCCCCCTCGTCCCTGGCGGCCTACGGCCGCCCGAGGGACGACGCGCCACGCTGCGCTGGTGGGCGCCGCATAATCCAGCGCGAACAGCCCAGCAAGGCAGCCCTCTGCCCCCTCGTCCCTGGCGGCCTACGGCCGCCAGAGAGACGGCGCGCCACGGCACAGAGATTAGGCACGCGGCAAGAGCACACGAGGAGAGCACATGAGAAGACGCAGAACACAAGAGCAGCCAGGCCAGAAGAACACAGAACGACCAAACTGGAACAAAAACGAGCCAAGCCAGGGGAACGCAAGACGGCGGCGACCTCGCTCGCGTATCTCGCGAAATGAAAGAAGTGGAAGCAGATGGATGATGGAGGCGCGCGCGGTTTTATCGAAAAGCCGCCACGCGGAGACCGGTGAGACCTCTGCGGCCAATCTTTTTGAAGAATATGATGAAGCGAAACCGACAAGAAGATCTGGGAAACCCTTGCGGAGATTTTTTCCGGAGACGCTGCGCCGGTCTTTTTCTTTTTCGTTTTGTTAATATTTGAAAGTATTCGAATACTTTGCGAATATTCGAGAATATTCGGAGAATATTTGGGAACATTCGCCGAATATTTCAAAGCATTTTTTGTAAGTGCTGGAATGGTTTTCGCGTGGATATTTTTGAAATAAGATGGAAAACTGCGCACCCAGTTCGTGCCATGGGGGAATCGAACTCGATGCGAGGGCTTGGACATGCTCGCCAAGTTCTGCGATAAGTTCTCCTCGTGGGGCTATCTGGGCGAGCACATGTCGACACGCTTCCCATTAAAAAAGAAAGCTGCTCGCGCTGGATTATGCGGCGCACACCACGCGCCCGCCAGCGCCCACCAGCGCAGCGTGGCGCGCCGTCCCTCTGGCGGCCTAGAGACGAGGGGGCAGAGGGTTGCCTTGCTGGGCTGTTCGCGCTGGATTATGCGGCGCACACCACGCGCCCACCCGCGCAGCGTGGCGCGTCGTCCCTCTGGCGGCCTACGGCCGCCAGGGACGAGGGGGCAGAGGGTTGCCTTGCTGGGCTGTTCGCGCTGGATTATGCGGCGCACACCACGCGCCCACCAGCGCAGCGTGGCGCGTCGTCCCTCTGGCGGCCCTAGGCCGCCAAGGACGAGGGGGCAGAGGGTAGCCCTGCTGGGCTGTTCGCGCTGGATTATGCGGCGCCCACCAGCGCAGCGTGGCGCGTCGTCCCTCTGGCGGCCGTAGGCCGCCAGGGACGAGGGGGCAGAGGGCTGCCTTGCTGGGCTGTTCGCGCTGGATTATGCGGCGCACACCACGCGCCCACCAGCGCAGCGCGGCGGCCGCCAGAGGGACGGGGGGGCAATGCGTGACCATCTCGCCCCCCGCCCCCCTTGTACAAGGTTAAACGTTTACGCGACTGCGAACCCATATAACGAGCCTGCAGCAAAGAATGCGCCCCCGGACTGTGCCCAACCGTGTAACCTTGTACAAGGGGGGCGCGGGGTACAAGGGGGGCGGGGGAGTGCTCCTGACAGGCGGCCGCGTTACTGAAGGACTAGCCCACGCCCCATCGTCCCTGGCGGCCGAGGCCGCCAGCGGGACGATGTGCCAGACAGGGCGCCTTGCCAAGCTTCTGCGGCCTTCCCAGAAGATGTCCGCGATTGAAGTTATCGCCTTGGCCTTCTTCGTGTGCGTGTGCTACCTATACCGGGCGCACTTCTGAGAGCTACAGGCGCGCAGGCTTAGCCTTTCCCGCTAATGGTGTCCCAGACTCTTAAAAAGAAGGGCGGGCCCGTGTCTGATGGCGTCGCCTGTCGTCTCATTCGGTTTGTATCGGTAGCCGGAGGGATTGCAGAGGAGACGGGCACGCCGAGCGAGCGGCGAAACCGATAAGGGAACGGCGGAAGCATCTTGGCAGAGCCCGGAAAGACGGAGGCGAAACCGATAAGAAAATGAGAAAAGGAGAGAGACGAACTGCCTGGCCCCGCGGTCTAGGGACTGCCCCATCCAGCCTTTTAATTTTTATTTTTATTTCAAATAGATTCCCATCTCGACACGTTATAGCTATTTACTCTTGCGAAGGGACCAGAACGCCAAATCGGAACCAAACTACGAGCCCAGGCCTCAGACAGCACCTATGGCGTCAATATATCACGCAAAATCTAATACGCTCGCAACTTTTCTCGTGTGAATCCACGCCACGCCAGTGAAATTTGCCCCAGCAAAGCTTGGACTTTTTGGCTCCACCCTTCAGATGTAAGTACGGAAGGGCGTGCTTCTTGAGCGGCATTCTTGTAGTTCAGGACTCTCTGGAGATGTGTCCTACTCAGCTACGCTCTATTATCTCTAACTATTTTTTTCTATTTTATCAGAGGATAAATAATGGGACAAAGCTTGAGTATTCTCGCCTTAAAGTAAAGTGCCCCATCATCGTCCGGAGTTTCCCTCTTTGCTCGCTCGCATGTTCCCCACCACTCCTCTTCTCCTCATCAGGCATAAGCAACCACTTCTGCCAGAATTGATAGTACTCAATCACCAAAGGCCATGCATTCTCGAGCAAATTTTTCAAGATGTAACACACGGCCGCGCGGCAATAGCTGACGGATTCCGTCTTAAATAGGTTCGCCGGCCCTTGCTCCTCCTCGAAAGTTTTTTTCCACTCACTAGGACGCAACTCAATAACGGTTTCCGGCCGGCTACTCTCCGAGGCGACATCATAGTCGACTTCTTCCATGCTACACACAGAAGACTCGTCTCCTGACAGCATGCTGCTATCGACCTCCAAACTCATCTTTTTTTTTCCTTCTTACAGGTATCCTAGTATCTTTGACGTGTTTATATTTACTTCAACAAAGTTTCAAGAAGTATTATCTCAAGCGTGGTTTCTTCAGAACTTGTCTACTCATCAATCTCAAACTACAAACATTCTACGAGACATAACTTTATAAGCCTCGCCTTCTCTGAAACAGTTTAGAGCTGGAAATAGGATGAACCAGAGGCAAGGCCTCAATAAACTAAGGCGAGTCGTATCCTATGAGTCAATAGATCAGCCATTTTTTCACAAGACAACTACGTCACTCCTTGTCCTAGCTTAACGCTGACACTGTGCACGACAAGATACCGAGTAGCAGAATGCAAGATCTTTTTCAGGAAGATTTTGGATCTTTGAAGCCGTGCGCAACTGCATACTAACACCAACCGACTCCCTCAACATGGAAGAAAGCATCCAAATTAATTCAACTCAACAGCACATCCAAAACGCCAACAAATGACGCATCGTGGCCAGCTCCTCCTTGCACAGCACGGGGAGACGTCGGCCATTTTTTCTTCAGTATCCTTCTCAGGAATTCAATAGATGAAGTCCTTTGCTCTCAAGAGTTTCCTTCTTCACTAGATGAAGTCCTTTGCTCTTCCCTTCCTCAAAAGTTTGACAATATAAAACATAATATTACGAATTCAGGTGGACGCAGTAACTTGCGTTGGCATTCATCTTAATAATTTCACGAACTGACGCAAAGCAATCCAGTGCTGACCACCTTCCAAGATTTACATACTCCCACTCGTCCCTCCTCATGCAAGATAAAATTACTTTGGGGGCCCTCTATCAAATGCATTTTTTTGAATACTGATTCCACTTCAAGGAGTCTCAGGATTCCACTTCAAGGAGTATCTTCCTGAGTCCATTTTTGAAAAAATCATTATAGAAACTATCTTCCTTGTGCTTACTCATCTTACAACTAAACCATTACCCATTCTCTTCCCCTGCCGTGCCACCTATGCGCACCCTCCAAAGGGAGCGCGAGTGTTTGAAATCCCTGGTGAGTCCAAATTCAGTTTGTCCCTCACCCTTTGGAGGGTGGGCCTCGGTGGCACGGCAGGAAAAGGAAGGCTCTTTGTGTTATAGAATCTTCATCAGAGATATTATAGACAGGAATATTAGAAGTGGAATCGGCGCACATACTAACATAAGTGAATTTTAGAAGTGGAATCGAATTAGCTAGGAACGTTATTAAATATTAGAAGTGGAATCGAGGAAATCACTAACATGAGTAAATGTTAGGAGTAGGATGGAGCTTCTAACTTACAATAGTTTCTCTATGTTGCTTTCCAACATAGCAGGCCTTGAGTTTCGCGCCACCGAATCAAGCACGCAGCGACTTTATGTTATTGATAATCTGAAAAATTGTTACAAAAAACTTTTTTTAATACAAAAAAAGTTCGAAAAAATTTAATCAAAAAATGAACAATTTTTAATATTTTTTTTTAGATTTGATGAATATTTTCTGACTTTCTGAATCTTCAACTTATGATCAATTCGACCTTTTTTTTGCTCCACGAATTAATTTGGTGGCACGACCTTGGCAGCACCTAAACACCACTAGAAAGCATTTTTGCTGCCACCACTATCCATAAGTTTTGAAAAAAATATAGGTATATATATATAATATATTTTCTTTACTGGTGGAAGGGTGGCAGCAAAATTATTTCTAGTGCTGTTTAGGTGCTGCCAAGGTCGTGCCACCAGGTAAAACCGTGGCAGCAAAATAAATCAGACCAAGACCTCTCCAAAACCTGTTGCCAAATGTAGGAAATCTATAAGCAAAAGGGATCAAATAAGCGATCTCGGGATGCTTTGTGGGGTCCACCCTTTGGCCTGCTTTTTTGAGCTCCAATTAATCCAGCCAAGCCAGATTTTGAATAGAGCAAAAATAGTCGCCGAGTGTAGTCATTTTATAAGCAAAAGTGAACAAATAAGCGACTCTGGCATGCTTTGTGGGCTCCACCCTTTGAGCCTCTTCCTGGATCTCTAAAAAATGAAAAATACTTTTGACGAAAAGAAAAAAATAATCAAATAAAAAATAGAGAAAGAAAAAAGAATAAAAATAAAAATAAATTTAATAAACTAGAAGAAACAGAAAGCGAAACTGTCCCGAAAGAGAATCCAATGCGTATAGACAATTTAAACAGCTGGATAGGGTAGCATGCAGCGACTTTATGTTATCGATAATCTGAAAAATTGTTACAAAAAACTTTTTTTAATACAAAAAAGTTTGAAAAAATTTAATCAAAAAATGAACAATTTTTAATATTTTTTTTTAGATTTGATGAATATTTTCTGACTTTCTGAGTCTTCAACTTATGATCAATTCGGCCTCTTTTTTGCTCCGCGAATTAATTTGGTGGCACGACCTTGGCAGCACCTCAACACCACTAGAGAGCATTTTTGCTGCCACCGCTATCCATAAGTTTTTTAAAAAATATAGATATAGATATATAATATATTTTCTTTACTGGTGGAAGGGTGGCAGCAAAATTATTTCTAGTGCTGTTTAGGTGCTGCCAAGGTCGTGCCACCAGGTAAAATCGTGGCAGCAAAATAAATCAGACCAAGACCTCTCCAAAACCTGTTGCCAAATGTAGTAAATCTA